TCAGAGTCAGGCGAGCCATCCCTGTTTCTGTTGGATTCCTGTTATGTCGTTAGATTATGTTCAATGGCTGAAGAGGAAATAGGTACATACTCGCCATAGCGATGCTCAGCACCCCATTTACATGTCTCGTGCAGCGTGTTCCATAATCGTTCTGGATTGATCTTGAGGCCTGATGGTGCTTGTAGTCGGGCGGCAGTAGAGAACCGCCGGGCATTGAAATGAAGGGCGCGTGTTGTGCCTCTTGTGCCGTACATTTTGCTGATAAAGTGACGCTGATCAAATAGCCTGTCTATTGAAAGGACCTACTATTTAATTCGGAGCAGGCGGCGGGAGCTGAAAGGTTAGAATATACAAGGGCTTTATTAGATTAAAACCAGTCTTCTCAAAGTCCGAGACCACTTACCAATCTATGAATCTGACAGCGCCTTCTCACAACAGGTGTGGATACGGTCGAAGCAACGATCAAATTTACTAGCCGAATATTTTCACTAGAAGCCTGAATAATTGTTGGGTGACCGAAAAGACCTGAGGTTAATGGCCGGTTCCAACCCTGTAAGCCTAACGATTCGGGAGCGACGCCTTCCCGCAACATCTGCGAACCCTAAATAGGTACATAATGTATCTTAACCATACAAACCCACTACAAATGGAGATAAAATATGTCAAAAATCCAAGTGGCAGACAAAGTACTCTTTGAAGCTTTGTCCAAGCACAATTTTAAACAGTCGTTCCCAGAATATCACTGTGGACTCACTGCAACCAGCGAGTGTGACCATAAACCCTAGAATAATCCTCAAGACATTGTACCAACCTGTATACAAGCGCTAGCGTCAAATCCACCTGGACAAGAGATATACTCTTACCTAATGAAATAAACATAATATAAATTCTTAAAATCTCTCATTAAACGCCAAAAATATATTGTAGGAGTTGATTTCGTCAGAAGAGTCCCCACTTGACCCGACATGTCGTCAGAAGGCGCGATGTCCCTAGAAGGCCCAAATTAATTGGGAATGGTGTAGCCGGCAATAAATAAAGCACCTGCATTGCGCAGATCAATTAAGCATATCCGAACGCACAGCATGCCATCACGACGGTCAATCTACCTCAACCTTGCGGCAGCAAATGAGAGCAGTACCTGCACGCATATCGAAGGCCTGACAGCATTCCACCAATCCTTCCCCAACTATGCCCCAACTCCACTAGTCCAACTCCCAGAGCTCGCGGCAGAGCTAGGAGTTGGCACCGTTCTGGTCAAAGACGAGAGTAACCGGTTCGGCCTACCATCATTTAAAGTTCTGGGAGCGTCATGGGGCTGTTTCCGAGCGATTGCAGCGCATCTCGGCCTGCCCTCTACTGTCTCGCTCGATGAACTATCAAGCCGAGCAAAAGAAGCATCAATTGTCTTGACGACGGCTTCGATGGGGAACCATGGACGGGCGGTTGCGTTCATGGCTCGACTCCTCGGTATCGAGGCGCGGATCTTTGTTCCTCGGTCTTTGAACCAGTCGACTCGGGATCTTATCGCTGGGGAGGGGGCTAGGCTGGTTGTTGTTCAGGGCGATTATGATCAGGCGGTGCAGGAGGCTGTGAATGAGACACGTGTGGGACGCGGTGTACTCCTCATTCAGGATACTGCGTTCGAGGGGTATGTGGATGTTCCTGCGTGGATTGTGGAGGGATATTCTACTATGATGCACGAAATTCAGAATGAGCTTGCTCGGCTTGGTCTGTTGGGTAGTGTGATGATCACCCCTGCTGGCGTGGGCAGCCTTGCGCATGCGGTCGCAAAGCATTGCAAGTCGCAGAGCACGCCTATGTCTGTAGTTGCCGTCGAGCCTGACACCGCTGCATGTTTATCTTCTAGCTTGACTGCTGGAAAGCTGGTTACTGTCCAAACTTCCTCCACGATCATGGATGGTATGGACTGCGGCACAGTATCTTCTACTGCATGGCCTGATATGCAGCGCCTGGTTGATGCCTGTGTCACCGTCTCATCATATGAGAGCCACTGCGCTGTGCAGTATCTGACTTCCAAGTCCGTGGCAGCTGGGCCATGCGGAGGTGCATCTTTGGCCGCACTGCGACAATTGGCTACATCGAAGGAGGGTACCTCACTTCTGAAAAAGGATTCTGTGGTCGTTCTTCTCAGCACTGAAGGTGCACGCGAGTATCCAATCCCCAAAGACGTCTCTGTTGAAGATGTCGTGGGCTTGACTCAAACTCTCACTCAAATCAACTCTTCCAACCCGACCTTGTCTGTAACGGATGGAGTGGGCGAGACTGAAATCGCAAACTACCTCGCGGCCTGGTTCGCCCATCGAGGCATCGAGTATCACTGGATTGAGAAGGTCGCTGGACGACCATCCATTATAGGAGTCTTGAGAGGCAGCGGAGGTGGCAAGTCTCTCATGTTCAACGGCCACACAGACACCGTCAGTCTCTCCAGCTACGAGACAGATCCCCTGTCCGGGTTTATTGGAACCAAGAATGGAAAAGAGGTTATATTTGGCCGGGGCTGCCTCGACATGAAAGGGGGTCTGGCTGCAGGATTAGCTGCCCTTGCAGCAACTAAAGCTAGCGGCCGTATACCTCGGGGCGATGTAATTGTGGCTGCAGTATCAGATGAAGAGGATGCATCGCAGGGAACTCAGGATGTGATTGAGGCTGGCTGGCGCGTTGATGCTGCTGTACTTCCCGAGCCAACCCAAGGGGCGATCCTTACTGCCCACAAGGGATTTGTGTGGGTGGAAGTTGATATCCTGGGAGTTGCTGCACATGGATCTGACCCTGCATCAGGAGAAGATGCCATCCTGTATGCCGGATCCTTCTTGCAGGCTTTGGAGAAGTACCAATCTCAGCTGCCAGTAGACGATCTCCTAGGCCAGGGTTCGCTACACTGTGGCTTGATTCGGGGTGGCGAAGAGCCTTCCTCTTACCCGGACAAGTGTACTATCACTGTCGAATTCCGCACTGTCCCAGTCCAAACGGAACAGTCCATATTAGGAGATATCAGCGCGCTACTGAAAGAAATTTCCCAGCAAAAGCCTCGTTTCAAATACGCCGAGCCACGTATTACCATGTCACGCCCTACACAGAAGGTGGCAGCCGATCATCCGTTCGTGCAGAAGGCGATTGCTTGTGCCTCTGCTGTGCTTGGGAGCAAGCCTGCCGTTAAGGCTGGTCCATTCTGGACCGATGCGGCCTTGCTCGGCGCTGTTGGTATCCCATCTATTGTATATGGCCCAGCAGGAGAGGGCCTTCATGCCAAGGAGGAATGGGTCGAAGTTGAGAGTCTTCAACAGTTTGAGAAGGTATTTACTCAGCTTGTGCAGGACTTTTGTTATTGAATATAGACGTCTATATAAGCATTGCTTAGAAGAATATACCAAGAATATCTCATTATGTTTCCCTTGGATTTCAACAGTGTTCCAGCAGAGAGATACTTACTACTGGTCATCTAACAGAGCTCCCGAGAGCCTTGTGCATGCTCGATATTGTGTAGCCATCACCCTAATAACCCGGTAAAGTGACCAACAAATCCAAGCAGATAGATGAACTTTGAAAGAGAGCATCACATGACAAATTGAATGATTCTGGTAGAGACAATCAGGTGTGGTCGTCGATTCGTGTACAAAGTAGAGGGAGTGTTGTGGCTGGTGTTCTTATCGCCACGGGACTACACATAATCGGCAACATCCAGCTTGGCCTTCGCCAAACGACATCCCACTTGTAATCGCACAACCATCTTGCTACTCCCTGATTACAGCAATCTTGATATACTTTCTCGATCCCACAACGATGGCAGACGAATCACCCGCACAGCGATCTGCCCGAATCCGCCGCGAGCGCCGCGAGGCAAAGATCAAGGAAGGAGGCTCAGCGCGCCTGGACAAAATCACCAGTCTCAGCGGACGCACGCCACAAACCGGTACGAAATGAAATCCGCATTCCCAGCCCTAGCCAAGGGACCCCCTGGTAGCATTAGTAGACATGCTACTTCATCAGCTACGCCAGTACACAATGCTAACTGAAGTCAACAACAGAGCGCGAAGAAGCCTCCCCATCCCCCCAACCCCAGCGTGCAATCTCCGGATTCCCCTCTTTAGAACCACAAAACCCGCAGTTCCAACCCTCATCTTCGCCCCAACCAGACATGCAGTCACCAGAAGCGATCCGCGCGCAGCAGGAAGCGTTCTTCTCGATGCTCCGACAATCCGCCCCGGAACCAGGCCAGGGCGTGCATCCCGATCCGCAAGCTCCAAACAGCCTCCAGGCCCAGCAAGAGGCATTCCGTGCGATGTTGAGACAAGCCGGACAGGACCAAGGACAGGGCCAGCCATCTGACGAACCCGAAGACCCCACCATCAAACTCCTGAACTCTCTCATGGGTGCTATACCCGGCGGTGACCCCAATGCCCCGCCAGGAGCTGGTGCAGGAAACCAACCAGCACCTGGATTCTCGCCCGCTGCTATCGCAACAATGCTTGGCGTGCCGCCTTTCATTGCTAATATGCTGGGTGGAGCGGCGCCGCCAACGGAGGCGGAGCAGAAGCAAGCTCGGATTTGGAAGACCATGCATACTGTCTTTGCTTTGTCGGTTGCTTTTTATCTGCTGTTCATTATTGGGTCTTCGGTTGCGTTGTTCGGTACTCCCCCGCCAAAGCCTGCAACGGCACAGAATCCATTTGCGATCTTTGTGACGGGAGAGTTGTTGTTGACTGGTGGTAAGGTGTTGCTTGGTGGGAAGTCTGGTGGTATGGGAATGGTCGTGCAGCTTTTCAAAGACGTCGTGAGGGACGGCAGCCTCCTGCTGTTTATGTTGGGCATGGGGACTTGGTACAATCGCGAATGGCAGACTACGGCATAAAATGGGGTAGCTTGAGTTTGTAATTTCGTTCATGATCAGCGCAGTATGAATAGTTCAATGGCATATATTATGTGATCATTATTTTCATTATTTTCATTATTCGTATATACGTAGACAACATTGATCGGCGCTAAGCAGACATGTTTATGATGGCCTGCTGAGAGGGTGGGACCGCGTTGCGTAAAACACTCAAAATAGATGCATCCAAACCCCAATCACCTTCCCATTGATCCATACGAGATCCTTTCTTGTAATGACCCGCCAGATGCTCTGCCCGAGCTGACCAGGTAGACAGTGAGCATCCACAGAATCCACAGCGGCTTTCGACGTTAGCGACCGATCCGCGCCAGGCTTCAAGGTCAGCCACGGGGGCTTTCGTGCAACTGTGGAATTTTCGCAGATGCTGCCAGAGATAATCCTTTCGACTGAACGATCGCTCTTGAGCAGGCTTATTGGCACAGACTTGGAATTCATGCTCTTCCAAATGGGCGGGCGTTGGGAAAAGGACATCGCAGAAGGGACATTCAGAAAACTGGAGGTCGAACGCTTGTTGGACTTCGCTGAGATTTGGAGTGCAGACCCAGGAGTCAAGGGTGAGATGGACACTTTTCTCGTGGCGGGCCCAGTCGTGTTTCTTTTTAAAAGACTGCGTACAGAATGTGCACTGGTAATGATGATCTACTGCTGCGCGTTGCCGTCCTCGGATGCGTTTGGGTTTGGTTTGTTTGGGGAGTAGTGGGAATGGCAGCCCGGTATCTGCTGAGGAATGGTAGCTCCATGCTGAAGAGGCGCTATCAGATGTCTCAGACGCTTTGCTTCCAATACTCGATACCGAGGACGCCAAATGTGACGAGCTCTCATCGAAATTGAAGAAATCCATGGTAGACCCATCGAGCTGGAATGGGTCAATGCTATCGTCCGACTCTATCGAGCCAGAGGCAAGGGCATTCTGAATTGCCGCTTCTGGAACAGGTTCCTCATCTGGTGGGGATGCCTGCCATCGCTCCATGGGAGTCAGGGATGACAGCGTGCTGGTGACCATGGGGGAGCCTGAGCGAGTACGGGATGTTGAAGAAAGACCTGCAGTCTGGATCTTTTGCTTTTGACGGCGGCGAGCATTTGCAAACCAGGTTGATATGCGCTTTTGGGAGAAGCCAGTCTCGTTTGCCATTTGATTCTTTTGTGCATCTGTTGGATAAGGATATTCTTGATGTTGATAGAACCACTCGCGGAGAACTCTAGCTCCTTTTCTCAGAAACTGTTTAGGTTCTTTTCGGTCATCGCAATCGTCCATGCATGTATTGGTAGCGGGTAATGGGTTTCCATCTTCCGGTACACCGTGGAGATGACCTAAGACCGGAGAGAAAGTCTCAAAGCCCGACGGGAGTCGTTTCTCTCCCTTTGCCAAGCTGCATTCCCGAAAAAGGGCCACGCAGCTTGAGCAGGCATTTTTGGGGTTTGGGTTGGCGGGGCCAGTGCGAATTATCAGACATTGTAGCCGATGTCTGCGACAATGAGCACATGATACAGGAGGACGATATGCCCCGTCAAGCCACTGGGAAACATTGGTGAGACTTCGTTGCGACAGGGATGGGTCAACATATTCCCTTGCTAAAGGCAGAGCAGGATCATATGTATTTCCTGAAACCTTTAATTCTTCATGATCTTGATGTCCAGGTTGTGCTTGTGCATCAGCGCTTGGTATGAAGTGTGACTCATAGTTTGTCCATTGCGACCATTCCAAATCACTGATGTCTGAGGGAAATGGTTGGAATTCGTAGCCAGTATTAGTATTAAAAGAGTTATCCTCTTGCATCCATTGTGTCGGCTCATTTGCATCCAGCATACCCTCCAACTCTATGTGTGATAGAGGCAGTGGCAACGGCTGCCATGGTGAAGGGTGGATGGGTGGCGGCTGTGGAGTCATGCCATATAGCGCTGAACAGAGTCACCGGCGCGATATAATTCAAGCCCTTGCTTGTATATCAAGATTATAGTTCAGAATCCAGTAGATTGGCTAGACCCTGTCTCGTTCATGCCTCGTCGTTAACTTGCTGATCGCGATGGCATTGCTGACCAACCCTGACCGCGCTAGTCCATATTGGGCCAACTAACGTTCCTTGCCCCACTAGTCCCAGAACGGCAGGTACAGGATATTCAAGGATATTACTCAGCCTTCACCCCGGGGCAGTGCCTCCAGGAGTCCGTGGACCGATCTCGGGAGCACCCAAGGTTAGATCTACAATGAACCTGTGGCCATGTGTTCGCTGCGCTCCAAGATTTCTCCGGGGTGTCCTGATTCTTGAGCCGTATCACCCGCAAAATCATCGAAGTAGTTTCGGATTATGCAGAAAGATTATGCAGACCGTGCAGAGTAGTACTAATTTGCATTTCCCGGGGTCCGCTCCAGGGGCGAAGTTATGCAAGGTACTTGATATTTCAGGCAGTTCTCGCAAAGGCATGGTAAGCGATGGCTGGAACCAATTGGTCTGGACAAAGTCCATACGCTCAATCAAATCGCATGGACATCAATTTTAAATGTTCACAGCCACGTTGCTTATCAGAATTAAGGTTATCTCATGTTATTACGAAAGGAAAAAAAAAACAACGCTCGGTCCATTTAGAACTGGAACTATCACCTATTAGGCAGGATACTAATATTTTGAAATCTAATCCGGGGATAAGTAGACGAATTGGAAGAGACCTGGAGGAAGATGTAGCATCAACGGCAATATAGAGGAGATTAGACCCGGGGTATCTAAAACTAATTTGAATCCACTTGGAGCACGAGACCTTCCTGGACATACAAAGTAGAAAGGACTCCGGAGTTGTCTCTCTACTCCGGAGTTCAGGTGGGGCGGTGACTCGCCACTCGGTGAGAACGTAAAAAATTTGATTGAGAAGCCGAGGAACCGGGATCCCGGTGAAGGATCTGATCTCGGGACAAAAAAAAGTCTATCTGATATAAAAATAAAAGCCACAATATATGGTGAATATTGTATTATCTTGTTCCATTTTATATAGAAAAATGTGTTCTTTAACTAAATAATGTAAAGCTTAATAACGGGGATGGCGATCACTATATGTGACAGTCAGGCAATGTAGAGTGGGAACTGGGGACAAAACTGGGGCTACTCAGCCAATTCCAAGGTTTCTATGACCAAATTAGAGTGAGTCAGCAATTATTGGGTTAGTGCAGTTCGGCATTGGAACTGGTCTAGTCATTAGCCGGGTCCCTCCGGATTAGGACACGCTATTGGTGAAACCGTCGAGTTGCATCGAATTTCTGTGGAACTTTCCATTTATAAGAGGGGGGCAAAAATTCTTACGAGAAAAAATGGGGAAACAATAAGATCGCCCAGGTCCCCTTGGGTTCTTTGGGATTTAAAAACATCTTCTTCAACTCATCTTCAACACTTTGAGTCCTCTGCTTTTTCAACTACACAGAATGGACGTCAATTTAGCACCACCTGCTTATGAGCAAGATAAGATCGTTGAGCGGAAGGATGTACCAAAATTCGAGGAGGAAGGCCAGCTCAAGGCTGGGGAGGTACACGATGCCTTTGGTAACGAGGAGTACGCCGAAGTCAAGTATAAAACCTTGAAGTGGTGGTATGTTTAATCATAGGGAACACAGGAATCTCTTTAATTCACTGTGCTAATGTGAGGTGTCTTCAGGCAATGTGGCTTGCTCATGATCTGTGAGTCAGTTTCACTAGGTGTGTTGTCGCTACCCACCGCCATCGCTACCCTGGGCCTCGTCCCCGGTATCATCCTTATTGTCGGCCTCGGCTTCCTCGCAACATATACTGGCTACAACATTGGCCTTTTCCGTGAACGGTACCCTCACATTCAGAACCTCGGTGATGCCGGTGAGATCTTGCTGGGCAAGTTCGGCCGCGAGCTCTTCGGTATTGGCCAGTTCCTCTTCTGTATTTTCGTCATGGGCAGCCATATCCTGACCTTCCGTGTCATGATGAACACCCTCACCAACCACGGCGCCTGCTCCATTATTTTCAGTGTCGTTGGTATGGTCCTTTCGCTCGCCCTCTCTATCCCCCGTACCATGAAGGGCATGACGTGGATCTCGTTTGCATCATTCCTCAGCATCTTATGTGCTGTCGTGATCACTATGATCTCCGTGGGAGTCGAAAGTCACCCCGGCCGTGTCATCCACGCCACTGTCGAGTCCAACCTCTACACTGCATTCCAGGCCGTTTCAAACATCGTCTTCGCTTACTGCGCCCACGTCGCCTTCTTCGGTTTGATTGCCGAGATGGAGACGCCCCAAGATTTCAAGAAGTCATTGTACATGCTTCAGACCTTTGAGATCTCTCTCTACCTAACCGCTGCCGTTGTCATTTATTACTATGTTGGCACGGATGTGCATTCCCCTGCCCTCACATCCGCGGGTCCCTTGATGAGCAAGATTGCCTACGGCATTGCTATCCCCACCATTGTCGGCGCCGGTGTCGTAAACGGTCATATCGGCTTGAAGTACATCTACTTCCGCATCTGTGCCGGGACGGATCTCATGCATCAGCGCAATAAGCGTTCCATCGGTCTCTGGGTTGGTCTTGGTGTGGCTTGCTGGGTCGTTGCGTGGATCATCGCCGAAGCTATCCCTGTCTTCAGCGACCTGAACAGTTTGATCAGTGCTCTTTTCGCTTCCTGGTTCAGTTACGGTCTCTCGGGTATCTACTGGCTCCACCTCAACCGCGGCGAGTGGTTCTCCTCTCCCCGCAAGATTTTGCTTTCTATCCTCAACATCGCCATTGCCTGCTTCGGTTTGGTGCTGTGCGTTCTTGGGCTGTATGCTTCTGGCACGGCTATCAGCAAGAGCTCCAACAGCAACAGCTTCTCCTGCGCCAACACTGACACTTAGGTGGCCTCGTCTTGCTTCATATTGCTTTGTTTCATTCACATTACATGCACTGTATATACACCGCATATAGATTATGCTTAGAGTACACTGGTTGGCTCTCGAATATAAATAATAGATTAAAATATTTTGAACAAATATCTTGAACATGCTTGTCTGTCCTAATTATATCTAGACTATACCCTTTAAGACAAAAAAAAAGGCAAACCTTATCACTTCATTAATCACTATAAACAACTGCTACTTACAGGCATGGAAGTCTTCAGTTGGTAACTGGGCTCTAAGAAATTGCCCCTGAATATAGACTGCATTTCATACTGGTCTTATATGGCAAATCATGAGAGCAATCTTCACTTACCCTACGGTTTGTCAGGCCCATTCCACTCCAAATAATTATTGGGTATAACAGAAGCGAACCCGGGACTTAAAGCTGTCTATGTTTGTTTGCCGTAAGTCGAGCCTAGAACCTCTGCTCTCACTTCTGCTTAAGGTTTCTTTCCTAAAAGTGATATCTAACATCGCTGAATTCTTTGTTCGGACGGAATAGACTTCGATTGACATTGCAGGGATCTACCTGTAAGCAAGACTCGAGCTGACCACATCTTTCTGTTTGCTCCATGACACTGGCCCTATCTCTGCTTCTTACACTTGGCGAGAAGCACCTTTAATAATGTCTTCGAATCGGGCGTTATGCGTAGATTGTGTGTAGTATCAAGTTATTGTTGAGAAGATGATATCTGGGCGCTTGGCGCGATTACTTCAATATGCACATAGTAGTCGCTCCTGTGTTCTCCGTATATCCAGCTTCTCTATCAAATTTCCAAAATTATATTGTTCGAGGTAGAAAAGATTGGGTGCAATGTAAACGTCTAGAAATTACCAAAATATTCAAGCCGCGCAATACATATGGTATAGTTGAAGTTTCCTAGGTTATTCTGTAGTAAGGTACAATGCTTGAACTAAGTGATTTTGCAAGAAATGTAAAGATGACCAATGTCTTGTAAGCTAAGTGTCCAACATGACACAATAAATAAACACAATAAAGTCGCATAAACCCGGAAGCCAAATGACCTTCATTATGGTTTTGAACCCTTTGAAATACCAAAACCATCTTTTTCAGTTGATACGTCAAATGCGCGACCTTTTAAGTCCCACGGGAGTATAACCTTCAGTGCGTATATAGTTTGGAACAGCTTGTGGTTCCTTTACTGGCAATATGAATGACAGCTCTTCTTTTGCAATTGAATTCATTCGATAGACGATCAGAGAAATTGTATCTGGGTGCACGGCAGGATTAATCGCACATAGCCTGAGCACAATGCGGCCACGGATTTTGGTAGTCATGATAGCAGCAGAGTTTTCATCAAGAAGTCTGGCAGAAATCTTTGAATTCAACGAGTCCGCTGTCACAATATCCAAACCAGGGGGCGAAAATCGAAATACCACAATGCTTGAAATGGCTGGGCTTACGATCTCCCAGTTTGGAAGTAGTCGCAGTTCATGCTCTGCCGTGGAGGCAAGGGTAAATCCTTGATCAATCATTTCACCAATGCGGTTATGCCCAAGAACGCGCAAAGTGAACCATAACGATATAGCCCTAGCGGGACGGCTAAGCTCGGGACTGACATTATAGAAATTGGTCGATCCATCTGGTGCAAGTGATGTCCGGATATATTCTGCGTCGATCTTGAAGCTATCCTCGAGAGACTTTTTGTCGCGTACTAGAACAATACCACAACCATAGGTTTGGAAAAGCCATTTATGCCCGTCCCAGGAGATACTATCCGCCCGTCCAAGTCCGTCCACAAGATGGCGTTTGGTCGAGGAGAGTGCAATCGATGCACCATAAGCGCCGTCAACATGGAGCCACATTCTCTCATTCCGAGTGATATCAGCAATCGCATGCAGTGGGTCGATGCTCCCAGTATTTGTACTTCCGCAGCTGGCGATGATCAAGAACGGGAGACGGCCAATGCGCCGATCACCATCGATAGTCTGTTGCAATGCTTTACAGTCTAGACAGAACTTGCTATCTGTGGGAATGACCCGGATTTGATAGTCACAAAAGCCAATCATGTGCAGACCTTTGGCCACAGAAATGTGCGTTTGGTCAGATACATAAATTATTGCATTGGCGCGTTGTTCTGGGAGGAGCATCTGGTCTCTTGCGGCAATAATGCCTGTCATGTTGGCCATTGAACCACCAGACACAAAGCATCCCCCAGCAGACGAAGGAAGTCCCACCTGACTAGCCAACCAAAGTATAAGAGAAGCCTCGATGGCGCTTGGCCCAGAACTGATAGTCCACATCGACGCGTTGACATTGAAGATAGAGGTCAGAAAATCCCCAAAGTACGCCAGAGGCGAAGGACATGACGGGATGTAGGCAAAACATTTTGGATGGTCAAGACGCATGCGATTATCGAAAATTGAAAGAGCTTCACGTATGACTGAGGTGATATCTTGTGGCTCGCCAGGGATCGCTAGACGTTGAATGGCTTCTATGCCTTCGAGGTTGGGTATGCGACTGATCGGACTTGATGGATCCGTCGGGCTACTTTTGAGAAGACCGGTGACGAGGGATTGGGCTTGTTGGAGTATTGAGACAAGCTCAACATTTTCCGGCTCATGAGAGAGCGGGATAAGCATCATGGGAGTGAAGGCAACTAGGCCTGATACCAGAAGAGATATTTTGCAATTCGTCGAATAAAGAGAAAGGTACGGGTATAGCCAAGGAGTAATGAGGTGGGTTATGTCGCAAGGCACTACGTGCATATTGTATGCATATGTATAATGCTGGGCTAAATTGGAAATATTCAAAATCATATCAAGAGAATATATACAAAATACATATATCAAGCTAAGGATTACCTACATAGGTACTAGTAGGTTGATCATGAATGAGCCTGAAGCAGTACGGAGTACTTGATTGGGCTTTCTGTAAATGTGTAAAGGGGGGGAAGGGTTACTATTTGGAAGCATGCACATCAAGCACGCACATGTACCTAGGTACTCGCCACAAGGAGAGGTAGAGTGATCAAAAAGAATGTAAATTTCCCGCCAAATTTTGATGCAAATGTGCTTTCTTCTTCTTCTCGTGAATCGTAGGATTGTGATAGCTTTTTGCTTGAGGAGCGTAGCCCCTAATTAGATGAGAACCATGTAGTCAGTTAGATCTATTCTCTCTTCTGTCCTCTGTCCGCTCCGCACGATAGTAAATGGAAATATTCCTCCTCATGGATATATCTCTTGTGTAGCCCTCCTTGGACCTTTTCTTTACTTGGCGCAGGCCGTGTCCACCCACTGCCGAGAGCTATTGGATGAGCTGAATGTATGCAAACATAATCTTCAATTTTAGCAGATCTATCTGCGAGACTAAAATAAGCTGAAATCGAACGAATCAACTTTATTCTGCAGAGTACTCCGTACCTAATCGACAGAATTTCAGAATGTGGCGCAGCTGAAAAACACCGCAGACCACGCGTGAATCGGGTTCCATTGGATCTAGCTTAAAAAGCCACATGCTGTGACCAATCATTCGGCATTGCATTGCATAATCACGAGCTTGCTACTTGATGAATTAATCCCAGCAATGTAGAGAGTACTGGGTTGCATATGTAGTCATAAAGTTCAATGTTTACTAGTGGACCGATAGGATACAAAAAGGGTTAAGAGGCGATTTTAGCCTGGGTTATGAGATCTGTATCTATTCAATCGGGTCTCAAGGTTCTCATGCAAGATCTTACTTTCCTCGAGGGCAACGAGGCTCTCATCCAAGGTTTGGAGCATCATTACTTTAATACCAAGAGAGAGCCTTTCATACTCAGACATGCTTGATAGAGGCTCTGTGCAATCTCCCACAAAAAGACTCCTCTCCACTAACATTCCATCAAGTCCAGCCACCAGCATGGTGGACAGGGCAAGGTACGAATTAGTGAGGCCATTCATCATTTTGATCTCAAAACGACTGATCGTCATGCACCTGAGGATGGTTTCTCGATTACCCCATCTCCAGGCAACGAACAGACTACCACTGCTGATACCCGATACAAATTGACTATAGCTGATTTCACGAGGAAGACCGAAAGTAGCAATAGCGAGAAACTGCCGATGTATTACTACCAAAAAGGACTCTGTAATTCATATGTTGTAGGTCTTTCTTCCCATCTGAACTTAGAGAAATACGCACATGAGATCCTATCCCTACTTTATCGGGGGATGGCCGTGGATGCAGAGTGGTGTGTAAGCCATAGTTTTGTGCAACACTCATCGATAGTCTGGCGAATAATAATGAGGCGATCGAAGACCATCGGCGGAGAGTCCTATGGAAGAACAGGCTCCCATTGACCCGGCGCGAGATCTGCATGGAATTGTTCGATTTTGATGCCAATCTCTTGCAGGGTGTGAACGGAGTGCCACTTCTTCGAATACCTTCAAATTGTAGCGTTGAAAATGGTGGCATGAGATCTGTCCCAACTCGCGCGCTGATCTATGCCACTGTAGGACATATGTATCTACCTGTCACGCTGCATAAATTGATACAGTGGCATTCCGACTGTCTGTATGGAAAGAAAGTTGAATTACCTATTCGATATGGAGAATATACCCATGGTTTCAGTGCAGTTTTGCACCTAGCCCATCCTTTTTCTATCCATAAAAGCCCAAGCTCGGAGTGACTTATGAGAGACGGTATTTTCCTGATCTTGTCACTTTGGACACATTTCCTGAATTTTAGAAGATTCAGGAATTCTGTCTAGATGAGGATTGTATATTTCCTAGAAAGTCGCAAAACTCCCCCACATCTGGATTCTACCAAGATTGAGCTCTACTTGGTCAGAATTGTGTAAGTAGAAATACTTGAGCATAGTGCATGCAGTCAGTCTAGCTTGGGGGGGTTTTCTTCGCTGCTATACTGCTTCTGGAACAGTCCTCTCACGAGCAGCCACTGATGCTGTTGGGGCAATTTCGGAAACAAGTAAAGCACCAATCGTGGTGGCGTTTCTCAATTTTGAGGCCGGCGTAATAAGTGAAACAAATGCTTATACCCTGAGCCCTATCAGTCCCAAGACGCAGTTATCTTTAGATAATTTGCTAGCAGAAGTTTCGACAAGGCTGCCATCACATATGGTCCCTTCCTATGCCATCGCCTTGAACTCTCTTCCTTTGATCTGGGGACATTAGACACAAAGTCCTCCACGGTGACTTCGTGCTCTGTGTAAGAGGATGCCAATGAAACCCCGATAACAGTGATTCTAGGAACGACTACCCAGATGAGTAGATATCCGCTCGTCTTGTGGTACTACTGCTACCTAATGGACTTATTCTTTCCCTGTTCGCGTCTTCAGTGGTTCTATTTCAGCCCCATGGACCAGTGTATACAGTGCTGGGTTAAATTGTTTCCCGGACTCTATGATTACTGGAGTCGATGTGGCGAGTGAACTATGGACGGTATGAATTTTTGACAAGGAGATGAGAGTCTCGGCAATGCATTATATTAACTACAATGTGTCATTCTCAAGTTTGACAATCCCAGCAAGCGAGAACTCCTCCGCTAGTTCATCTGTCTCCGGCATCATTCCTATTAGTATGTAATGGTCACATTCTTGTTCACATACTTCGCGTCTATCTTCAAGACAAGGTTCTCAGCGAGCCACTTCCCCGCATCCTCCCTGGAGATAGTATACCCAATAACCTTGGACTCAGGGCCAGTCTTGGGATCCTCGATGCCCACGCGGATAGCCGTTTTCGACTCGCCATCAACAAGGTGGGTCGGACGAATGATTGTGAATGATTCCCCGCTCTGCGCGAAACGGTCTTCCATGACTACCTTGTCTGCTCCAGGGACGCTGACAAACAGGTAATAGATAGGCCGCATAACGAAAGGAATATCGCGGCCGAAGCGGGAGAAGCCCGTCGTACTGCAACCGATGATGTGTGGGTTTCCGGTAATGCCGGTGCTTCGGAGCTGACCGAGGGCATCTAAGATAGTTGCTGCGCCTTTCTTGCAGATGTCTGGATCCTCAACACTCATTCCACTTCCAGTTGGCTTTGAACCGATGGTGGTCACGATGGCATCGACGATGCGGCCATCGTCGGTTTGGAGGCACTGTGATACGGTTGAGATGTCGTGTGCATTGCCTTTGATGATTTTCAGATTTGGTGTTGACCCTGAAGGGAAGATGGCTGTGAGTTTTGAGGGATCGCGGCACAGCGCGATACATTTGTGTCCGGCAGCGAGAGTGTGTTTGAGGGCAGCAAGGCCAACGCCGGTGCTGGCACCAATGAACACGATGGATTTTGTGCTTGACGTCATTGTCTGGATCTGTGATTGCTCAAGTAGTGTCTTGGAAGGCTGTGTTCTGATGTAAGAAATGATAGAGGCGTGGTGGATAGCTTCTTTTAAGTGCCTTGGATGGGACGATGGGCTTCATAATATACATTTTGGCTGACACCATCTTATCGAGAAAGTCGCCGAAAGTCATCCGAGTCAAGGCAGCAGGCCTCGCTCTTTTTTCGCGACACGTACTAAAATGAGGGGAGAACCCGAGCCTAACAAATGGAGGCGGAAATGGCGTTATCTCGTTGGTTGGCGCTCACGTCTATGAATCTACGCTATCCCTGAGTCAAATGGGCCAACACTTCCAGGCCATTTGTCTGGTGAACGAGATCACGATTATCTAGGTTTCTCTGGGCCCGTTTATGATTAATCGCTTGCTGAAACAAGCCCAGAACAGTCCTAAGATGTCACAAGAGCCTCCAGTCACAGTTCCTGGGGCCCTTGGGGGCGCGCTCGCCTCGGCCTCGGACGCCGAGAAAAACACGAGATTTGACGCCTCAGGCAGAAACACAACACCCCCTAAGCTACGCAGCTGTGTTGTATGCCGAAGTCGGAAAGTCCGTTGCGACAAGCGAGCGCCCTGTTCTAATTGCCGTCGCGCAAATATCGCGTGTGTTCTTCCACCAACAGACCGGCCACCAAGATGGGCTCGCCGTCTCGACCGCCTGAACAGCGCGGTATCCAACCTACAAGCCTCCCAGGATCCCGAGCCAGTAGCAGATGAGGTGATGGAAAGGCTTCACAACCTTGAAAGCCTTGTTCAAGAGCTACGTATTCAGCTGGAACAGGCTAAACCAGCAGCTAACTCTGGTGCTGAAGGGTCATCCGGCGTTGGTTCGCCTGAAAGCTCCGCGCATGATCGACAGTCAAACCCATCTTCCAATGGTACTGCTAACCTGCAAAAAAAGTTCGGGAGACTGGTGCTTCAAGATTCAAACCGAACCCGCTATGTCAGCACTGGCTTCTGGTCTAGGGTCAATGACGAGGTATGCCGCCTTAGTTTGTTTACATTGCTACATGCAATAAATATCTGGCTAACTTGTATTGTAGCTTGATGGTCTCAGGGCAGACGTTAGCGGTCTTCCATTTGGAGAATCTGAGACCTCGGATGATGAGGCCTCGCCGGAGATGACCCCTTCCACACAAGAACTTGAACGGACCCCGGCGGAGCGTCACGGATTCTTGTTTGGGCACAATTTGAGTGCTTTCTTTCCTGACCTAACAGAACTTCATCCACTCCCCTCCCAGATTCCTTTTCTCCTAGACGTGTTCTCCGAAAATGTGAACATTATCTTTCAAATCGTTCATCTTCCCACCATCAAAAACATGGTTCGTGATTGGCGTAGCCGCGAAATGAAGGGACTCACACCGGCCAATGAAGCTTTGATGTTCTCTATTTACTACGCCGCCGTCACATCGATGGAAGAAGAAGATGTGAGCCAAATCCTTAGATATTCAACTTTCTGACAGATCCAAGCATGCGGATTGCAGGCTTACATCCTGGTGCATTTAGGTAGTACGTAATTTTGGAGCCACGAAAGCCGAGCTCAATCTCAAATATCGCCAAGGCCTCGAACATGCTCTTGCAAGAGCAGATTTTCTGAATGTACCAGACTTTGTTCTCGTGCAGGCATTTGCCATCTTCCTTTGTCTTGCTCGCCGACATGACAGTCCGAGATTTGTGTGGATGATGACGGGACTAGTAATCCGAATGGGCCAAGCTCTGGGACTACATCGTGATGGAACACATTTTGATTATCTCAGCCCATATGAGATTGAAATGCGGCGAAGAGTCTGGTGGACCCTGTGCATGTTGGATGCGAGAGCATCCGAGGACCAAGGGACCGATTACACAATTGCAACAGCGAGTTTCGATACTAAAATACCTCTTAATCTTAATGACGCCGACCTCAGCCCTGATTCAAAGCAAACTCCTCAAGCTCACAATACCCTGACTGATATGTCCGTTGCCCGTGTGTCTTTTGGCATGAGCGAGGTCACGCGGCAGATGTTCCCTCATGATTTCAAAGACAGAGCACCGAGCCCAGAAGAGCAAAGTCGCTTGCTGCAACAGATATACGAAGGCCTTCAACGAGACTTTCTTCAATACTCAACCGACTCGGGGAACATTATATACTGGGTAATAGTTAAGGTCGCTCGGCTTGTTATGTCCAAGATGACCCTACTTATTTACTTGCCTTTGTTGTTCTCCTCCCCGAATGAAGACTTCTCTGAGGAGCTGAGGACAAAACTATTGGTTGCCAGTATCGAGGTCGCCGAGTACAATCACGCCCTGAACAACGAGGAAGCATGTAGGCACTGGCGCTGGGTTTTCCAAACCTATACCCATTGGTACTCCATTGTCTACATGATGCTAGAGATCTCTCGACGCCCATGGTCACCTCTTTCTGAGCGGGCTTGGGTAGCTCTTCATAGTCCCTGGCTAATACCGAATCAATCACACATGGAAAGGAATCTACGAATATGGATTCCACTCCGAAAGCTGATGGCCAAGGCTAGAGATTATCGCAATATGGAGGTCGGGCGGTTGAGAAATGACTCTCAAGCTGTCCAACAGCTGGAACAGGGCTATCACATTGCCCCAATCCCATCGAGCCCTGGGCCATTTCCATCTGGTTCAAATTCATCAGATCTCTTCCTTGATCAATGGCGGCAGTTGGTGGCACATTCAGATAAAACCAGACATGATGCATTTGAGTTTGCCATTGTCAACCCGTCAAATCCATCAATGCACATTGGTAAAAGACAGCCAAGTGTGCATTCTGCTCCCAATTTGTCCCATAAAACGTTAAATTCAGCTTTCAACGCTGAGCCAGAGTATCTTGCTGTAGATGCAGGACAGTTCGGGTACGAAGTTCCAAGCATTGAATCTACAAACTTTGCTTCAGTCATGGCGCCTAATCCAAGAACCAAATTCGAACCCGAAAATCCTTCTGCTTTCTCACACAACTACTTCTCGATGGTACCTGAAGCTCAATTCGGCGACCAAACTATCAATCCAGCCGTTGCACCTTGGCTGTGGTCTGGGGAGGGCATGCCGACTGATTTCCCCAGTACCTCTGAAGACCAAGCCGGTAACAACATGCGCATGGATGAGGAGGTGAATTGGTACAACTGGGCTGCATCTGCGAAGGATATGGAGTGCGATGGAGGGATCTATAACGGTGGACCGCGCTAGGCTACTGCTGGCTTGTCACTACACATCATGTTGCCAATGATAATGTGCCTTGTCAAAATCCTTGTAGCAGCTCATGAAACAAGGTAACAACAAGCACTGTTTATAAATCCCGGACCTTATCCGGAAAATATTGAACCAAGAAGAACAATGAGGATAGTTTCTTGTGTGAAGAACATCTTGCCAGGTGGGTGTCCTTCATGCACAGCCCAGATACCGCCTTATATTTCTATCACACACCATTTGACCTCAAGGTCGGCAAGCGCGGTACACCTTGATTTCCGGCCCGACCCGTTTACTGATCCTGCCAAACAAAATTGTTGGCACACGAGGCTGGCATAACCATACATTCGCTTATGGAAAGGCTGGAAGACTACCATGTAGACAGGCTCCTGGCAGCAAACGAGGATTTGCGATTTGATCCATGCTTACTGCGAAAGCCATCCAGCCTCCGGTATCACTGCTCATAGATTAACTGCCAGCTCATCAACAAGCAAGCCACAATCTGAAGCGACTTATTATGCACTGTAATAGCACCGTTTTGAAATCAATCCATTATGCTATGTGAAATAAGTATATATTGTCGTAGTAAGGGTCGTGGACTTTTTTTTTTTTTGAAATGAGGAACTAAAAGCAAATTGGGCGTAGAATCTAATGCTTCCCGCTGACCTGGAGGTAAAGTCTACAAAGATGAGTATGCACGATGCAAGAGACATGAATTTCAGTATTTTTGCTATGGTATGCGGATAACCACTTTGCCAATGTGTGATGAACCCCAAAGATACTCATAAGCATCTTGCGTCTTTTCAAATTCGAAAGTCCTGTTTATGATTGGGCGAATGGAATTCGCAGTGAAACAGGCCAGCAAATCCTGGAATTGCTCTCGAGAACCGACAATGATCCGTCGGAGTATGTATGGTGGGTCAATTGTCAGAAATGTTGCATCACTATGCCCGCCATTTTTGTGATCACCGACCATGTTAGTGATATGGCCAATAGAATGAATCAGCCCATTCCATGCAACCGCCTGGAAGGACTGCGGTAAGGTCCCGATTCCTCCGACTTCAAGGATATGATCTGCTCCTCGGCCATGCGTAACCGCTTTTACCTCCGCCGCCCAGTCTGATGTGCGGTAGTTGATGCCATATGTGGCGCCAAGCTCTCTAGCCTTGGCAAGTTTCTCGTCCGAGGAAGATGTGATGATAGTCACAGCACCAGCTGCTCGCGCAATTTGAAGGCCGAACATCGCCACTCCTCCCGTTCCTTGGAGAACTACAACATCTCCAGGCCGAATTGGCACCGAGCCGTAGAGTGCATTCCATGCTGTAACTGCGGCACATGGTAGGCATGCAGCCTCCTCAAAAGAAAGATATTCAGGGATCCTCACAACACCTGATTGTGGTAGGATCATATATTCACCCAGCAGACCGGGTCTGCCACCTGCAAGACATGATTTGACAGCTCCGGGGGTAAGTCTAACTGTTAAATGGTCTTGAATAAAGTTCGCGACCACCCGATCGCCAGATTTCCACTCGGTTACGCCTTCGCCAATTTCCTCGACGATTCCTTGGCACTTGTCAGCAGGCATTCAAATGCATGCGGTGATATGGAAAGTACCTGCACCATCACTACCGGGCACGTCACAGCATTCACCGGGATATGCATAAATTCCCTTCGCAATTGCACAGTCTCTCCAGTTCAGCGAGACAGCCTTGATCCGAACCAAAATTTGGCCATATTGAGGACGTGGCTTGGGCACATCATGGAGTGTCAGACAGTGAAATCCTTTTCTTTCCGGTAGGATATATTTCTTGAATGTGCCTACCATAGCAAAGGTAGACCAAATAATGACAAGGGGACTTTGAGACACTCTGGATGATATACAGGAGTGTAAGTGGGAAGAATGTTGGAAAGAGGCGGACAGAGGATTTCATCGCGGCAATTTATATAATAACAAATACGAAATATTTCCGGGGAAAGAAAGAGATCGCTGATCTATATGTACTTCGTACTCAGCCAGTATATTTTCCCACTTGCCTAAATATAATAGATGGAAACTCAGCCCTCGGAGCAAAAAAAAACCCCCCTCATTAGAGTACTATTTGAAAATGTATCTTGAAAGGTTTCGGCCTACTGATGTTCGCTTTGTCTGCGGGCTGTCTGGATATTTCCACAAGGATCTTCAGGCAGTGAAACAGAGTCCCAAATATGATTCTTTAGCCGACGACATCGCACCAGTGACATCGGGATTTAAGAAGGTTGTCCAGGCAGGAGAGGTGATCTCAATTCTGCTTCGTCTACCGAATGGAACTGTAGCCATTGGAGAGTGTGTCGATGTTATCTTCTCTGGCACTGCATCGCGCGACTCTCTGTTTATCCTCAAAGAACATCTTCCGCTGCTCAATACAGTTGTACGACCATGGCTTCTCGAATGTGATGTGCTGAAATTCCGCCCAAATGCGGTCAAAATTGATCAGCCGTGGCCAGAATTGGGAAACAAGAGACTCCACACCGCCGTTCGTTACGGACTCAGTCAAGCTCTCCTGTCGGCGACCGCTCTCGCCAATAAGTGTACCATGACCTAAATCGTTTCCCGCGAGTGGAAGACAAATATCAGTCATCGGCCGATAGATATCCTCGCCTCCTGCCATCGAAATGACCACCACCAACTGGACAGGATGATCATGAAACGAGTGGCCCTTCTTCCACATGCGTCATTTGTCCACGTTAGTGACATCGGCCCCAGAGGCGAGACTATACTTAATTATGTGCAGTCTGTCGCTCAACGTATCCAGGAGCGAGGGGACCCTGGATATCGACCACAGCTTCACTTTGACGTCTATGGCACAATCGGTGATGCCTTCACCGACACGGAAATACCGGACTTCCTGAAGAAACTTGAGTAGGTAGCCCGTCCATACGATGTGTTGATTGAATCTCCGATTATTTCTTTCAGCAAAGAATCTCAAATTCGACGGTTGCACCAGATCAAAAAGATCCTTGCCTCTCGCAGGATCAATGTGAAAATTGTTGCAGATGAATGGTGTAATATACTGGATGATATCCAGGACTTCGCTGACGCGGACGCCGTGGACTATGTGCAGGTAAAAACGCCTGATCTAGGCAGTCTCCATAACACCATTGATGCGGTGATGTACTGTGTTAAGGAAAATATCGGGTGTTGCCTTGGAGGATCTGCAAATGAAACGGATATTTCGGCGCGGATTACTACGCAAGTAGCTCTGGCAACACAACCGCAGTTTTTGTTATCTAAGCCTGGGATTGGGGCTGATGAGGGGTTGATGATTTTGACGAATGAGATGATTAGGACTTTGGCCTTGTTAGACAATGAAGGGTAGTACATTTGGGATTGATCTCAATTGAATTTACATATTTGACTGGTATGAATCAGGCTCAAGTGCCTTTGACTGAATGCGGTATTGACGGTTATCAAACGAATATTGCGTGTATATTCATAAAGCGTCAGACGGACGGCAGAATTTCTTTGAGCCTCCATGAAACCTTGGTAGGTCCAATGATTGCGTGGGATCGCATAATAGAGACATTCTCCCGATCTTTCAAGCAGCTCAGAGCCCCATGATCGACAGAGAAGTTAAGATCGTGCTATCATAAAATATTGTTATGCTGATTATATCAGGCAGGGAATAGCACTGTTTTGTCTATGACCTGTATCTTCCCATCTTCGTCAAAGTAGTGGAGTATATAATTCAACCAATTCCACGTCTTACCCTCCTTATCCATAACTGTCGACACACTGAAATCACATGTGCGATGCTGGACTGGTGGGATATACCCCGGTTTGGCCAGCAGATCATATACTTGAGAGATATTTCCTGGTAGGTTATCGAGGTTCTCCTCTAGCATAATGAAAATTGCCACGATATGAGCGGTCGGTGTGTATATAAACAGCCCTTGTGTCGTGGGCGCCTCCCCTATATACCGTAATACCTGGCTTCGTAGCTTGGGAAAGGGATATTTGAGCCCTGTGATAAAAAGTGAGAGGAATACGCCTATCTCAAATATAAACGGCGGTTGTTTCCCTCCCGAGCTATGTATATATACAACCGCGGTAGGGGCCAAGTCAATGATTTGGGCGAATTTAGATTCGTAGGCGTTATACACACTTTGGTTAAGATTCAGTATAGCTTCTGCTTTGATAAAGACGCTCGTATATATTATCAGAAGAAGCGTAGTTGCACTGTCGATGTTTGAACTATGTATAGAATTTAAGTATACAAAGAGAGTCGGGTTTTTAGGCGCTGCTGTCTAGCTACCAGCTCTGATACCTTGTGCAGCTGACTATCTGATATTAGGTGTAGATAAGCCTTTGTGTCAATTTTGAAGGCCTTTATTTCGGCTACAATGCTACACAGAACGTTCCTTACCTCTTTAATCGATATAAAACGCTTGTCTAGAACAGCTAAATAAAGATCCTACCTTTCTTCTGATAGTCTATTGGTAATAAAAAACTATATTCCTAAACGGCGGAAGATAGGCTCGAGAGTGGCGATAGTCGAGGTTGCTGTTGATAGGGCACTAAAATCAGTCGCGTACCCTGTTTGTATAGGATCTGAGCAGCTTTGCGGCTCCCCTGTAAAATTCCGATAGCAATGAAGAGAATACAGCTGATCAAGAACACTATTAGGTCTACCGTACCCCGCTTAATACGTTGCTGCAGGAGAGCCAACGAGCGTGAGTACTATACTAGCGCTTTACGATGGTACTGATATTTTAGGTACCGCGGCTGGATTATTAATAATCGACTAGGGTGACCTCATATCTCGTGAATGGGAGGTCGTTCGTAGAGCGCGCTGAGCGAGATAATCGTATTTCAAATAACTAGCTCTATCCAGTAGATTTGGAGGACCGAGCCTCTCCAAAAGGCCTGGTCTAGGACACATGAAAGCCATGGGCCAGCCTTGTAGAAGTAATATTCAAAGGCACGAGGCTCCCGCAAAGCCTGAGATAAAAAGGGTGTGGTGTCTAGCTGGGGCCGCCCAATAGTCTTTAAAAGACCTGTGCTATAGGCTATAGCCGCACCCGCGTCTTGTACTGTTATATCTTAGGCAGTTGGGTTTCTTCTAACCACATCTTACACGGCGAATTCTGCAAATTGAATGTCAAGTACAGTGATTGATCGAGTTCCTGAGGGACAATTGACTTGTATGTGTCGCACCCAGTCTTGGACTTGGTGGCTCCGAGGCGGCCAGAACGCTTGGCAGACGAACTCGTGGACAAAAGTAGGAGTAGCAGTTACAAATTTTCTTCGACTCCGGTATCGCTTGCGCGACTTCTCATCCAAAATGCCAGCCTCATAAGCAGAGACCAAAGCCCTGGGAAGCTCGGGAGCGAAGTCGCGTGTATTAAAGTTTGCTGTAATATACAGCAGATTACATCACTGTCAGAAAAGAGCAATACTATATTGAAAAGTACATGTATGTAACTTACAGTTTGTTAACTAACGCGTGTTATATAGTGGAATAGAAAAAAAAGTCCACGGGTAGTATAAATTCAACATAGAATCCTATTAATTTAAGTAAATGCCTAGATGTATATCGGAACCTTCCCAGGTTCAACCACCTCAAGTCAACCATATTCTTAGAAGCAGTTAGGTACCTAGCTCCAATGAGATTTTTTACCATCTTTCGCGTGGTCACACACTAGGAGTTTGCGCTTGAAGTCTCAGTCATTTCAAGAAGTCTGATGTGTATGGCGCCGGCACAATAAGTCACACAATGCAACGTTCTATAGCTTAAAAGTTGACAAACCGCCGCTCATAATACACTCAGCCCAATGTTTACCACTAATTGGGCATTTATTCCGCTAAAACCAGTACTTTAGTTTAGAACTAACAAATGGCTGATATAATTTTTATACAACATAATGTGATAGTAAATCAAGATATCTGACCTGAGAGCATCTTGCTGATAGCATACTGTGAATGGAAAGTGTGGTCGATATTCATGATTCGAAATCTGAAAATGCGAAGGAAGCCACAAAAGTTGAACATTTACTGCAGTTCACCATCTCCGAGGCAGCGCTTCAGAGGGTGCGAGTCTCCCAAGCAAGGTGTAAGAACACCCTTTACCCATGATCAGGAGTTTTGTCCATAGGAAAAAGTATCCTGGTTAAAAGAATCCGACTGAAAGTGTTCGTACTGTCCACTTTCAGGCCGTCCACTGAATGCGTATCCGCTTTTGCGATAGGTCAACGGATTGCTAACAATGGCACCCCATTTATTCTTTGGAATGGTCATGGTAACCATTCCGGTAAGAGTATATGTCTTGTTTGAAGAAAGGGTGTCTGAATGACTTGAAGTTCCAACTGACGAGCTTTAGAAGTAGGATTTTGTGGCCTTTTAATTCGCCACTGCCATTTTCCTTCATTCGCACATGCTGAAACTGTTGAAAATAACTTTTCAGTGCACGAAGTTGAGCATGAAGCTGGCCATGCAGTGGGCGCTCTGGGTGTATGCCTTGATTTTGTTAAAGTCGGTTCCGACTTCAGACTTGTCAAGTTACGCCTACAATTCCGCGGAGGCCGGTGTGGCGTGAACACTACATGATCACATTTTTTTGGCATTTGTGGGTCCTTATCACGGCTATATCAGTCTGATTTGGCTACTTTGATGAACAAAAAGTGTCGAAACCCTATCCTCATCATGCGCATTTGTATCAAGATGACATATTGCAGTTTCGACGGCGCGCCAATAAATAAAGCATCTTCTTGATCGGCAGCTATTTTGTACATCAAGCGCTTTAAACTATTTAACCCATCGGTCCCTGGTTTGGTGTCAAAAAGGCTCTCTTAGCGGTTACGGCAAGTCGGGTGACTGATTTAGCCGGTCACAACTATGTACATATGTGCATAGATAACAATCACGTGTTGACACTGGATGACAAACCAAGCAAACGCCACTGCGCCACAAAAGATAGTCGCCCTCTCAACCGCCTCAACAGCCTCAACAGTCTCATGTTACACCTTATACATACCTAGGTAGCAAGCTCCTCACTGGCCTGACTCAGTGGGAAAAAAAATTAACCCATGTCACAAGCTGTATTCAATAGAGCGCGTAGTTATGTTATATATATATATTTAAAAAAAAACATTTTCACACCCCGCATCCCAAGTAAGAAAATGGATCTCGGATCCATGCGGAATTCAATCGACCCCATTCCCTGCAATAGGACTAGAACATAACCCACCAAGACCTGGGGTTGAATAAATCCTCCCGAGGTCGGACTCCGAGGTTTAGGCTAATGTAAGCATCTTCGAGAAAATTCTAGTTCCTGTCCCGAGGACTTGCGATAACCCTGGAAAGTTAAAAAGCGCCACTTCTAGTTCCCGAGGCTTATGCATAATTACTTTAAATTTTCGAACTTCTTGTGAAAAGACTGGACTTTTTTAAAGGGTTGAATGATCTGGGGTTGAAATTTGGGGTAAAACACAAATTGTACATAAAAACTTGACTAAAACTTTCTATGTTATCTGAGGAGACATATAACGGGGGCCTCTAAGTGTGCCGAACGGGGGTGCCTTCACGCCGGGCCGGGTGCCGGGCCGGTAAAATCGGTCGCCGGAGTGCAGAACAACGACCAGGTCCCAAACCTTGGATGGTTAGAACGTACGGGGTTGGCTCGCCTAGTACCGAATAATCCACAACTATAAACAGGCGCGCCGGTGAATATATGTTTATGTAATCATTCCCCGGTGTCGCTGGCCAACCTTGGAAGCCCATGAACGCGTTTTTTTCGACGCCATCAACCTGATTGGCATTTTACCCCGGAGGAACCCCCAGAGTGCGCTTGAGCGAGTTCAAAGTTACAAAACCGTTGATCTCCCCACAGTCAGCATCATAAACAGTACACTACTGGTACCTGGTGGTTGAATATTCCAACTTTCCTCGCCTGCGCCAAGCGAAAACTCTGGGCCAACCGTTCATCTTTGGGCCTCCACACGCGATTTTCGGTGCCTTTTCTTCTCGCCCCGGATTTTTTTTTTTCTTTCTTCACTTTTCCACATACTATTTCAACAATATGAGTTTCAACGAAGCACCTCGTCCTATTCAGGACCATCAAGTATACAATGACTCGACCGACATGGAGAAGAAGTCATGCCCGGTAGACCACACAGATGATCCCTTTGGAAATGAAGAATCCGGGGAAGTGAAGTATCGGATCATGCCATGGTGGTAAGTATCTCGATCTATTTGCTGTTTAGATTGCATCAAAGAGCACAGTTCTGACTTTTATACAGGCAGGCTGGAACACGTGAGAGCCCATAATTAACCTCAGTCAAAACAGGAACCCCTTTCTAATATTGTTCATCTAGTAATGGTTGCTGAAAACATCTCGCTTGGTATTTTATCTCTTCCGTCTGCAGTAGCAACTCTCGGAATTATCCCGTAAGAAAATGTCTGCCTCTATGATGCAGGAAGAAAGCTGACCATCTCCAAGAGCATTTGTCATTATTATGTTCCTATCCGCTATCTCGTGGTACACTGGATACACCATGGGCCAGTTCAAGAAGCGTTACCCCCAGGTCCATAGCATGGGCGATGCTGGCGAGCTTCTTCTAGGCCCCATTGGGCGCGAAATCTTCTTCGTCGGCCAGCTGCTGTTCATCATCTTCTTGATGGCCAGCCACATTCTCACCTTCTCCGTGTTGTTCAACACCATCACCAACCACGGTACCTGCACCATTGTTTTCGGAGTCATCGGCTTGCTTGTCAGCTGTATTGCAGCCCTCCCGCGGACAGCAGAGAAGGTCTTCTGGATGTCCATCGTCTCCGCCCTCAGTATCCTGATCGCCACCATCACCACCATGATTGCCATCGCCGTTCAGGCCCCCGATGATGTCCAGAACGATATCGTCACGACCCCGACCTTCCAGGAAGGTTTCTTGGCGGTTACCAACATCGTCTTCGCCTTCATTGCCCATGTCTCTTTCTTCGGTATCATGTCGGAAATGCAAGATCCCGCCGATTTCCCCAAGGCTCTTGCTATGCTCCAAATTGTCGATACTACTATGTATATTGTGACCGCTATGGTCATCTACTGCTACGCGGGCCCAGGTGTCGCATCTCCGGCTCTATCGTCGGCTGGACCTATGATGAAGAAGGTTGCCTACGGCCTGGCCATTCCAACGGTGCGTTATTTGTCTCCCTGTGGTTAACCAGGGGACCTGTTCTAATTTCTAATAGGTCATTGTTGCCGGTGTTGTCTTCGGCCACGTTGCATGCAAGTATATCTATGTTCGAATCTTCCGCGGCGAGCGCTCGCACCACATGCATCAGAAGAGTCTCTTGGCTACAGGTACATGGGTCGCTATCGGCCTGAGCACTTGGACTCTTGCGTGGGTGATTGCAGAGTCGATCCCAGTGTTCAACGAGTTGTTGAGTTTGATTGTATGTTCTCTCGGCATTTATTATTGTGCGTGTGCTAATCTGTTGTACAGAGCGCCCTATTTGGAAGCTGGTTTAGCTGTAAGTCGACTTTTGATACTAATGTATTGATGCAAAATGGATTGCTGACTGAAAATAGACGGACTCCCTGCCATTTTCTGGCTCATGATGAACAAGGGAAAGTGGTTCTCGTCAACTAAAAAGACCGTCCTGACCATCATCAACTTGGTCATTCTTGCAATTGCTTGTGCTATTGTATGTTTTGTCTATCTCCCTGATCCTGAATTCCCTACTGACAAGACTAGTGCGGATTGGGACTTTATGTCTCCGGCGTGGCTATTAACGACAGTTCGTCCAAGGCCAGCTGGACCTGTGCCAACAATGCCACCTAAATTCGTTTATTCTCACAGTGAACATATATTATGTTTCCAGGGTTGGAAATGGTTGCTTTATAGATATGCTTGGGTAAGTATTGACTGATATACTGCATCAATTGGCTGGGCCATTGTAAATAGACTTCATTTGGTGTTTAGAATTAGACGTTTAACTTACCTGCTGGGGGTGTTGCTCGATATTTAAAGAATGTAAATTACTTGAAATCACAAGATGAGTTTTCACTGATATAATTTCAAATTCTTCTCTTGTACAAATTAAGCTATAAGACAGAGTCCTTAATTACTTGGCTCAACCTTTCAGTGAACCAGTGATGCTATCACCAGAATGATACTAAGACCCCCTCTAGTTCTTGCTGGCCTTGGTCTGGGACAATCCCAGGCATTCCGCCACGCCAAAGAAGATGTCAATCGAGTTGTAGACACCTCCGAACAGCTCCTGGCATGGGCCGCGGGCAAAGACGGGCACGTCAGTCAACGAGTGGACACCCTGTGAGGCATCAACGGGCAAGGTACCGTTGACCAAGAAGCCAGTAACGGCATCCTTGTAGTTAGCAACGACACCATGCTCCTTGTCGGACACAGCAGGGACACGGGGACCCTCGCTGTGAACCTTGTAGTTCTCGCGGTGGTCAGGGTGGGCAACAACACCAGCGTGCAGGGAGTATCTGGGGTCCCAGCGGGCAGGGAAGTGGACGCCCTCGGAGTACCGCAAGGCGTTGGATCCGGCGACGGTGTATTGCGAGAGACCGGAGTTATCGTAATAACCGATAGCATTGCGCTTGCTGCGGTCGTCTTCCTGTGCCTCCAAGTACTCAGTGTCGACGGAGCCAGTCACATCGAAGCCGTGGCCGTGATCGGCGGTGACAATAATGAGGGTATCTTCGAGCTGGCCGAGCTTCTTGAGCTTCTCAATAGTGGCACGAACGGTATCGTCGAGCTCGAGAAGCTCACCGAGGGAGCGGTCGTAGTCCAGAGTGTGCATCTGCTTGTCGATGCTGGCGGCCTCGGACATAAGGATCCAGCCGTCCTTGCGGTGACGCTTATCGAGCACATCAATGGCCTTGAGGGTCATGTCCTTGAGTCCGGGGAGATCATCTGCATCGCGGCCGGATCCATCGGGGTAGTTGCTCTGGTTGTAAAGGTTGGACTGGTAGACGTTGCGATCGAGCCAAGTAGGGAGGTTGGACTTCGAGAAAACGCCGAGCAGCTTGTCCGTTTTCGAGGCCTTGCTGAGTGCGGTGTTGTTCAAGGCAACGTTGTAGCCCTTCTTGGCGAAGAGCTTGAAGTAATCACGGTGCTTCTCGCTTGCGAGGAAGTCCTCCGCACCAGCGCCAAGGAGCACATCTGGGCCATCCCACTCGGTCCAGTCCTTGAGACCACCGTCGTAGTAAGAGCCGATGACATGGTCATAGTCGCCACGGTTAGCAGTGTGAGCAGACAAACCGGCAGGGGTAGCATCAGCCAAAAAGGCAGTTGACACAATGCCGACACCGCCCTTGGGGCGTTGACGGCGGAAGATTTCTGTAACAGTCTCGAACTTAGGGTCATCAAGGGAATCGCTGGAGGAGTCAACATAGACACCCAAAGCATTGACAGTAGTCTTGTGACCAGTATACAGGGCGGTGGCGGAGTTGGCCGAATCAGTAATGAACGAGTCCATAGAGTGTGTCATCTGGTGACCCAGCACGGGGAACTTGTCCAAGGCCATCTTGGTCATGTATTTGCCGTTGATGCTCTTGTGGGCAATGAGACGTGCAGCAGTGATCATGTTGGTTGTCATACCATCTCCGACGAACATAATGACGTTCTTGGCGCGACGCTTGGTAGGGATATTACGAACAAACCAGTTGGCGACGGTCTTTTGCTTGCCATAGTAGGTCAGAGTAGCCTCGTACTCGCCGGGCTCGTAGAGGGCAATTCTACGGTAGATCTTGGAGGTCACATTGACTAGAGAAGGCGTATTTGCGTCCTGGGCGAAGCGATCTGTTTCTGTTAGCTTATGTATTCCCCAGGGACTCTATGATACGAGGCCATTACCTTCAAACCATGTGAAGTCCCACTTCTCAAGCTCAGGCTCCTTCTTGATCTTGAAGAATTCAGTTACAGAGACAGCCTTGCTCTTCTTGCCCTTCTTGGCGATAGTGAGCTTGAAGTTTTCGTCGGGCTTGCCAACACGAGCTTCGGAACCATTGACGGGGGAGTGTACTTCGAGACGGATATCGAAGTACTGACCCGCAAGGAAGTCAACCCTACAAATAGCAATTAGTAGCTATAAATCAATTCCAAATGAAATATTACATACTGGTCCGGAGGGAAGATACATCCCAAGTCGGGGCAACCACCCAGACGCTGGAAGGTCTGGGCTGCCGCCAACGAGGCAAAACATGCCAGCACAGAGATAGAAGTGGCACGCATCTTGATCTCAAAGCTTATTGTGATGAAATCGATTCGAATTTCGAGAGAATATAGCTCTGTTAAGTACAACGAGCTTCGCAGCTAGTTGCAAGCGGGCTTCCTGCCAAGAGCCTCCTGCCAAGACAATCTATAGTGATGTATAGCAATTCAAATCTCCGAATTATGCTAGACCCTTAGCAAAGTGGTGTTGCTAGATCATGTATGTTCTACGCGGGAACGAATAGGAAGTAAGCAGTATTTGCACGTGCGTAATCCTGATGTTTCCCTGGGAAGCTTGACCCTCATTGCCAAGTTGAGTGAACGTGATGCCAAGCCCGGTCCAACCAACCCCAGTCGTCCGCCAAGGTTAGAGGGCTTGGCGTACCATCGCACGTGGGATGGATAAGGGATGGGGTGGAATAACGTTCTAAATGTACTGACAGTTGTTTAAACACGTGAATCATTTCGCACAGCTATCGATCATGGCACCAAACGATATAGAGATATAACAAGACGCTAGTCAATTATATGTCTCTCCGAGTGCGGAGTATATCCCTAGTGTCGAGAAAAGGTAGCTGTAAGCGTTCGGTTGAAATGTCCAATGTGAAATACAAAGTACCAAACCATACGATATGCACGGAGTACTCCGTACACATGTACAATATAGACAACAAAGTCCTGAGCCATCATATCATTGGCCCTCCTAGTTAGGGTTGGACCACCCGTAGACGGTTCTAGCGTGGGATTCCAAACATGCACCCCTGAATCCTGAATATTAAAATACAACATACATCCGAGGTGCGGAGATGAATTCATTCCCTGGCGCTTTTGTCGGCACAGGATGAAAAATTCCAGCGCCAAACCAATCGGAATACCACATATTCTAGCACCTGCCTGTCCCTGCATAAACACATATTGACAGGCCCGAGCATTCTACAAACAGTGGGTATAGGTGAACTTGATTGATGTTTTGTAGTGACCTACTGACATACCAGTGTCCGTACTTCGTGTACTAAATGTCTAGCTACCTAGTCTGTACGGAGTAGAAATGCCATATTAACGTTGAAATCAGCCTCCCAATTTAGTTCACAGCCATTTGCAGCAAAAGTGGCCCCATGATGTGATTACACTGCATGAGCTCGGGAACAGGTGAGGCTTAACATATGGTCACCCCCACAGCATCGGCGAAGCAAAAGTACTTTTTTTCATCTTAGTTTTCTATGATATTAGTGGGTCGTAGTGCTTTGATATAGAGAACTGTATCATTATAGTCGTGGAAAGCAATAACAAAATGAACAAAGAATCGACTACTAGTATCAGACCCTCGGGATAACTGCAAGTATTGGATCTTTACAATGCCTATTTTTCGACCATGAGATCTTTAATTGTAAGCTGTGCTATTTGACTATCATATGATGTGAGGATCTTATAGAAATATCGTTATTAGTGGCTGTTATTCTGGTGGTAAATGGCTGTCAAAGGACTGACTCGGGACCGAATCAAAAAAAAAAAGAAAGAAAAAAAAAAGGATACCATATTATAGTATCATGAATTATACCGAGAGACTCAGTCAGAATTCTCGGAGGCCGATTTTACGTATCCATCGCATTTGTATGCTGATTAAGAATATATTTCCATCCACTAACTATAGCAGCCAACAATGTGGTTGGCTTTCATTGTTCTTATTTCTCATCTCGTGGCCCTGACATGGCTTACCATTTCAATTCTTTATTGTCAAATCATGGTTTCCCGAGGTCTCATCCGAACGGCTGACAAAATCTCAAAGACAATGGAGTGTCCATTATCTCAGTCTTTGAAAGCATGGATACTACTATTTATGATCGAAACTCTGCACCCGAGTCCAATCAAACAGACATCCTATCGCCCCAAATGTTGCTTGGTTTAAATTTAGCCCTTTGATTTCGATTCTTTCGGGTCCCTCTCTTTGTTCATTATCTATTAATGGCCCTCAATAGAGACCTCAAAGTCTAGTTCGAAGTGCAGAACCTACAAGTTCTTATCAGTTCATCAAGTTCGCATTTATCAATGCTGTTTGACACAGAGAAAACATCAATACCCATTTTTGGCCTTGGATTGATCTCACATTTTCTACAAAAATCTTCATACCAGTGCAAATTCAAAATTTCCAACTTCTCTCCAATGTCGCTATCTAGCACTCTCAAATACAGCGAGCGACAAGCCGCTGGCCAATTATTACAGCAGAGGATCGAATCCCCAGCATCTGACCCGTCCCCGCAAAAATGTCCAATTCTGCCTTCTAGTCTGACATTCAAAGACCTCAGGAAAGCGAAGCAACTAGAAATAGATATGGACCTGAGTCCTTATATTCCGATCCAGATTGAAGCCGATTTTGCGGGACTCGAAATAATGGGACCAACAGGTGGGGCATGGGAAAAGGTCGCTATAGATGAAACTGACGCTTCACCAGACCCTAGATACAGTGATATCCATACATGGGAAGGACAAGTTGCACCTGGGGTCCTAATCATTGAGGAAATAAAAAGGACAAAAGGTTTCCGCATGTCAGAAGTCTCCCAGGCCATTTACGAGGAGTTCTTCCCAATCAATACTCTGCAGTACGTCTATTTGATCGACGTTTGCAATACGGATACCCGTTCGTTTGTGCAGGACGAGATCTACACTGGATCTAATGGCCTCGCTTGGCCAGATGACGCGATACGTGATTGGATGCCTGGAACCCCAGAATTTGAGGCGCTGCTAGGGACAGCCCTTGGGCATAATATGGCATTTTTGATTTTGGGGGCCTTCAAACGTGGGACACGCCGGATTTCACGAATCAGGACCTTTAGTTCGTTCGAGGTATTGCAGATGCAGTTTGCCATTGAGGATATTGAGCAGACGGAGCAGACGGAGCAGACTGAGGAGACTGAGGAGACTGAGGCCCCGATTCAAACCCCTGCGGCTCCCAGTATCGCGTCCACTAGTACCGCTTACACAGGTCCTGAGACAAGGGCGGCAGTACGCCGCCGACTAAACCTTGAAGCGCAAAAGCGCAAGAAGGACGATGATGAAGATGAAGATGAAGATACTGGGCCGAAAAAAATCCAGAAAAAATAGTCCCATTAAGTTGGATGTTGACGATTGGGCGAAAATACATCACTGTCCGTGTTATTTGTATTTTATTTCCGTCTGGCTTTGCTCGCCAAATCACCTTATGTATCTAACGCTTTTCTGCTTTCCTAACTCTGTGTAATTATTCTGTATTCTTCATCTAAAATGTTAGTTCTGCTTCTTCTGTCCTCTCCAAATCTCCTTGGCCTGACCTATAATTACACAGATAATGACTTTCACTTAACTAATTGGTTTCCAATTCCGTTGCAGGGCGTGACTAGAATGAAGAAAGAAAAATAAAATAGATCTACATAAATACTTCTTTCAATATAATTAGCATGCAGTATCCGTAATCGACTCCTTTTCTATGTAGGGTTGAAATGTCCCAATATGTTGCCTTTTCCTGTAGATCCATCCATCTTCTTGTTAGTTACATGGATGCTGCATAGGGAATACCAAACAAACATATCTTAACTCCAAATATGAGGGCTCATAGGTCAATACTATAATTTAGCTGACCCCTGGAGGAAGGGGGGGCATTTAGTAGTGTTACACGGCCTCGGGCAGCCAGTCCATTTCCAGTTTCAGATCGCAATTTCCTTCCCACTTTTTATCATAACTCTTCATTCACCTTAAAATTTAGCAATCCCAGGTTCATTCTCTCCTTATTCTTCTTCTCGCCCCTCTTTTCCTTTGCACATCACCCCAGCGTATTGCAGACCCGGGAGAAAAAAACGATCGATCAGTCTACGGCTGAGGCTTTGTTCCGCCGACTCGGTGGATCTGCCACACTATACTCAAAGCTCCCTGCACCGAGACCCAACAGAATCTCTCTTTTTTTTTGAAAGTTCTGCATAGATTCTCAACCCACGGCATTTTGTGAGCCCAATATTTTCCAACCGATTTGAAATAATCCACGCTCTTCCTGCCCCATGGCTCTCTTATTGTTAGGTCTAGGGATTGCAGTGGCCAAGTCCCGTAAGTAGCCAATGAGAGATACCCAATGTTGATAAAGCAAGCGTCTAATGCACCTTGCATTTAGTTGCCATTGCTATATGGACTGCCATCATTGCTCCATTCCGTGGTCAAAAGGGGGGTGCCACAGCCTACAAGCATATTGCACTGTCTTTTATGCGTGCCCTTTTTAAAAATGCATCCATAGAGCAGCTACAGTGAGTTTGAACATCAATACCCAGAAAAGATACTTAGATACATATCCAAGGCCTCTCCTGGGACAAAGAAACAATTCTAAACCTACCTCGCAGACTTGTTCTTCCCTCTACTTTCGCTCAGAAAAGTTACGAAATCCACATGAAACAGCAAAAGACCTCTCCCAACATACTCGTTCTCCCCGAAGGTACAACGGCATTCTGGCTAGGAGACCCTGCTGCCGAAAAGTTGATCATCTACTTTCCCGGTGGCGGTTACTGCCTCCCTGCGCTACCAGGCCACTTCAGCTATCTCGAAGCACTCTCCGCACACATAAAGCAACACGGGAAAAGCATTGGCGTGCTGTTACTTGCCTATGGTCTGGCCCCACAGGCCCGATGGCCTTGTCAGTTGCAACAGGCCGTTGCCATTTTACGGTACGCCATCCAGATACTGGGGAAGCGACCATCAGATATTGTTCTTCAGGGTGACTCGGCGGGCGCTCATCTTGCACTTGCGCTACTATCACATCTCACTCATCCGCATCCCCAAGTGATCGTACCGAGATTCTCAGTTGATGGACCCCTTGGAGGAGCGATGTTGTTGTCTCCTTGGGTTGACTTTGGAACTGATCACGCGAGCTCCATCGCAAACGCGGGTAAAGACCTTATTTTGGCCCAGTCTTTGAATAGCTGGGCACGGGTATTTCTGGGCCAGACTACAGAAGATGAGTACAATTGCCCGGCTAAAGCCCCAGTGGGCTGGTGGAAAGATATCCCTGTTTCAAGAATCTTTGTTGGTGCGGGAGGAGACGAAGTGCTGTTAGATCCGATTAGGCAGATGGTTGAGAGGATGAAGGTGAGGTGATTTCCCCAAGCTTCGTGTTATCTCTAACGATTTGTCATCCGCAGGCCGAGCTCCCTGATGTGAGCATTAGTATTGTACCGCGAGAATTCCACGCTGAGCCAATCACGGACTTCGCTTTGAAGATACGCCCTGGGTTGCAGTTCGAAACGATGGCATCATGGCTGAACCAGACCTTTTCGAGATGAAATGGGGAAATGAGTCAAGATGAAGGTAGTGAGATATAATAATAAATGCATCTCACAAATTTCAGTCGAGTGGGCGGTCAGAGAGCGCCAACTCGATCAGGTTTCAGGGCTTTGTTTGATGTGTCGCCACCTCGGCGCCCAGTTTCCCTGACCTTGACTGCACAACTTATGAATATAATTTCCAGTTCAGCTTCTTACCACTCAGATTCTTGCCACCCGCGTTTTATGTGACTAGTGAGACTTTTTTTTTTTTCCGCGAGATGCACTCGATCCACGATCCACAGAAGCGGTCCGGTGATGAGCCTCGGAAGAAGATCCGAAAGGGGACCCGCAGTTGCTGGCAATGTACAAGAGCCCCTTGTTATGGATGATTTATCCCTAACGATTGTTTTCTGCCCACATAGGCAAACATCGCAAAGTTCGCTGCAATTTTTCATCTGATAGCGACCCGAGCTGCAGAGAATGTCTCGCTCGGGGACTGCCATGTCGCAGCCAAGAATTCCCGGAACCTGAGAATCCCCGCGAGTCGGACCGGACCCATCTGAACGAGCGGATGGCTCGGGTTGAGAAACTGTTGGAGAAACTGTTGATACGAGTCGATGGAGGGGGTAATCAAAAGTGGGACTCAAAATCGCCTATAGATTCAGTGGAACCCAATAACGAATCGAGTCCTGCGACCGTGACACCAGCTCCGGATAATGCTCCAGTTTTGTCTCTTTTTAACAACGAAACAGTTCGTGTGATAACTCGTAGCGGGGTCTGAAATGGCTTCGAGCTCGCGCTTACTAGTTAATAGTTAGGTTTCCAACGATCGGACGGCGTTGTGCCCGATTTTACACCATATGGCACAATCAACCGGGACTGGGGGAGACTGCGCCGCGATCTGATAGCCTTGATACCCTCCGAGAAGACATTGAAGATCATATCAGAGGCTAGCAGTAGCTGGTGGCTTATGCGCGTACAATTATTCAAAGATTATGATGAATCATTGGTCTCGTCCTCGAAGGAAACCCTTTCAAACAGCCACCCGGCTGTGGTTGGTAAGGCCATTCTGTGGATTGCACTGTGTCTCCAACAACTCCCTTCAGAGCTTGATTTACCATCTCTCGGGCTTCCCTGCCTATCATGGGTCCTAATTGAAGAATGCGTTGCCCGTGTTTCCACGTTCGTATGCTCTGATGACTCTATTGTCAGTTGCATCGATGGGCTCGAGTGCTTGGCTCTGCAAGGGTTGATCTTTAGCAATGATGGGAAGCTGCGAAGTGCATGGCTTTCTTATCGTCGGGCTGCAGACATCGCTCAAATTATGGGGTTCCACCGTGCTGAACCAGCTCCAAATGAAAGCGCAGAGTTTCAACGCCGGGCTACGTTCATCTGGAGTCACATTCTCATGGTAGACCGGCATTTTTCACTGATTCTTGGAGTACATGGAGCTATATCAAATGCTGCAATAGATCTATACCAGTCCAACCTGAGCGACTCTCGAGATTTGCCCGTTCACAAGGCATCCGTTCTACACCCACTTACTCGAATAGCCGGATCAATCATTGACCGCAATCAGAACTTCACAGAGGTCACTCCAGGCATGCTGCAGATGACACAGAGCATCGATGCGCAATTACGATTGCTGAAGGTCCCTCCTTTCGCGTCACCCGACAATGTTCCGCCGGGCAAGTGTACGGAGCGGTCTGCTTGTTTACTAACGCTTCACTCTCGGCTATGGCACTACCAGCTCATGGTTTGGTTACACCTGCCTCTCTTCCTGGCGTCAGGTACTGATAATAGCTATGGTTATAATCGGCAAACTTGTCTTCAAGCCTGCCGTCAGATCATCACTTGCTATGTCAACATCCGACGCGTCACTGAAAATGGGTTTGACTCGAAGATTCTTGATTTCCAGGCCTTTACTACAGCAACGACAATCATTATCAGTGCATTCGGGCCATTTGGTGCACAGGAATTTACTAAAGAAGACTACATCGCTATCGACCGTGTTATAGCTGTTCTAGAGCAACTATCCAACACAGTTCCAGACAATATTGCAACTCGAGGGTTGCGTGTTTTGAAGACTATCAAGGGAATAGGAATGGGAACCGAACCCCTACCACTTAACACATCAGAAGGACATCAATATGAGAATGGAAGGCCTAGTCGCATCAAGCTTGATATTCCCTATTTCGGCACGATATACCTTGAACGTCATGCTCTCACCAACCAGTCAACCAAAGTTTTTACAGATCGTACTATACCAGTGCCAGATTTGCCTAGCACCGTTCCTGGGCAATATTACCCGTCCTCTTCATGGATGGGCACGATCCAGGACGCCAGCTATACAAATGAGCAGGTTGCCGAAACAGCCCAATGGGCGGATACCGGCTTGGGCTTAGATCTGAATACCGAGTTTTGGGCTCTCAATTCTGAGTTCACGTTTCGAACTCCATTTTTGGCCGATCATGATGTTGATTGGGATAGTTTAAGTATGGATATAGGGTTATGACGAACGCGTGCAAGTAGAGCGGGTTTCACTGTGCCGAATGCGAGCTTTGTTTTCTTTTGGCTTCATTTTGGTGTTTCGGTCACTTTTTTGGTCGTATACAAAGTACTCTTGGGGGCTTTTTAGACGTACCTTGAGTAGTCCTGTTTTGATAAATATTTTGGTCTGACTAGCAAGTAGGCAACTTTAATTGGCTTCTTGTCAGCCATTGTTTTCTTCGCCATTCACTTTCCCTTCATCGGATATGAGATTTTTGACCCAAGCAGAAATTTCAAGCTAGAGGTTAAACCTATGTATTGCCACCCTGATCAACATGTAAGCCCTCATTCATAGCACCCACAGAATAGCACCATCAAATACGCTGGAGGCCCACATTAACATCCCGCCCCCATTTACCCCATTGGTTTCCCGCGCTTTACCCCATGTCACAATTTCACAATTTGAGCCCGGGAATACTAGTAGTAGCTTGCTACAACCTGGTAACCACCATTTGAGCTTACCCCAAGCTAAATAGAGCCTTGGCAAATATCCGTCTAAATCACTGTATGTTCATAGCCTTGTTGATTCACCATCTTCCACTCTATGTAGACATAAAACAGCATGTAGACTAAATTCAAAAATTTTAAAAAATTTACACGTACGCTACTAAAAGCAGCAAACAAGTATCCAGATTGATCATTTTGCTACAAATTATGTCATTAGGTAGGTATACGGCATGAGAAGGGGTGAAAATGCTAAAGCTATACAGGTATTATGATCATGGAGGGATTGGGCAAGATATAGCTTCAGGAAGCATCGGGCGTTATATAATCAATCACAGAATCTGAATGAATCCTATCAAGGACTGAGTCTGTTATATACGCTCTAGGAGGTACATCAGCAAGAAGTCCCATCGAGAGCCCCTGTGGACAGGATACGTACGAAAAGCCCCTCGCAATCATATCCGGAAATCTATTTGTGACAGCACCGCCATCTTCGTGAATATCGCGCATGTAGTCATTGATCTGCTCAGTGGGAACTGAATCTTGAAACGTTACCTGTTTTTGTTAGTAGGGCTTAGGGGAGAAAGGTTTGAAGGGCATTTACAATGTATTTTGGGGCCATTATATCGTGGATAATTTGTATAGAGTTTTTGGGTGAAAATTAATTCAAGACTCTCTATATATCCTCTCCATGATCCTCAGGTATATATGCCTTTTTTAGGTGAAGAGTGCTGACGTCATTGTATGCCATTGTATGGAACCCCTAAGGCCGGGGCCCCCGGGGCCCCCGGGGTTTGAGATAACACCATCTAGGTGGCAAGCACCGCTATCTACACATTTGAACGAATTTGAATCTTTTACCTTTTCAGTCTTTGAATTCCCGGAATCGTTGCTGTGAAGTATACCCTCGAATATCCAAATCGGCCACGTTCAGTTCACCAATATGGCTGATTTATATCCTCTCTAAGGAGTCATATCGCGCAAAATGTGCCAAGAAATACAAGAAATAAATCATCACCCTCTAAGTTGCAGATTTGAACTCTCATATATCTAGATCTATCTGAAATAAAGGAATGACACGCTGGGACGCAAAAGAAATCAGCAATACGTTTTTTATAAGGTAAACAAAGGGCAAAAAGAGCCGCGGGGATCCGGGGGGGGGGGGGGGGGGGGGCGGCCAAGAGATCTTCCAAAGTTATTTTAAAACCTCTGATCCATGGGACGACATGAGCCCCGCAAAATTACCCCAAGCCCGCTTGAAAGAGGGATCCTTGGTGGAACATTCACTCAACCATCGCAGAGCCTTTTGGGCTCTTTCCGATAGCTCGATCCTTTCACTAGCCCTCGTTCGATCCTGGGTGAGCAACTGTGTTATGAGCACTACGGTACTCTGCGTGAGGTAGTGGAGAGCACACCACCAAGGTGAGGAACCCAAGAGCCAGGAGATGTTTGGTTCATTGGGTAAGAGATCCAGCATTTGGCATGCTGCATTGAAGCAAACCATTGCCATTGGGGTTTCAATGGCAGTGGGAAATTCTTCACCGGACATATGAGAACGAAGGGCAGGTTGCGAAATGACAAGTTTGGTCGAATAGTATTGAAAAGCCAAACTTGTCCGCTGACGGACAAAGGCCCGGTCAACCTTAGTTTCCATGAAACGATAAGTCTCAGGAAGCCGAGAAAACCAGTTGTCAGCGGCGCTGTTAAGCGATGTCATGGCCAGCTCGGTGTCATTCCGCGATTTTTGTCCCGCTTCGGGGGAATACAGGATCTCGATTGCTTCTCTCATCACAGCTGCCAAGTCAATGGAATAAAGTAAGTATAATGAGACGTTAGCCTGGAGCTGTTGACTGGGTGATGCCCGTTGAGGCATGGACTGTGGAGAAGGCGAATGGGATAAAGAGTCGTTTGGTTCAACCGAGGGATCAAAGGAGAGTAGAGAAGCCATAAGACGACCTCTGGATTGATTATCCAAGATAAGCCTCATCACATGCTCATCCCTGAAGTCTTCCTCCTTGTATGGCACCGGTAAAGGGGTCGTGCAGTGTTCCTGTTGTATTCTGGGCATGCGTCCAGTCATCACACAGAGGAGTATGTCCAACAGGTACAGCGCCCACCATAGCCGATATCTGGTTTCTTTGGACACGTGTGTGATTCTAGGGCTTTCGCTACGAAGGTGGATTCCCATCGCGATCGCCGACTGAATTGCAATGCCACATGTTCTCCATGCCCTAAACCAAAATCAGTGGCTACGTAAAGGCTCGCGGTATTCGGCCTACCTATTAGCATGTCCAATGGCAAGCAAGTAGAGTGATATTAGCCCCTCCACCTGTGTCTGCTGCAGGTTGGGATTATCCAACAGCAGTACACTCTCGCTCATGCTTAATCGCCAGGCACGAGAAAAATACACCGTATGGAGATCTTGTTCTGGTCGAGGTTGGTCGCCGGAAAGCTCGGAATGTCTTGCAGATATCGCAAACACCATATTCAGTAGCGCCATCCATCTGTTTCCGGGGTATGTTGTTGAGTTCGAGTAGAATGATCGACACTGGCTTAGGAAAATCTCTTTTCCCACAACAGGAAAGGAGGCATGCGCAACTTGGAAGTATCTGTCCACAAGTTCATCGGCGATCGCTTGTGGCGGATATGCGAAGACATCTAGATCGTTTATCAGAGGGATTCCAGTATCATCCATAAAGAATCCACAGGAAGAAATTGAGGGACGGGCCGATTCCTTGAACTGGCCTTCCAGATTGGAACTTGTTTGGCCGATCAGGCATCTAAGCCTGTATAACCATGCCGTTGCCGAATGTTCTCCTATAAAGCCAATCGCTTGCAGTAAAAGGTTTCCATTGAAATCCTCCAGGGTATGATCCACGTAGGAAAACGTTCGGGTTGATGGGTCTGTCTCATCTGGTGTTTTGGCGACGGTCGGCGATGATAGGGAAATGCTAGATATCTGTGGGTTGTTAGGTTGATCAATAGGAGTGGTTTCAGTTGACTGGATCAGGGGGTCGTTATCCTCACTTTCTGGAGAGCTTGATCGACGATTTTGGCCAGCTCGACGTCGAATTTGGGATAAATATCACGCATGAGAGACTCGTAGTGTTGTAGTTGGACCGTTATGGCTGTAAGTTGTCTAAATTCTTGGGTAAATATGTTGGGCGACGATACATTCGGGGGAATCACAGACCTAGCATTCCTCTCGCGTTTTCCATCGACGTAGACACAAAGAACACCGGCCTCCTGACACCGGAGGCATGAAGGTTGATGGCCAGAACACTTATTCTTCTGTTTGCGACAGTTGTGGCATGCTCGGCTGACTCGACCATTATTGCTTACAAGTGGAAGGTCAAGTCGAGGAATGGCCACCTTGGCATTCACTGGCTGTTCTCCGGTGACTCGGGATGTGTTCCAGGGATAGTATGTATTGAAGACTGTCGAGTCGAGTCTGGTCAAGGGCGAGGCTTCTCTGCTCTCAACGGCAGCTGTGTCGTAGGTAAAAGATTCCTTATCATCATGAGGGACAGATGGATGTGTTTCAGACTGCGGAGAGTGATGAAGAGATGGCCTTTGGCTCATTGCGACTTCGCAGCCCGCTATTCATCGTCAGTGCTGAGTTATAAGCGAGACTAGGAAAAGTGAGACGCACAAACCAGTTAGCCTTGTGAGATAATGATCGGGAAGAAAAGCCCCTCAAATCTCCCTACCGGTGGAATTATTGATGGCCGGAGTATAGCTTACAATAGGACTATTTTGGCAAAGAAAATGGCACCTGTGATTGGCAGGCTCATGCTGCCGGCTCGATATCATTGGTTTTATTGGTTGGTGTACCGAGTGAAAGGCTGGGCCCACCTGGGCACTGTTGGCTAGATTCCCCCAGGTCAGTAAAGAGGCATAAACATGCGGTTGATGTTGGCCACCTATTTTATGTGCTATATTCCAATCTTCCAAAGAGTATAAAAGGTAGCTAAAATATAAAGTGCTAGCTCATTCTGCACGATGAATGGACTCCATGAAATAATTTCAATCATAAAGCAACTTCAACGCCAAGTCTTGATCGAAAATGTTGCGACCTCGAGCCCCATATGAATGTACTTTGTACAGTTCTATGCAAAATCTATAACTATCTATAATCCATATACTTGATATGATCTTACAAAAATAAAATAGTATTTTCCAATTGCGCATTTCCTTGGTGAATTTAATAAGATTATTTACAGATTTTTAATACTTGGTATGCCACTCGTGGACCTCCACGCCGTAATTACTACTTCCGGTAGTTCCTAGTATGACCTCCGGAGGTCGGGAATTAACCGGATGACATAATCTCCCCCTGGTAGCATCCATGATACCTATAAATCAAACTCTAGATCTAATTAGCTCTTAAGGCCCTATCTTGGCTGCACCCGAATGTAGCGGTTTATTACAGTCCCGAGAAAAAAAAGAAAAAAAAGTAGCCGATTGGACCCACACCCGCGTTCAAAGGTGTTTCCAAGCGTGTGAAGATTTGTAATTCCTCACATTCATCTTTTGTACCTCCTTTAGATAGGTCTTTTCGCCACTACTCTCTATAATGAGCTATGTGGCAAACATGGTCATTACCTATGTAGATTAGATATTGGCAGGAACGCCACCTGGGCAGCGTATCCATACCCAATTCATATCTTTAGGTTCATTGGTTCGCGTCTGGAAAATTAACACGCTAACCCCAAGACAACCATGCCAAGCGCACCAACACTACCCAGTAAACACAAAATCTAGAACCTTGGAAATTATGTATCATTTGTATGACCTGCCCATATAAAAGATACCTCGGCTGAATTTCTCAACCCTCGGATCAGCTAAATAAAAAGAAAGAGTAATATATAGGATTAGTTCAATATATATAATGTAAAAGAAGGATGATATTTTGGAAAGACACTGTGCGTATATATGTAAACCTTGATTGTATGTGGAAACATAGATGCTTTCTTTCCAAGGTTCTTTATAATGCTTAATATTCCTTTACCAAAGTTTGTTTACTTCATTTAACCCCATTTACACTGTAAACATTTTGTGTTATATCTATCTCCCTAACTACATATGTATCTAGAGGGACAATAAAATGTACATTATGACTACATGTACTCAATGCTATCTTGATGTACCTTTTATATAGATTTGCTCTACAAAAGATACCAAGTCCTTTCAACTTACTATCTGTATAGAATTTGCTGTCCGCGGAGGCGCACCAACACAGGGTGTGTTTGGGGCTTGGCACAATTAGGGGTGTTAGTACTCGTACGCTTGGCACAGTTACCAGATCGCTTCTAGCGTCTCCAACTCTCCGGGTCATGGCTATCAGCCTTACCTTTAACCAGGCTACCTAGGTAGCAGTCTACTGCGATCATCTTTATCTAGCTTTGTTTCATATCATATTTACCCAGCATTAAAGCCATAAGAAAAATGGTATGGGTATAATGAGGTCAATTAGCTATTCACAATGATGACATCATATGCTATATATATATCACTAATTCAGTTGGACTTTATCTCTGTAATCACAGCAAATAAGTGCAAATATGGCACGAACAATGAATTGAGTCGCATGCTTTACGTAGGTAGTCAACACATTTATTGTCAGATTTATACCAACTCACCTAGATAAGTAGGAACTGTCAACGCCAAGACCCAACAAACAGCAGCCCAGGGGGCCATTGACATCAAATGTGGGGAAATAAGGGCAATATGTACTGAGTAGATAGGTACATGTAGTATTCTATTGAGTTAAGTGCAAGTTACAGATACATGATAGGTCGAGCTTTTATAATATCGTCATAGCCCATTTCTAGATCGATGACGTAGCTCTGGGGGAAGCTTCCATCATCCTGCCGATCATGAAATTTCCTGTGTTTCCCCTCTAAATTTCTGGAATTCTCTTTCGATTCCTTTATTCTCCTGGTGATGATGCTGAGAAGGTGCACTCGTCTTCTACGTTGTACAGTCAACCCAAATAAATCTTACAACTAAGAGCAGAGAAAAGTGAACCGCGATTTATTTCCTTCCCTCCACCAACCTTTTAAGATGGCTACAGGTCAGCCATCTAAGGCTCCCCAGAGCCGTCGGGTTGGGGAGCATTGGAGCGGTGCTAATCCCATTCCGACCATTCATCACTTTATGGAACATATCGACGCCGACAAGAAGGAACGCGATCGCAGGATAGATGAAGAAAATAGAGCCAAGAAAGAAAGGGCTGCACGTGCAAAAGCGCAGGGAAAATATGGACAGCAATCAGAGCAAGCAGACCAAGGGGATCAAAAAGAGGGGGACGTTGTTGCTCATAAGCCACGCGAAGTTTCTCAGGCCAAGATGCGTACCGTGACAGACCCTACCACGGGTAAGGACATCGGTATTGAAGATCAAGACGAGACATCCATGGAAGCTGTTAAGAATCCAATGGTATGTGGGATGATGCCGAACAAATTATAAATAGAATCTAATCCATTCGCAGTTGACGGTTCCGAATGCAAATATTGGGAAACCCACGGTGAGTTGGCTTTATAGATTATCGTTCGGTAAGCATACAACTAACATGTATCTCAGAACGTTCAAACAAGTGCCGACCAGGATCTTGCAGAGTATAAAGAAAAGCAAGATATTACAGCACCCCCCGATCCCATCGCCGAAGGCACGACTTCCGATGTTCCTATTCGAGGAGAAAAGACAAATGTTCTATTCCACCCCACGCCAACTGTCTCATATCAGCCCATGTTTGATTCATTACAAAAGCGTGCAACGGGTCTTTGCATTGGGATACCTCTGGCCATAATTGTAATAGGGCGGATGTTCGGAGGATCTCTTTGGGGCCTTATTCCCTTGGCCGCATGCATTACGAGTGGCGTGTGGTTATGGATGCAGGAAGTCATTCGCAGCGGTCGGGCAATGGAGTGGAGCAGTGAGCATCTTCGTGGCCAGATGGTGAGTTTTCTATCGTATGGTCTTGTTGATGGATTAAAATGCTGACTGTTCAAAAGGCTACTGCCAACCTCCTTCCTGAATCTGTCGAGTGGCTGAACAGTTTCCTCGGCGTCGTGTGGGGACTTGTGAACCCAGAGATGTTGACACCTGTGGCTGACACAATCGAAGATATCATGCAAGTCTCTGCGCCCAAGGTTGTAGAGAATGTTCGAATCGCAGAAATCGACCAGGGCAACAACCCGCTCCGAATTTTGAGCATGCGGGCTCTTCCCGACGACCATGTGCAGGATTTGAAAGAAAACATCCGCGAGGAAAATAGAAAGAACAAGGATCCACAGGAAGCTGCTGCTGCCGAAGAAGGAGGAAGTTATTACAACATGGAAGCCTCTTTTGCCTATCACGCAAAGCCAAGTGGACAGACTGCCTCATCAAAAGCACGCAATATGCACATGCAACTAGTCTTCTATCTGGGCATTCGAGGCTTATTTGGCGTGCCATTTCCTGTATTCGTGGAGCTGATTGAACTCGTCGGAACCGTCCGCATGCGCTTCCAAATGATGCCCGAAGCACCGTTTATGAAGGATGTGACTTTCACTTTAGTTGGCATTCCCCACGTCAGGGCTGGCTGTATGCCAATGTTCCGAACGGGAGTGAATGTCCTGAACTTACCATTGATCTCCAACTTTGTCAACTCCGCCATTAGTACCGCATGTGGCATGTTTGCAGCTCCTAAGTCAATGACCATGGACCTTGGCATGATGTTGACAGGAGATGACATCCACAAAGATACTTCGGCTCTGGGTGTGATGTGGATTCGCATTCACCGCGCTGTCGGCTTGAGTAAACAGGATGCTCGTGGCAGCGAGGGTGGTGGCAGTGATCCATACATCAATCTGTCTTTCTCGAAGTATGGCAAGCCCATGTATTGTACTCGTGTGATTACGGATGACCTCAATCCAGTATGGGAAGAGACAGCCGCCCTTCTTGTGACACCAGAATTGATCAAGGCCGATGAAAACTTGAGCATCGAGCTTTGGGACTCTGACCGCAACACCGCAGATGATATTGTCGGCAAGGTTGAGTTACCTATCCGTGAGATGCTTCAGCACCCCAGTCAGATGTATCCTCAGGTCTCGAAGCTTCAGGGTATGGACGAGGGCAGCGAAATGCCTGGTCAACTGCATTGGGAAGTGGGATACTTTGGGAAACCAAAGCTCCGCCCTGAGCTGCGTACTGATGGCAAGAAGAAAGACCTTCCTGCAAACCTAAGAGGCGATCCTACTTTCGAAGACGAGAAGGGAGCTATCAACAACGAAGAAGAAGATGCCGTTATGCATACACCACCTGATCCAATATGGCCTAGCGGTATTGTGCACATTGTTGTGCACCAGATCGTCAATCTTCAGCTTGCCAATATCAAGGGCAGCGATGGGAATCGCAAGGGCAAGGAATATGAGCCGGCGAAGCCATATGGTGAGAACACAGAGGAGCAGGGTGATGACCTCCCAACGAGTTACTGCAAGGTTATGTTGAACGATCAACTGGTACGTATCTGTAAATACATATCCCTCAGCTCAAAGCTCGCGATACTAACAGCATTTTTTAGATCTATCGCACTCGGGCGAAGGCTGTGAGCTCTAATCCTATCTTCAATGCAGGAACTGAACGATTTGTTCGCGACTGGCGCTCAGCTATCGTGACCATTACCGTCCGAGATCAGCGCTATCGCGAGCATGACCCTATCCTTGGCGTTGTCCCTGTCAAGCTGTCCGATATTCTTCAAACCAGCTCACAAGTGACCCGATGGTATCCTCTTGACGGTGGTATTGGGTTTGGACGCATCCGTATTTCTCTTTTGTTCCGCCACGTGGAGACAAAGCTACCAGCTCCAATGCTTGGCTGGGATGTTGGCACCTTTGAATTTGCTGGACAAAGTATCACTGCAAAGGACTTTGGCCGACACACTAAGATCAAGCTGCGCACCGGTGGGAGCGTTGGAAAGGTCACCCGGCACAAGTGCCATTTGCAAGGAAATGACGCGGTATTCGATACCTCCGACAGTACTTTCCGTGACTCACTGCGCATGCCTGTGAAGCACCGATACCGCTCCCCGATTGTGTTCGAGTTCCATAACAAGGGCAAGCGAGGCGCAGCAGGGTACGCTATTTTATGGCTCCAACATCTTATCGATAACGAGGAAACGGACATCGACCTTCCTATCTGGACGACAAAGATGGGTGCTCGCTTGACACAGAATTACATCACAGAGGAGAATTGGAAGGCCAAGCAAAAACCTGGGCTCGAAGACTTAACGGTAGTGGGACGTCTGCAATTCCGATGCAAGTTCTCACCGGGAATTGACGAATCGCACGAGCATTTCGTGGTTGACAACGACTCCCGTGAGACCTTCGAGACTTGGGAAGCGTGTATGTCCCAGGGTGTTCGTACCCGCACTGTGCAAATTGAAGTTCCTGCAGAAGTGCAGGAAAAGCACGAGCAGTCTTTAATCGATGGACGGGATGTGTTGAAACAAGCCTCACCCTCTGAGCGTCAGCGTTGGATTGACCGCCAAGGCCAAGACTGGAGTGGTGCGTTTGGTCAAGACCCGCGTGCCTATACTGATTCCATTGGGCGCAAGGTCGCCGAGCCTGGCCGGGACCAGCCTCGCCATGACCCGTACACACCTCCCCCACTCAAGGGCCAGGCTCCTCATCGAGCCAGTCTCCAAAGTGAAGAGGACTACAATGAGGACACCTCAGAATCAGATGATGAACTTGAGTCCTTATCTAATGGACCCTCAACAATTAGCGGGAGTGCTGGGGCTGGGGCACCTTCGTCACAAGCTAGTATGAGTACCAGCCAGATAAACAAGGCGAATAAACACAGTGAGCAGCGACAGCAGCGAGGTCTCATGCAGTGGCGGCCTGCGCGGAATGCTGCTTTTGCCAAAGATGAGGCCAAGTATGCGCTTCGTAAGATCAAGAAGAGGGTCGGAGCAGGCGGCCTCACTGGTCGTGAGCCAGATGTTGAGACCGAGACTTAACGACTTATGGCATTTTCCTATTTTTTTTTGGTGTTTTATATGCATTTGAATGAATCGACTGTATAAAATGTGAATATCCATTATTTACTGTTTAAATCACACGAATTATTGAATGGTCTAACTTTTACATGCGAAATTCATATGAAAGGTACGGTACATCTACCACACATTTTATCAGACTATAATTTTCGTAACTTCAGGATTTTATTTCTCGTTAGATGTTTTACTGTTTATCAAACTCCAGGGTATCATACAGGTCCTCTAATTGATTAAAAATCAAGAAATAATTCTTAAGAATACAAGCTATTGGATTGGGCTGTTGCTCTATTACATTGATGCTTCAGTGGAGTAGCCATATCTTCTAAGTTGTAGCACTTGAGAAGCTTCTAGTAATTCTCATCATTTCCTGGATATATATGCTGTATAGCCTGCGGGCGAAAATAGCAGGCCCAAGAGGTATAAGAAAGCAAACAAAAGGCGGCGCCCGTCAAAGGAAGCAAGTTAACTGAGGATAAGTGATGGTAAATAGGAATATACAGATTATTACTATGGCTGCTTATGCGGCTTCTGTCCTTGACAAGGTATATTTTGGACGTTATAGATAGGGACACTTCGATATATGTTCGGTCACTCGCTGTTTTGCTTTGCGGTGCCTTTATGAGATTGGAAAAAGCGCATATACACCAAGAGGATATAATGCATATAAGATAAGATGCTAAAACAACAGCCAATGAAAAACAGAAAATAGAAAATTAGGGCGCATATGCGCCCAAAGCCACCGGATAAACCAAACAAGCGCCTCTATACAACATGATTCGTGGGTAAAATAATATATGCATCGCCGTTATTATGCAGAAGAAAAAAAAAAGAAACGGGCGGGGAAAAAAAAAGACATCAGCCATAAAACCATGAGCATTGCATAATTAATGACCGGATGCAAAGTCGGTGGATACCCGAAGAGAATCCGACCCAAAGGTAACCTGTGCCGATTGCAATAATGAGACATTCTCGGGCCCATTGTTCGAGGCCCTATCGACAGGCCCAAGGGTCCATTTCCATTCCCTTCGACGCTTGGCCCGACCCTGTCGTGGAGTCTGTGGTGTAGACGATCCATCAGCCTCAAAGCCGTCTAACAGTGCCACTGCCCGAACCTGGCGCTCTACGCGCATTGTGCGGCGCTTCTTGCGCTCGGTCTTGGAGAGCGAGGAGCCGCGCACGGTTTCGTCAGCGCTAGTGTCATCGCCTGAGGCACTTCCTGATAACGATGGGCTGGAATCAGACTCCTCTTTTTCGCCTTCGGGCTTAGAGGTGGCGGGGCGTGTCTCAGGTGGGGTCTTGGTGTCTGCCTCGGTCTGCACTGCCTCCTCCGTCACGAGATCGAGATGCTGCGCGGTATAGCGCTCTGTCCGGATCTCTTCCTCCAGTGGGTATCGGTAGCTGACTTGTTTCTTTGCTGGGAAGAAAACGCGACGCGAGCCTGGGCCGTTGGATCCATTGCCGCCCGCTGATATGGAGCCTGATTGTCGACGGGTTGAAGATTCTAGTGGGGAGTTGCGTAGAATGCTGCGCACTCCGATGGGTAGTTGGTAGGGGCTCCGGTAATTGAAGATATTATTGTTCGGGTGTAGGATATAGGGGGAGGATGGCTTGTTGTAGCGCGTAGATTTGGAAGGGGATGTTGCGGAAGATGGAGATGTGACTTCGTAGGCATTCTTGAAGGTATTTCGAATGGTGGGAGATGCAGTTGGTGCCGCTGCAAAGGAAAACGATAGGCCGGTGTTGGAAGTACCGAATGTGCGAGGGAGCGCGGTGGTTTGAAGGGTGAGTTTTGGTCGTGAGGTTATTGTAGTCGTGGCATCTGGCGACAGACACGACATATTGAAATTTAGCGAAGAATCAGAAGAATAAAGTATGTATGCGTATCATCGAAGATCAAAGAGAAGGGGGAAAAAAGGAAGTGGAAATATGTTTAGCGGGGTTGAACTAAGAATAGAGGAGGTTGGCGCTTGGATGTGATGAAAGATGCATGTCACTTTTTTTCCAGGGAGATTAGGTAGATTAAATTTTCCTTAATGAGAATATTTTAACATCTTAACGTTATTAACATATATATATACACTCCGATAGTCCGAAGTACTTCGTAAAGAGAGCAGGAATTTCCAGTCACAACTCCAGACTCAAGTGGATGCGTAACTATCGACGCCACTATCCATACTATTTTCTCTTTTCCCAATTTAGTATAATATATCTAGTATTTTAATATTTAAATAAAATCAAGATCGAAAGAAAAAGATATCTATAAAAAGAACAGGGCCCGTGGGTCTCCGATCTACAAAGTACATCTATACGGTATACGTGTTGGTGGCGAAGACCTAAAAATGGTATGCTACTCCGTACAGAGTACTCTATAGAGAGTACAAAGTACCTACATAATGTATGTACGGAGTACATATGTAGCAGTATAAACCAGATTTTTGGTATTTTCCCGGTCGGGGTGCCGCTTTATGAAGGTAGTGTCCTGAGTATTTCACAGCACAGGGTGATCACCTGGGCTACCTAGGACTAGAAGCAGGAAGCAGCACGAGATTTATAACTCTAAGAGTCAGAAAAATCTCGGATTTAGAGACTTACAAATAGGGAATTCAATATAACCTCTGAATTTAAGATCAGAGGGAAGATGAACGAGCAAAGCTAGAACAGAATTTTGATAAGGGAATATGGGTAGCAATAAAAACCAATAAGAAGCCTTGAAAATGGAGAACATAGTACTCTGTATACAACATACGGAGTACTCCGTAGAAAGATGTTAATTTGTCAAAATCTTGTTTTTGGAATATAATGCATAACATTCCAGAAATAAAACATAACTGGTTCCATAACTCAGTTGGTTAGAGTGTGGTGCTAATAACGCCAAAGTCGAGGGTTCGACCCCCTCTGGAACCACGATTTCTTTTTTTGTCCTTTCTTTGCTTTTTGCTACTTTGTATTCTTCATCTCATTCATGTCCGTATTTTTGCTTATTATTCAAATAACAAAGGTATATTTATATATATATGTACGATACTCTGTAGGGAGTATCGATCATAGATGCAATTTGTTCTTTTCATGTCAATCAAGTCTAGTATATAACCAAACTATATAACCTGTATATGACAGTGTTGCTTGTTGAAATGAAAGTGTGTAATTGTCAGGTAATAAGTACAAAAGAAAAGCAATGATAGACATAAAAAGATCTCAATTTCATACAATTATCTAATGAACGTCTAGATCTTCAATTGATGAAACACTGAACGTTGATGCCAGGAAATCACCACAACTTTCAGTTGATGAAGATTATCTTTGCCGGGTTACCAGTTTGACATGGCAACGGCACCCTAGGTTGGTATTGGTGATTTGTTATTCTTTTCGGTTAATTTTGAGTTGGATATGAATGGCATCGTAGCTTGAAGAATGTCATGTCGCACTATATATATCGGAGCCTGGAATATCTGAGCGTAGTGCTTAGGTATAGTGGTCTTTTTGGCCTAGTGTGTAACTCACCAGCCCAGGGGCCGGTTATAGCAAAGAACCCCACTTCATCCTCGTACGAGCGTATGGATGCTGCTCTACCAGGGTAAGTGGGCAGCACTGTAAAACGCGAAAATCCATTTTGGAGCGGATCAAATTACATAACTATGCTTCGAAATGTCATTTCCGCGTCTCTGTAGTCCTATCGACCAGCCCCAGCATATAAGCCTTTGTAGGCCTCTATGGTAACTGGAGTCCTATTAATACAAGTAGTTGCTCCGAACTTGAACTTCTTTTTTCAAAACATGGTCAAAGATACGGTTACCTGTGATGGAGATATCACTTATGTTAAGAAATGCCTAAAGGCTCTATAGCGCCTTTTGTAGCCGTGATATTCTCTCTGCTATCCTCGAAGACAGCTTCAACGATGGCCTCCACGGCAGTAGCCATAGGGCCTGGGTAGATTGTGCTCCTTTAGGATCGATTGTTTTAGACACATTCTACTAGGCCTGTGGAGAAACCTCGCTGCGTAAGATAGGTGTTCGACGATTTCTCTTATATGATGTTGTTTATCTGACCTAGAATAAATGATTATGAATTGGTCAACTTCATATCGCTATAGGTGATGAGACATCACTTACCACTGGTCGCATGTCGACGAAAGCCTTCATTGTCAAAAACCAGCTTGATGATTGAATCACTCATCCTGATGCAAACCACCTGCTAGTTGTAGGATGAAACATGGTGGAGTGCAACAGGAGTTAAAGAGATGGAAAAGGTAGATAAAAAAGAATTTGTTAAAAAAGATATACAGTTGCAAGGGATTCTTTTTACATAGATAAGAGCTCAAGGAAAATTGTTTGTGAAAAAGTGCAAGGAGTATGGCAGATGATAAAGCGTGGGGCTTCAATTGGGATTTCTACCACTCACCACCATGAGCCCGGAGAATCTAATATCTAGACAGCTAACATCGGAAAGAAGATCCACCTGGGTACTCCCGAGGCTTCCTTTACTTTTGTTCAGATCCGCTGCCGTCGGCTCAGCGAGAGGCGCTCTTTATTAATCAACAACAGGTCGCAAGGGTCGCTCCGCTAGCGAATTCTTTTCAGGTCTGCTTATTGTGCCTGGCTTTAACCTAAAGGACTTTTTAGACTCGCTGTATGCTTGGTTTGGCTTCCTGAGCCTCTGCTACCCGTTTATTCCCAAGGAGCCATTCTAGCAAGACTATAAATTCGATGTAGTCCTGCCCCCCTCTTAGCTATTACATACCGCGGCAACAGATAAGTGGGAAAACCAGTAGCTCCTTACCGTCTCGTCTGTGAAAGGGCTTATGAGGACTTAAACTAACAGGGCTGCTACAAACGCAATGCGCCTGGAAGATCTCAAAGCGATAGCCCTTATCATTGATTTCAAATACTACGGTAGATAACTATACGGGATTTAATCGATACTAGAAGCTGTTTATGACACCTGATTCTGTTATGCCGATGACTCTGTAGTCTCGCAATCAAGGACTAAAGGACTCTGATCCTTCTATGACATTAGCAGATGCCGAAGAGCGCTTTGCACTTCTACACTGGTATATGTATAGCCTGGATTCTTTCAAGTACCTTAATTGTAAAAGTATCTCTCTTATCTTAAATCAAGCCTTAGATCTAGCAAAGGATTATCTGAGATACCAGGCTAAAGGCTAGCAAACAAATTCCTGTCCGTCATGCAGTTTTATGGGCTCTTGAAACCAATTTTTATTTGCAAATCGATGATTGTGTCGCTGGATATGGCTTTAAGGACAGAGCCTAAATTCGTACAAAGGCGATGGCTCGCCGTGTGAGGTATAAAAGTAATATAGCTGCGCTCGAAGCAGTCGACTTGGCTAATATGATTAGCGTGGTTTAGGGAAACAGGGCGCCGAAGACGCCGAACGAAGCCCGTTAGTTGATATTGCACCATCTGTACTGCGGGATATTCATGCCAGTGTATGCAATTGAGTCTGTTTCTACGCCGAGGGCCCCTCAACACTACAAACCCTGAATATAGACACAAGTCTTGAACTCGAAAGCCATCTCCAAGCTTCAGGGGTAAATACTAAGAGATGAAGGGCAGACCTTGCCGAAATGGGAAAGACGCTTCGGGGTACCGTTGCCGCAGCTCCGTCTCATGGAGATACGGAGGAGATGTTTGAGCGCCTTGATGGCCAACTAAGTTTTTTTCTAGGAAGACTAGGTCGATTATTGCGAACTGAAAGGATGGCTAAGTGCGCACTGTACCTTAAACCAGGGTGTTATCAATAGTCAAGCTCAAGTATGTTTACTCAAAACCCTGACTAGATTGACGATCCCGTTATCCCGCACTGGCGCAGGCTGTCTCCATTCCTAGTGATAGGTGCAAGCTGAAGTGGTAGGAAGTTTGTCGCAGGAGTGAATAGACTAGTAGAATAATTCTTGCAGCAGGCTTGGGGTTGCTTGGATATAAGGAAATGCGCATGATTTGGGGGGGGGGGGAGATTGCTATTTGGCTAATAATAATATCCAATGAACACCCTACTTCTTCCTTGTGCTGCTACTCGTGATAATGAACTAGTCCATTGGTTATTCTTTTCGGCCATTTCTGTACTCGGATCTCCGAGACAACCAAACAAGGAGAAAGCAGAAAGTAAGCATTGCGGACAGTAGCCCTATGCTAGGGCTGGTTTAAATGTTTTTTTTTTAAATCAGATTGCATAAGAGAGAAATGAGTGTGATAATTCAACGGTGAAATTAACCTTACCAATCGATTTCTAGGCAAGCAATTATTTCACGGCCATTCAACCGGTCTGACCTAACAATTTGATTTATCTAGTAGTCATATTTCAGATTTCGGAGCATTTTGTGTGTAAAAGAGTAGATGCGAACAACTGTTTACTTCAAACCCCGGTTGAACAACGTTAAGATGACTAAACTAAGCATTGGAGCCTTTGACTACCACTTTCCAACTGCCTCGACCATTAATGTCATATTATTCAGCACTCTTATGCGTGAGCGAACCATAGACTTCTTCAGAAAGAAGCCCTAGTTGAACCCAGTTTATCAAGCAAATGATCGCACCATTTTTGTGTTCAATAACTAGCTGCACTCGCAGTAGAAAGTAGAACAGACCCAAATGACCTCATTACTCTGCGTGTAATAGGCATCCTCAATTTAACAGAACAAATTGTTCAATTCGTCGAATCAACCATACACTCTAGATATAATTGAATTTCTCCTACTGCTCGCGCTGGGTTTGTCACTTGCATCAGATGACCCTAATCGTCTTAGCTGATCTTCGATAAAGGAGAGCTATATCGAGTTCGTAACACTAGAGTTCTCTAAGGGATATTGCCAAGAGTTAGGACGTGGAGGCTGGTAATGAGGAAATCGGAATTCTTTCAGCCGTCTTGTCTCTGGCGCTGTTAGACTGTATTTCAACTCAACTTTGGAAACATGTGCCAGACCATGACTGTCAGTTCGGACTTTTTTTTGGCGCAGTTTTCGCTTCTTGTCATTGCGTTGCTGCTGCTCTGATTGAAGATCTCTCCTCCACCCCTCCTTCCCCCTCCTTCCCCCTCCCCCGCATGTCGAGCACTTTACGTACATAGTACTTACTAGTTATATGTACTTGTTCAAATAATAAAGATGAAGAATATAGAGTAGCAAAAAGCAAAGAAAGGACAAAAAAGGAAATCGTGGTTCCAGAGGGGGTCGAACCCTCGACTTTGGCGTTATTAGCACCACACTCTAACCAACTGAGTTATGGAACCAGTTATGTGTTTTGGAGCATATTGTGCATTATATTCCAAGATTGTAGTTTTATCATAATTTGTACCCAATCAAAAAAATACATTTAATCTATCCATAACTATGGATGTATCTAACTACTACCTATAAGCAACTAATAGTACCCCCTTTTAACTAAAGTCTTTAGATTCTTTCCTTAAAAGAGGATGAATTAAACTATATAATAAATGCTATTACTAGTCCCTGAATATAATCTTTCTACTTAATCCAATTTTATAGCGGTATAGACATAACCGGATCATCGACCAGACGCCGTCTTTGTCGCAGGTATCTGTGTTCAATGACCCGGTTAGAGAGATTGGTAGAATTTAAAAAGATTGAAAAAAAAATATAATGCGCTGGTTCCAGAGGGGGTCGAACCCTCGACTTTGGCGTTATTAGCACCACACTCTAACCAACTGAGTTATGGAACCGATGATTCTTGTCTGGGAATTTTAAGCATCAAATTCTGATGGACTGTTAGATCACATGATTGCATGTGAAGTTTGTCGGTGCATGAAGCCCGGCATACCGGAGGATTCATTAATCCTTCATGTTTTGTAATTAATATTATGTAATCGAGGCTTCATATAAATTGTACCCGGAAGCCGATACAGAAATACAGAGAGTTGAAACCCATTCATTGGACCCCCTATTTTACAATACCACTTGTTCCAACAAAGTTCAGACACCCTAAATTTCAGGCATCAATGGAAGTGGGGCCCCACATGGTTATTTAGTATGTATCTCTTTTTCTCTCTTTTGCACGTCCTCCTTCTTTCTTTCCTTCTTTCCCCATCTTTAGTATGTTGTTGAATGGACTTATTACTACATTAAAGTTTGCCTTATCACATTATACTGAAGATCCTTATTACGAAGTCCTACACTGAGAACTGGCGAACTGCACGTGCTTATACGAATGTATATAGGTCCCGGTATCAATCTTAGTCCAGCACCCACCTTCCTGATCCGAATGAACAGCACAGTAAGCCTTTGCCATTGGGTATTGTAGGTGCGAACTGCACTGCTTCGAGGCGCTTGGTACGCTGCGGCAAGGCTATTTAGACCCCCCTTTTTCATTGAATTCTATCTATAACAAACGAAATTTAACAGCAAGTACGATCTTAGCAAGTGCAACATTTAAGTTTCGACTTCGCTCGCCGCAAATAACATCATGACTCAACTTCGCGCCGAACTCAGTGCCGAATTCGCTTCCACCATTCAAGCCCTCCAAAGCGAGATCTTGACTCTCTTACAGCAATCAACCTTTCGACAGCAGGTTCAAGTGCAATTTCAGCCTGGCTCGCGCTTACCATCATCCTCACATCGAAACAACCGCAATCCTACCTGCAGGTTCCGGCATCCACAACGTAAATATAATTCTCGATCAACTTCCAGATGTCGCTGTGTGTACTCCGTACGATAAATAACAAATCAGGTTCACCAAGCTGAAGATCGCCTCCTTTCGATTGAACAAGACCCCGACTCCCTCACTATTTACATCTTTATGAAGCCAAAGGTTCAAGTGCAATTCCAACACCGCGCTTCCGAACCGGCTATCTCAACAGCTCAACCTTCAACGGACATACTCCAATTTCACCAAGATCATACACAGCAGCTCGGCAGCTATAGCCACAACCACTCGTAGAGCAACAATGACAACAATGACGATGCGATAGACCTAAATACGGTTAACGCTAACGGCGGTGGAGCACAATACAGAGCTATAGTTACACTTAAAGCAAGCAAGCGATAATGATAAAGATTTCGATGAAAATTTCAGCGAGGATGAACACCAACACAAATGATGATTAAATTAACTATACTATCGAAACAAAAATTCAGAAAAAAAGAACTAATCTGGTTCCAGAGGGGGTCGAACCCTCGACTTTGGCGTTATTAGCACCACACTCTAACCAACTGAGTTATGGAACCTTGGTGGCGAAATTTTTAGTCTCCGGACTTATAACCTCGTTATCGTAATCTACATAGGACGCATGCAATATAGTAAGTACTATGCTTTGTGTACTCCGTATACGCCAACTTACTTTACTCATTTATTTGCTTTACTTTGCTTGATTTGCTCAGTAAGGCGATCGAGTATTTAGCTATCTCTCCTTGCCTTAATTCCTTTCCTCTCTCTCTCTCTCTCTATCTTTAGTTATCTTGAAACGATGCACCCTCTTTTGATGCTTCTTGGTTCTTTTTGTAGGCCTAGCACATCACACCGGTAATAAGGCCTGTCTAGGTGTTATAGACAATAAAAAGAATGCCCCGAGACTTGAGAAAAAGTAAAAATGAATGAAAATTCATCCAAAAAAGAGAAAGTGGTTCCAGAGGGGGTCGAACCCTCGACTTTGGCGTTATTAGCACCACACTCTAACCAACTGAGTTATGGAACCCATCTATAACGTGTCCGTGATGTTAGTATCTTGAAGAAAGTAAAGTGTATATAAATTAGCCTCCTAGGTCCATTTAGCAAAGCATGAGTTCATTGGTCTTCCCTAGTCTCAATGAGGAGGCATCTTTCATAGAGCAATCATATACCTTAGTCGGTATTAGGATGGCTCTTTTGCACCTTCTTCTATGAGTCCTTTCAGGGCGTAAAGTAATATACCTTAGAATGCATAACCCAGTGTGATGCTAATGACATCCAAGTCTCATGGCCGAGAGGTGCATTGGTCTTTCTAGCCGCGAAGGAAATGGCTATAATTCGCCTTAATTGCGTATGGCTATAAATAATCTGGTAATCCAGAGGTAATTATTATTGTCCTATGAGTGTTATTTATGTATCAACTATAACGTTCAGCTACCCTATTGGGTTGAGCAGTATATAAAGGAGTGATCTCGAAAATTATGCCTTCCTCCTTGCCCTAAGGGATAAAATCGTTGGATTATCCCGGGATAACGCATATTCTGTAATTTTATTCTTTTGTAGAAGGCGATTATCTTCGGAGAAACGTTATCCTTGCTATTGGCTATCATGCTATGACCGTAGCAAGTAGTATTATCAATAATTAGTCTCTATATCACTTTCCTATTTGGTCTAGGAGGCTTTAAAGGTTGACTTTTAATGTGGAATTTGTACGCTATATCTTATGCCCTGAATTGGAGGTCTCTAGAAATTTGTAGCTTTGATTTCGCTAAATGGTAAGTTTCACAGTCGATATCAAGATTTTCTGAGAGCTTATCCTCTGTGCCTACAATTTCAACATTCTTTGTGGTCAAAGATGCCTTTTTCTTGCTAGTATAAACGAGACGTCGATGCACCTCTATTGTAGACAGCGCTTGAAAAGCAAATCTCTTATCAGCACTGTTCTTGACCAGCCCTTCATTACCCGAGAGTCCGTTATCGGTGATTCGGGGGTGAGAATGTAGCTATTACCTTCAAATTCTAAGAGATCAGGTAAATGGACATCGATGGGAGATCGCCTATCCTTTTCCGGTAATGGATTAACGATACATGGAACACCTGGCCGTCAATCAATATGGGCAAAAATACTCCTATTAAGATCCTTTAATTTCTTGTTAATTATTTCGTACACAATTTGTAGGCTATTGACCAGATGTTCAGTGGATAGTATTCTTCCTGATATCGATGGACTGTAACATCCTTTGATTGAAACAGTATTGATACCTCTATCAATTGTCAATTGAACAATCATTAATCCAGAACCTTGGGTAACAACTCTCTCGCCCGTGTAAGATTGATAGGTATATGCCCTCGATAGATCTTTAATTTGCTTATAGGTGTATAAATCACTAAATCTAAAATACGGTGAGATCGATTCCTGCGCACCTGGGCTGAGTAACTATCTGTTATCGACAGTTGCATCTAAAGATATTAATGGCTATGCCAAACCCATCTTAGTGGTGCCTGTCTCTGCCTCTTTGGCGTTCATTTAACATTAAATCCTTGGATTCGGGATCTACGTACGTATGATAGATTCTATCACTAAGATAGGTACATTTCCTTGTTATATGAGGACTAGGGCGGTAGTGACTGTAATTTCTATGCTCATCATGTGTTAGTTCTTGCTCACGCTTGTGCTTTGTATGTTAATGGATTAAAATGCCCCTCGGGTGAATACCCTAGAGCCCTGGCCTATGTGTTGGTGGTGCTTAGTTTCTCTCTTCAAAGACTCCTTTTTAGGAGTTCATGAATTTGCTGGGTCATGGGTTATAAATTCTGTTTTCGCCTTAGGCTTCCTGCTGGCTTGTGGAGCTGTCCTGGATTGTCCACTGTTCTGTCGAATATGATCTGATTCGATCTGCAATTTTCGACAGATTCTATTGAGTATATAATAGTGACTGACATCTTTGTCATATTTGTCCTTCAGATCCCCCTCGATGAATGGTATTGATGGTAATTCAGATCCTGGTTGATTCAATATCAAGACTAACGATGACAAAGGAGCTGGGGCGATACTAGATAGATCAAGACTCGATCTCTGGCTCTGATACGTAATGATGAATTCTTTGGCTGAGCTGAAGCTCGATCGCTTTATGTTATCTAAATTATTAAGTTCAAGTTATAACTGATTCGCCTTGTGATCGCCACCTATCATCTTCCTAAGCTCCGTGACAATGTGATCGGCGAAGATCTCGTCTATATTGCCCTGAAACGCCTTGAAACAGTCCATCAATTCGCTGTCAATATGGATATAGAGCCAAACGGCTACTATTATGGACCAATAACACACTTCTTATATCTCGTGTCTGTCGTGGGGGGTCTAGTGTGTTTTTAAAGGGTCGATGACTCGCTTGATTCCCAGGGGGGAGAGGATGAATCGCACTGTATCGAACCAGCGCTCGAAATTCTTATTAGATTGTCCAAGATTATTCATCTCTTGGAATTTAATATAATTATTCTCTGGTAATTCGAAGGCTTGATCATCCAGCCCATAAATAATGAAGAAAGATATTTGTTTGATGAAAGATGATGATGAAAGATGATTGTATTAATAAAAGAGGCTATTCAAAGAATTATGTAAAACTATGCAAGGCTCTTTGATGAGAGATCCCCTGATGAGGAAAGACGGAGGCGCAGACCCCGTATTCAAAAAGATCAAGGCTGATGCCCTGGATCAAAGGGTTAAGACCCTATTCAAAAATCTGAAAGCGTGATGGCTAAAAGAATTGAACCAATAAAAGAGGTCTCATAGCCTGTAGGGATCATGAAATCGAATCAATATGGTGGATTAAATGAGCGATACCTAGAAACTAAAAGACTAAACGACTAGGAGGATCCCTTGGGCATGCACCGAGATCTTTATATAAAGGCCCTAGGCAGCAATGAGTCGCATGACCCAGGAGATTCAACAAAAAGCATTCTACTAATAAGAGAGCAAAAGACTACATAACTATATAACGTGTTTCACAAGCGAATGGCCACCAACAAACCCTCATAGTAAATGTGATGTTTTATATATTTACATCTCAACAACAACATTCTTCTTAGGTCTTTTTTTTCTATCGGTGGCAGTTGATAGAGATTTTGAATTCCATATATGAATATTAAAGAAATTAAAATGCTATAGTATCACGGTGTTGAAAACCAACTTGTTGGGAACTAAAAATATACATTGTAGAAAACTATTGCTGAGATATCAAGTTGTAATTTATCACATTTTATGTGTTTTGGGATGGACTACTGCTATGTTACGTTAAATAACAAAATAACAAAAAGAATATCAGTACTCTGTAGATTGATTAGAAAAAGAAATAAATAAATGAATAAAGATTCTAAAGTAGAAGAGAAAAAAAAAACAAACGTGGTTCCAGAGGGGGTCGAACCCTCGACTTTGGCGTTATTAGCACCACACTCTAACCAACTGAGTTATGGAACCAGATCATGTGATAGTGCCGCGAAGTTAGGTGTATCAACGTTTTGCTATATCAGTATCTAGACCTCGTTGGTAGAGGGTTATTGTTGACACTGTAAAAACGCCCATGACCCAAGCGAATATATATTCTTATACTGTCTAGGCCTTGAAAAGTACTGCAGTACCAAACAAATGTTGGTACTGTTTATCAGTACAGTAGGTACTAGTCTACGGTACTTCGCCATTTGTAGTATTTTATCATAGTACTGTACTATTGAAAGAGGAAAAAACTAAGCTATAGGAAAAGATATGAGAATGCTAAACAAAAATTATAGATAGTATCAGTGATGCAGAGCTTCTTGCTTCCTTACTTTCCGTCTCTCGCTTTGTTTGGAATCAACACGTTATATATTTGTTTCTACTTCTCATTGAAACAAGTCTATACCGCGCCCGCAACACACCCAATGCGTCTATCTAAATATCTCACAAGGATATAATGAATACCCCTAGTGTTAAATCTGTATAGGCTTACATGGAATATTTTTAGAGACACACAAGTGCCTGTCGCTTTTTGCCGTTTCTAAAAGATATGATTTACTTGTTGATGATGTTAATACTAAGATTGATGTAAATGCTCTACCCACTGCTGCGACCAAAGAAAAAATTTCTGAAGAGACAGTCCGTATTCAGGTTGTGAGTTGACTGCTTGACGAGTTTAAGGATAACTTTGACGACCCTCTCAGTGAACCTTTTGGTATGGAAGAAGCATGAAGAATATGTATATGTGAAGACTATATCGATGTTTTCTAATTCTGCTTAAAACGGGCACAGCGGTAGCCCTCCAAATTGAACTAAGGCCCTTCCGTTCAAGCAGCTAAGGAGCAGAGAGACTAGGATTGGAAGGTTTATATCGAGGAGCTATATCGGCAAGCGAAGTGTGGTGTCCGGAAATTTAGTATCTCTCAAGCATAGAAAAAAGCTCTATTCACTAGGTTGAGAGGAAATTACTCGTTTGAAACAGCAGGCAGAATGGAGAATGACAGCGGCCTTTCAGCAGCTATTGAAGCCAACTCACGACTCAAAAGTCCAGCGCGACAGACCTAGATGGTCTTGGAACGAAATTCCGGTGGCTTTGATGCGTAGATAGAAGCGAAACTTCCACGTCCCCTGGACCTCATACGGGTTGATTGACAGATTTATTCCGAACATCTACTCATGAAAGTCAATGGGCTGGAGCGGCATCCTACTGTGGACATATGCGCAAAGCTTGAGAATAACCTCACACCTGATGTGAGACTGGTCAGCGATGGGGGACTGTTTTCCCTGGATGGGTAAGTGGATTTCTTGAGATTCACGGGATTTTTCCGCACTTTCTAATAAGCTCTTGGCCAGAGTACCGTCGATTAGCGGAGATATCAAAATGCTGGTATTTATATGTATATTCTCTAACCCCCGCATGATCCCCAGCATTTCTGCCTGTACGTTGGCCAAGCAAAAGTCTTGGGAAACAGGATAGCAGATTACAATGATAGGCTATATCGCAGAAAACATCCCAGCCTTCATTGCCACGTTTGAGATTCGCAAGAAAATATGTGTTCTGAGTTCGGTATACTTGCTATATTCAACAGTGAAACCGAAGGACAGAACCTACCTAGATATGAAGAATGTCTACTAAACTTTTTAGAGATCTGAATGGCTTGTTTGTTCAGAACCCTCACTGCCAAGGATCTTGACACACATCTGCCTCCATCTGCGGACCGTTCATCCACTGGCCGCTATCTCAACGTCGTACCGCCTATATGGCAAAGGCTCTATGGCGAGAATTTACCGGCAAGGAGAGAAGTTTTTGACCGAGCAGGGCTCGAAGGACTTATACGGTCAGATGACCCTGCCGTTCGATCATGGGCGCGATGAGCTACAGCTTCGGTATCAAATCGAATCATTGGCCTAATATGATGTGCAGCCTCAGCTCATGCTCTGCCTTGCTCTACCGCTTTACCAACTGGGAGATGACGTGCCCACCGTCGGTCAGATACGTGAGGATTTGAGGCAGCTATGACTGAGCAACCTCATCATGCAGCAATTGGCCGAGATAAGCCCAACATTCTCCGATCACGGCAAATGAGTGGTCACGGCGGTGACCAAATAGGTTGTAGCAAAAAAAAGAAAGCACGCAACCATTGGTTAGCCTTTCCATTGTTGATACTTGGCTACGGATTAAAATTAGGACCTAATATTTGGTGGCTCTAAATGGAAGATATTTCGTTACTCTTACATATATAGCATGTGGGATATTGGAATTATTCTTAGAATGATAAATGGCGAAACTAGAGAGCCTGATGCCGGCGATAGGATATATGTTTACACAGACCTTGAATTGTCTTCTTAGGTGTCATTCTATCAGCTTTCCAAATATTATGGTATGAATTGGTATTCAATAATTCTTGCTCGTATGAAGGCGGCACATTTGTATGATAGGACAACGGAATTAGTGATAATACCGCAAAGTAATCACATAGGTAGGCTGTTTTGATAGAGAAACAGATGTATCCATCATTCTCAAAGTTTGGCTAATCTGAGTCTAATGCCCTACCTACAAGATTAGAATTTGGCTTAGATACCGAAAATGATGGACTGTGTGCTTGAATGTGGAAACCCTTAATATATTTTTATCACGCAATTATGTGCCCCATATAAGGGATAGCATAGTAAGTTCCTTATTTCCGCAAACGCCGCCGAGGCCTGGTCTTTTAGAACAAGATGATCATCCCCATTTGAGATAAGTGCTTCAACAAGAGTCTCCCTCCCGGTGTGTACAAAACCGAGATGCCGATAAAATTCCAGCTCGGACTTGAAAGAGAGGAAGTTGCTTGGTTGTTCAAGACCAGAGGCTTGTTAATTCCCTATTTATCTGGCAAAAGATCATGGCTCAAATATGGCCTATCTACTTGATCTTGGCGCTAGATCTGTATAGCTCAAAAATTTGCTATCCGCGTACAATGGCTCAAAAAGGCCGTTGACTACATACATATCATCAAGATTAAATTCACTAATACAGGCACCGTACGTGAATGGCAAAGGCACAAGGTACCATCAAGCCATATACCCACGTAAATCCCCCAGAAGGTGCAGGAAAACCTTACGCGACTGCATCAATATGACATGAAGTCCAGCCGGAATTGGTTTGGTTGATCTTGAACAATAATAAGATAGGTAGGGACTTGAAGCAAAAAAAATCAGATTATGGTTCCAGAGGGGGTCGAACCCTCGACTTTGGCGTTATTAGCACCACACTCTAACCAACTGAGTTATGGAACCAGTTATGATTTATTTCTAGAATATTATGCATTATGAGCCAAAACCTCTAAAACCAGATAAAATCACAGCTTATAGATCGATTTGCAAACCGTCCAGTTTCAATTTGAACAAAAATACTCCGTACTCCGTAGGGCTATGCTAAAAGAACCCCTCGGGCTATCATTCGGACCTCTTCTTCACTCGCTAAACCTATTGAGGCCTCTTGCAGTAATTGTATTTCCAATGCATTCTGCCGGTACCAATGCATAAGTGTGAGCACTCAGGTCGCGCTCACTGAGTACTCAAGACTACGCTCAGTGAGCGCACGTGACATGCTCACTTTCTAGCCCGAAATTAAAGGCAAAGATAGACAGAGTTTAGCCACATGAGATGTGGATCACTTGACAGCGATCCATGGATCTATGTATTCTGTGGATGCTAGCGCCAGCAACTAAAAATCCATCTAAACCATTTTTTTGTTGATTAAATGTTTTCTTTTCATATAGTCCCGGGGAGATCACCACGTGTGAAAATATATGGCTTAAGCCTTTTGCCCAATTTAGCTATTGCTAGGATGATTTTCATGGGGTACTTAACATCCAGTCGAGCTATAAACCCGGCGAAAAACCCCCCATGGATAGTCAATCACTAAATCTTCGCAAGAGCTCCAGCTCACTGTCTCTTCTTATTCTCTTCTCTTTATACTTCGTCCCAGCGTATTGATGTCCGTTTCCAATCCTAGATCATGGGTATAAAGCGCCAGACTTACGATTTAGCAAGGGAACGGGGCCGCGCGAGGCGCAAAGAAACTAGATTCCAACCAGAAGCCCACCGAGCGGATGATGCCACACGTGGTGAGTATAAACGTACGATGGGTCCAAAGCCCTTCACCAACAGTACGGTGAGCTCTAGATCGAGTGAGTAGCCTCGCATCGCTTTTCCCCAATGTCCATGTTTGTTGACTTCTTAGGTTTCTAGTTGAAAGTGAAAGAGTATCTGATGATTATAAGCTGAAAAATGGAAGCTCAGTGCCCGAAATTACTCAAACTAGGGAATTTATTTGGTAGTACTATATGCATTGCACCAAAGGGCGTCTCGACCCAGATGGAAGGCCCACAGTGGTTATTAGTACGGCGTACGCCGAGAGATTTTTCGGTGGCTTTATGACAGCTACGGGAAATGTGATTTCTACGGAGCATCAGAAACTTGGGGTCAATTTCGTCTGATGAAGGCTTTGGCTGTTAAAGCCCTATCACAGTGCTGAGGAATTCTAAGGAGAAAGTCGTGAAAATGGAATTGAACGAGTTCCATTTCATTAAGATAGTAGGATAGACTACATTCATTACCGTACTGAGATATATATGTATGTTGTACTTCTAAGAATGTGGGTCAGGGATAGACTAACCATAAAAGGCATGGTGTCATGCAAAGAATAAAAGCGAGTCAAAAAGAGGTCCGTACGGAGTAGGAGCTACCTGTTTACTTCTAGAGTTAATATACTTTGAGAGACCTATATAATATCCTCGATCTAATTTGATATCAAGTTATAGGTACTCCGTATTTTGTCTTAGACTAGGTGCATATGATGTGTGTGGAGAGTATGGAGAGGCGGGAATGAAAAAAATGGGCAAATGAGGATGCGTGTGGATTGAATTTTTTTTTTAATGACTGGCTACAAATATTCAAATGTTTGATTGTTTCTCAGCCATAAGTGACCCGTACCAATGAATTTAAGGATTGGGAGGATTCGCAGGTATAATAATAGACCATCCTTTGAAACCTGGTCCTCAAGACCCAGAGCTTCATCTTTAATCGTCAAGTAGCGACATTGACCACTACGAACAGAAGCTTTGTCTGTACTAACTTTTTAAGCCATAGCAATTTAGCCCAAGCTCTAGAATGGTTGATAGACTACATTTTACTACCATCGCAATATAATATTGATCACGAGCCCTAGGTGGCGATCAAGCCGTCATATCCTCGAATCCAATGATCAGCAGGGCGATGGGTGGGGGCATCGGTTATCGTAGACAATCAAAAAGCATCGTGTCTCAGAATCATATATCTAGCCATGTGGACCTCCATATTTATCGAGAACACCTCGATAAATGACCCCCTGTCAAGCGAATTCAACATGCGCGAATCATGCGTCTCAGGTTTTGCAACGAAACTATACTCAAGATTCAGACTCAGATTCGAAATCAGTGAAATAAATATCTACTTGTTTGCTTCCAAAATTTCAGAAAATGGGAAGATAAGCGGGGCGCAGCACCTGGGAATAACGCCAAACCCGAAAGGGTTGGACGGGATATAGCTCCAGGGCTTTAGGGCCCAAGTGTACGGAGTACTGTTCTTCCGATTTGTACATCTCCACGAGTTAGGTGTTTGACCGCAATCACCCGCGGACGCATTAGTCACTTTATCTGGACCCACATTTCATACTGACAAGCCAAGTGTCACTTTTTCATCTAAGATATTTCGACTAATTTAATTCCCTCTTTCTCTGATATTTGAACCATTTCGCAGGTGTTGTAATAGAAAAAGGTGATTTCAGGCTGTTGATCCCCAAACTGGACTTTTGGGCTTAGATCTAGATACAAATGATCTAGTTGAACCCACTTAACAGCCACTAATGAGGACAAACCCCTAATTTACACCCCAGATCAAGATTGTCCGCAATTTAGACCGAGCGTTCTGTAGATTGGAGAACAAGCCCCACTGTATAGATGGAGGATTTCGCCCCCAGTTTTCAGCTGTTTGGCTAGATTGCCCTCCCCCCTCCCCCAGGTTTATATAGGCAATCCGCCCTCTTCGCTATCTTTACTCCTTTATATATCTCAATATCCCTGTCTAGGTAAACCTCTCACGCAATCATGCTGGCCAAGTCAGAGGAAACCATCTGCAGCGTCTCAGCTCTGGCCACGCAATTAGGGAACCAAATCTCTGTGCACATACTCAATTACCTCAGTACAACCAAAAATCTCCCTGACGGATTTCGCGAACTTTCGCATATCTTCCTTGATACCTGTCGCATGTTATGGGCCATCGAGGCTGGAGTGACCGAACTAGCATCTGCCAATCGCGCCCTACCCGATGTTATAATTGAAGAAGTGGAAAAGAAATTTGTCTCCACCTATCGTGATTTCCAACAACTTGACAAGATCATTTTGAAGCTTATTCAGTATGAACATCGCGGAACACTGGGAAAACTTCAGCGAGGGTGGCATCGGCCGGGCCATGACCTCAATCGCATTTGCGAATCGCTGAAGAAGACCACCGAAACCCTACAAATTAGTGGCATGGCCTTCCACTGGTCGCTCGGAGACGCACATCCGGAAGAGTCTGTGGGAATTGGCTACGCTGGCTTAGCAGCTGCGCTCGATCGCGTGTCCAAAGGCCGCTCCGTGATGGGAATAAACAAGGCCAAGTCCTTCGAGCCTCGATCCGCATCGATCCAAAGCCGAACGCCTGCTTCAATGCGCTCGACGCCATCCGTGCGCCCGAAAGCATCATTTAACAACTCCCGACTCAATCAAAGCATTTGCGAAGAACCTAAAACTATGGCGGATGACGCGTCCTCCGTCCTGTCTTTGAACGGTTTCCTGGGCTACCAGCCCCGTGAGACCGAGAAAATACCCTATTTCGACCACCGAGGTCTGCCGCGTCGACTAGACAAAACAGACTCAATAGCCTCTCCCGAGGAGATTAGCATCCGCAATGACAGCTATTCGGATTACGATGCCCGCAGCGCCAAGCTACCGCGGACTCCGCTGGCGCAAAGCGTCAATATTAAAGATGAGACGCGCTATGGCACAACGTTACTTATCGAAGCGATTCGCGAGCGAGCAACGCAGCATGCCATCGAAACCTTACTCAATTCCGGCTGCGACCCCAATCGCAAAGACGACCATGGCAAGACAGCGCTATGCGAAGCCGTGAAAAGCGACCAGCCATCTATTGTGACAGCCTTATTAAATAAAGGCGCGAATCCAAACCTCCCAGGACCCGAGCACGTCCTCTGGTCCGCCATATACCGCCCAAGCTGCCTGCGCATCCTGCTCGCACGTGGCGCCGACATCAAAAAAACCCCTGGTCTCATGGAACAAGCGACAAGTGTCAACAATATCGAAGCCGTACGCATCCTGCTGCAGGCTAATATGGATCCAAATTCCAAAAAGGATGGAATATACACACCACTCTGCTCCGCCATTCGCGATGACCGCCCAGATATCCTTGCCTTGCTACTCCATCACGGAGCTGACCCTAATTTGATGGCATCTGAGTACCCAGCGTGGAAGTGCATCACCCACAAACGTCTCCATCTCCTCCCAGACTTGGTGACAGCCGGCGCAGATCTCCGTAAACCACCAGGCATTGTGGAGTGCGCCGTGCAGGAAAACAACACGGAGGCCCTACACTGGCTGGTGGGCCAAGGAGGCGCCAATCTAAACGACCGCACCAAGCATGGCCACACAGCCATAACAACTGCCATCCAGAAGAACCGTCCAGAAATGCTGGAATTGTTATTGGCAAATGGTGCCGACCCTAACCTACGCGGCAAAGACTGGCCCATATACATGGCAACTCAATCGCCGAGTATGCTACGACACATTCTGCCTAGCATAACTGATCTCTCCGCGCACAAGGGTGTCATGGAAAAAGCAGTCCAAGCAAATCAACTAGAAAGCGTCAAATTACTCCTCGCAGCCGGTGCTAGTGTAGAGTGGAAGAACGGAGGTGTGTTCTCACCGCTGACAACAGCACTGCGCGAGAAACACTGGGCCATTGTGCGCTATCTCCTGGACAAGGCTGGTGCCGACCCCAATGCTCCGGGTGAGCATTTGCCACTCGTCAAAGCGATTCGGGCATGTGACGATGAAGATTTTGCCATGATTGAGTTGCTTCTCGAGCGGGGCGCTGATCCCAACAAATGCTACCGCGACTGGAACGCGATCATGCAGGCCATTGAAAACCGCGATCTTCGGTTATTGCGGCTTTTGATTGAGAAGGGTGGATTGGTTGATCTTGCTCAGAAAGATGATACCGGCACCACGGTTTTAGACATGGCTAATGCTTTTGGCTGGCTGGAAGGTTCTGACCTTTTGTTGAAGAATGCTCGTCAGTGAGGCTTTTTTTTTTGTTTGATATCCCTCTTTTGTATACCTCTCAAGGCATTTTTCCTTGAATCGCAAGGCTTCATTACCATTCGCAACCCGCAGGCCATCCGCTACGTGGCCAAATTTATGCACCGAACAGGTCTCCTCCAACAGTTTCAACACGCGAGACTTGGGGAGGAGGACGACGACGAGGAACCGACAGGCCTTACGGCAATGGATCTAGGTGTGGAAGACGATGGGTATTAGCCAATGACGAAAACGAAGCTGGGAAACGGGAAGCTCAGCCAGAGTCCACAAACATGCTAGGCAACTGGGGGCGGGGCTGTGGGGGGGGAGTGAGAGGAAGTTGGAAGGCGGAGGGTGCACTCCGCCGCATTCATTATATATATTTTTCTTATGTATAGGTTTTGGGATTGGGGGTTTACGATATGCGGGAATGGGCTGATTTCACACTCTTTACAAGTCAGCCTCTGTATTTACTCTCGGGAGTGATCCCAACTCGGCGTTTGGCTTCAAATTCTTCCTTCAGCTGGATGAAGCACCTACATAGTCATACGCAACTAGTTAGACTGCAACATATTAATTGAACTTTCATTGATTGATTGATTTATTACCATTCGTATTCGCGGTAGTCAGATTAGTATTTACCTGATCAACCTTGGACCAGAAAGAACCCGAGGAATTGAATATTAGCTCAGTTTATCCTTTACCATGCATGCATTGCTTTTGAACTTCCCCTTGCATAGCACCCTTAGGACCCGCTTCCTGTTGGGTAGCCGCATATACGCCCTATGTCGGCAATCGGCGAAATGTCTTGATCCCGACGATGCTATTGGGTCCAAGTAAACCGCCTTCCGATGGTCAGAACTGGACGCCGAACTTGGAAGCAATGCGAGCCTTAATACGATTCGCAATCGCCACGGGCCGACTTGACGCCGCTTAACCAACACAATGACACCCTTCCCCCAAACTAACCCACACCAACCGCTTTGAACTAGAGACGTAGACGCGCTTTAACTGCCGAGGATAGGATGTTGAACACTCGAAGAAGCGCCTTCAAGCCAGTCTACTAACAAAATTACTAACCCACGAGGACCCGCTACCATGTTGACAGCTGGAATGACATAAACTGAAAATGACCATGTATGGGCTCAAAGGAGAGACGGTATTAAATAGGAAATGTACTGGTAGTTAGTGAGAATTGCCCTTTCGGCTTAGCCGCCGGGGGTTAATAAATATTGTGTGTGTGGGTACAGTACTCAATCGAGTGGAAGGTTACACCGAACAATAGAGCAGTAACGGGACCAAACATGGAGCAAGATACAGTTCTGGTACCTGCTGCCTCCTCCACCCCAAGTCGGAATATTTTGGCGGAGAAAAAAAGATCGGGACAATCGATGAGGGCAAGTTGAGTGCCTTAGATGGTAGAGGTAGAGATTCGCCATCCAATGGTGCCTGCTCAGCGACCAGATTCAGACTTCGAAGAAAAGAGGGCCCATGATTTGCATACCAGCCATATCTCTCAAAGGAAGCTATCGGTCAGACATTTGAGGACCTCTATTCAATTTTAGGGAAAATTTCGATACCATAGCACGTAAAGACAGTCTGTATTTTGTAACGGCGGTGATTGCCAGTAACGAACTTGCATTTCAGTTCTCGCGATGCTTTCAGACCCATATAAACCAGTGAAATCGGCGGTAACACACACTGCATATAGCCGAGCCCCGGACTGGCCAGTTATACCAGTGTTCATCCCTGCTATAATTTTGTTTATGTCGTCTATCACTCGCACCTGAAAACTTGCCACAGTTTTGTTGAAGAAATGCTGATATTATCCTCCGCATTTCAACTCGACACCGATTCTCTTGTACCGTTCGGATGGGTTGGGGTTTGTGTTTGGATCGTAATATTCTATGCGACGTTTACACCAAAGATCGATGGACTGGCTTGTGTTTTGGAACACGGCTTGTTCACTTTCAACGAAGTAGGGACTCGATTGGGGAATGAAATTGGCCAGCTCGGCCTGCAGCCAGCCTTCCCAGCGCCTTTCATGCCAGTTTGCTGCCAGATCTGTTGGCGGTTGCACTCGACAAGGCGGACAATGGCCACTAGGACATCGCTATCCTGGATCTCTCTAGGGTGAGCCCTCAGAATCTGTTGTTGGCTCATACCCGGAGGAGAGGTTTTTGCAGGTCTTGCGTATTGCAGGGTTCATGAGAATGTGGTATGCAGGCGGGTAAAGTGATGGATTGACGTGTGTTATCGTTACTGTAGAGGTTCAAACTAGAAAAGAAAAAAGAAACCAGGAAATTCTTCAACCAGCATCGTTGAGTGGTTGCAGTTACTCTCTCTGGTCGGGCGTCATATGATAAAGTAGAGTTGCACCTGAGCTACATAAATTAGCGTACCGATCAAGGTTGTGGATATCCAAGGATGCGCTGCAGAGAGGCATGGCTGGGCTCAATGGAGGGTTACTGCCAAAAACGGCCTGCTGAATCTGAGACCGTTGGGCATCAGCTTGGGTAACACAATTTAATACATAGTATATGACTCCAAGCAGCTCCCGTTCAGCTGCGTGATGATTCCTTTCCTCTTCCGGGAGATGATGGTGGTGACGTGACCGTTTTGTGATAAGATGGCGCCAATAGCAAAGAGGCTCGCGTGGGTCGTGATTTCGCAGGGGTCTGTTCTGGTTGTCGACGAAATCTGCCTAATAATGTTAAGCCACAAACGCCACACACAAACCAGCCACAAATATGGAGTTCAAACCTTGGAATTGGAAGGTTCCTGACTTCCAATGTTCCAACGGATTTTCAGCTTTGAATGCTTTGCCACCTGAAAATCAAGTCGCATGGACACGCCTGAATCAGATCAAGGTTCATGGCTGTACTGGTGCGGAACGACAGTCGAATTATCCTCCACTTGGTGACTCTCCCTGATCTTACTGCCGTCACTTTGACTTACCATATCCAGGATTATGACTGTTTCTATGCCTCGGTCTTTGAGGTTGAACAACCTGAACTGAGATCCCTTCCCTTAGCAGTTCAGCAAAAGCAGATTGTGGTAACCTGCAACTACGAAGCTCGACGGCGAGGTCTGCATAAGTTACAGCTCATCAAAGATGCTAAGCGCATCTGTCCCGATGTGGTGATAGTTCTGGGTGAAGACTTGACCAAGTTCCGAAATGCATCCAAGGAGCTTTATCTGTTGGTTCGCTCCTTTGTCTGGGGCGACCATGTCGAAAAACTAGGTTTCGACGAGCTCTTTCTCGATGTCACGGAAATGATTGACTACAACACTGCCGTGTTAAACCAAAACGACTTGGAGAATTCGTATTTCCATCTTGATCGGAAGGACCCGACCGTTGGATTCTCTTACGATGCCACTCGCTTCCAGGGATCGACCTTCCCCGCGATGGAGGCAGCCTCCGTCGCTCAGAAAGATCCGTCTTCGTTGGAAATGAGGCTGCTCGTTGCCTCTCATTTACAGAGTCATATACGAAGTAAGTTGGAGCATCAAATAGGCTTCACGGCGACTGGTGGGATCTCAACCTCCAAACTATTGGCAAAGTTGGTCGGTAATGTTCACAAGCCCAACGGCCAAACGACTCTTCTGCCGCCATATATGGCCACCAAAAATAGAACTAGCAGTGTGTTCCAGTTTCTGGATGATCACGAAATCCGGAAGATTCCTGGAATTGGTTCTCAGATTTCCCAGAAACTGAAATCCTATGTCACAGGGCAAGAGAATACCGATGAAAAGATCACAGTCAAGGATGTCCGCCAGTTCCCTGGCATGGGTCCACCTTTACTGGACAGAGTCCTTGGTGGACCAGGCTCAACCAAAGGGATCGGGATGCGCATGTGGAGCATTCTCCATGGAGTAGATAATTCTGAGGTGCTGGAGGGTCGCGATGTGCCCACTCAGATCAGCATCGAAGATTCTTATGGCCAGTTAGATACTCTCGAGGGTGTACGACGAGAGCTCGTAGTGTTGTCGCGAAGTCTGGTCCGCCGTATAAGAACCGACCTGCTTGATATGAGTGATGACACCGCTCCCCAAGGGAAATGGCGTGCTCATCCTCGCACTCTGCGGTTGTCAACCCGGCCAAGACTTCCACCAGACGTGCGTACCGGGCGTGCATACAGTTCCAAGCGCATCTCTCGCTCGGCGCCCCTACCACCCTTTGTTTTCAACTTGGATGAGAATATTGATGCATTGGCCGAGCGGCTGGTCCGAGAAAATATCTTCTCTATGTTTCGCAAATTACATCCCGAAAAGGCTGGCTGGAACCTCAGTTTGTTGAACGTTGCGGTTACCAATATGGTGGAGACCGCAGGGGATCAGAAGCAAAACAGTGGACGCGATATCGGGAAGATGTTTCGACAGCAGGAGACAGTACTTAAGGATTGGACTGTGCAGGAACCCGGGTTCTCATCTTCATTACCCGGAGATACCGGAGTTACCCTTGAGATACAGCCACAGTCGGACGATGGCTGGGACGACGATGAACCCTTGGGAAATATAGACTGCCCTATATGCGGGGCATCGATCCCACATTTTGCCCAGTTGGCACATCAGATATATCATTCTGAAAAATAAACATGGATCCGTTATTCAGCAGCCTGAACTGCCAACCTTGGAAGCATTGGAAGGCTTTGATAGGTTCATATGTAGTGGCTTAGCCCTCAGCCACTCACGCGGCCGATGTATGAAGAAAGATATGGAGGTTTAGCAATAAGTATACATATCTCACTTTCAGGGTTATTGTAGGGTCTTGCACAATTCTTATGTGTTATCGGTCATATATGGCCAAGAACGGTAGAAGGTTAGTATAGGGGATTATCCATCTACCAAGCATGCCATATGTATTGTACCTACGTACGGAGTACTAGATTTCCTCTGCCACTTCTTGGCCTTCCCTTCCCGTCTGAGTGCTCAGTCCTTCGGGCGTTGGATGCAGCTTTGTCCTTCCCGGTTACTACATGAGCAACTTCACCTAAATGCTCGTCCGTGCTGAGGATGGGTCGTACCATCTTATCTACCCGGTTGGAAAGCAGATTCAGTTCCCTCTCTTCGATGCTACCCAGGATACAGGTAAGACCTCCCCTGACCACCTCCTTTTTGATACCCGGCCCAATGCATGACCCGATTCCCAAGTGGGAATTGGGTCGCACGGGTCTAATGCAAAAACTAGTCTAATGCAAATTTCGTGATATAGGTACCTTTTGTATTGGCCTGCCATACATAATGTACTTGATGTCAAACTTTTTGTAACTTTCATATCTCAACTATAAGATAAAATACCTAACTAGGATATAAAGTGATATTAATAAGCACAACTCCTTGATAATTTACGAAATAGGTAAGCTATCTTCTTAAAGACTGTATATTGTTAGTATATTAACGTAGAGGTTTAAAAACTGCACTTTCGAGTAGACTTCCGTAAAGCCCACAAATGGGCCCCCACCCTAGGCCCAAAGCCCAACCCGCAGTGGGCTATGGGCCTAACCTTCGAAACCCGACCCAACCCGTAGCCCACTAATGGGGGCCTTAGAGGCCCCCATTAAAGCCTATCTTATCGGCCTCTGTAATCGCTGTATTACGACCTTCCACTAGGTATATAAAGTTCAAATTCAGTATTCAGAACTGTACTAGCTATATAAATATACATTTTAATTTTGAATAAAATCCAAGAGGTAGAAGTCGAGATATATTTTTTGGGTTTGTTTAGGAGTACTACTACTTTCTACGTGGACTCCTGTAATTTATAAATTATCTAAATAACGTGCTTTCTCGCGTTTTTAAACGTGATATAAAGAGATAACTAGCAATTGATTCTAAATCATTTAAACTAATAAAATATTACCTTTAGAATAAGGGCTAGAAACGGGGGTAAAACGAAGGGTAATTTTAAAAACCCTTTTAGGGGGTTCAACTTAGTATCTTTGCATTGTTTGGGGCCTATTGGGCCCCTATTAAAGCCCAGTGGGCTTTCACCCCAGGCCTATAGCCCATCGATGGGCCTAAGGACCGGGCCCAAAACCCGGCCTATTTACGGGTTGGGTCGGGTTGGGCTTTGGGCTTTGTGGGCCGGTGCGGAAGTCTACTTTCGAGGACGTTCCTTGACTAGACTCCAAATTACATATTTTATTCTGAAGAAATTCCCTAAATAATACTATTCTGATATCATATACTCTAACACTTAGCTTATTTCCTATCTATATAGTATTGTGGTTGAGCTATGTGACTTGAAAAAGATTCGGATTATAAGTACCCTTTATATGGCAGCCCCATACAAAAGGTACCTAAATCATGAAATTTGTATTAGACTAGTTTTTGCATTAGACCTGTGCAGCCCAACTTCCGCTGGGAGTTGGGCCGTGCGTTGAACCGAGTATAGATGAACTCACATATCCCCTAGGTCTCTTCGTGAGAGCTGCCCTCAAGCACCGAGGCCAGCTGAAAGACATGCAGATTTTGGCCGCTGCCAAGTACTACACACCCGACGAGATCGTTGACACCTTCTTCAATGTCACTGGCAAGAAGGCAGTGTTCATCCAAGTCTCTGCCGAGCACTAAAAAGCCTCCCTGCCTGCTGCTATAGCCGATGAGTACCTCGACAACCAGCTGTTTGTGGAGAAGCCTGGTTACTACCTCGGGGAGCCCCTCGAGCCCAGCCTGAGCCTTCTCGATGCTAGGCCTACTAACTGGGAGGAGTTTGTGAAGAACAACGTTTCCGCTTGGAAATAGGTCACCTGAAATCAAGGTTTGATGTTCATTCATATATATCGACCGTTTAAATCGACATGTTTTTTTTTAACTTCGAATTTGCTCAAGTGTGATCTAAACATCAAGTGGATGATGATTCGAAGATTTGGATTCCTCAAAAGAAGTACGTATATATAGTTCTATGTCACCCACCTTTCTATATGTGGTGTTGTTCCTTTCTTGGTAGTCGAAAACAACCATTGAGAGTGGGACGCCTTGTACATCAAAGCGCGATCGTACATCTATCTCTCCCACGCGAAGGCTAGAAACAAGTACATAATAGAGAGCATTCATTATCAATTGGACCAACCATTGGCCCTGATGATCCACCACTACAAAATGAAATTGATATATAATCAATAGGTCAAATACGGACGAACGCGGCCTTTAACAGTTATAGCCTCTCGAGATTTAGTTCACCATCTCGACTTTCTTTAATACTATGACTCTCTCATCATCGCGATTCAAGCTACGTGTTAAAAATGATCCGTCCACGGGTGTCATGAAATTCATGACCAAGAGTCCACTTCCTGGGTATTCCCTCTTTACACTCGACTATTCTCCTCCCTCTCAAGCCCCCAAGGCATCGCGGGTAATTTTGACCCGGATGCCAGGGCTTGATAGATCAGCCACACCGATGAAACAATCATGGGAGTTTTCCACGTCTCGTTCCCAGATTGTGTCGTATAGCTCGAGTTCAAACCGCGTGATTAGATGGGCGATTGTCAGGTATAACTCTGCGTTTGCCAGGCTGATAATCCAGGTTAGTTACTATATATGATTATGCAAGTCTCGCTTTCGGAAGATAACTAAGAAGGGACGGAAAGAAGAAAGCAAAAAGAAAAGGAAAGGGAAAACTTACTTGATTCCCAAACAAGATCTCGACCCCTGTCCCCATGCCATTAGATATCGCGGCTTCAGCTTGGGATCATCAATCCACCGCTGTGGATTAAAGCGGAAGGGCTCAGGGAATATCTGGGGGTTTGTATGGTGAAGGTAGAGGGATTGCATGACAGGTGTCTGATCATAATGTCTTTTAGTAATGTTCCACCTGGAATAGAAAATGTAAACTCACACCACGTGGAATCACCCATTGCTTGTAGACAAGTTCTTCGTTGCGATGCGTGGCATACGGCTCGAGGCACCATGAGCTAGTCTGAGACCCTCATTGATGACAGCTGACTGATAGAATAGCTAGAGGTTAGTCTACTGGCACTAATCGACGGCCAAGGTAAATTCATACAAAATAAGGCAAAGCCTCCAGGTCGGCCAGTGCAACAGGCGAATCAGCCGCTGGCATGACAGGACTCAACTCAGCGCGTAGCTTGTCCAACACATCCTTGTTGTGCAACAGATAATAGATCATTACAGCCAGGTTTCTGGCCGTCGTCTCGGTTCCAGCTCCAAGTGCGAGACCAGCCTCTGCATTGAGTCGCTCCGGTGTCTTCTCACTCGCCGGCAAGTCACTGTTTACAATATCCTGAAAGATAGTCCGCGAGTTAGCAGATAACAGACCCTCATTTTTCGAATTACCACCATTCTTCCGACGTTCTTCCGTAGCAACATTAATAATCTCAATTGGATACTGCAGTTTCTTGGTTAGTTTCGCTGTCTCAGGACTAATCCACTTCACGACCTCCGGCGACAGATTATTCAACAGCGGATTCATGAGCCAGCTAAATTGCCTTCCCATGGGTCTCATCAACCCCACTGTCCGGAATGCCTCAAGCCAATCTGAGCCCCAATCTTCGCGACCGAGATTACCAATGTCACCGCCAAGCGCATAGGACGATATGACGTCCATGGTCAGCGCAGCCGTCGAATTGGTCAGATTGACCACCTCACCGCGGGCATAGGAGCCTGCCAAACGGCTCTCGAGGCGCTTGATTTTCTCAACTACCATGCCTTCCAAAGATGAGATGGCGCGCTTGCTGAAGAAGGGGTTAAGGGCTGCGCGTCGCACCCGGTGCAAATCGTGGTCCATGGATTGTAGGAGAGACCAGCTCATGGTTCCAGTCTTGGATGCATGCATGTACCAGGTGTCACGGTCGCGCTTGCGGCGACCACCGGCGTAGATGTCGTCAAAGTAGTCCGGGTCATGGATGTGGATGTGGTTGGGGTTGATGCGGACGATAGGACCTAGCCGTTATTTTAGTACACAAATCACACAACAATATGTATATTTCTTTTCTTTTGATTCTCAGCCGGTCCAAGGGAATCTACCATATATGTCATGAAGCTCCTTGATCTTCCAGAGGTAACGATGCTTGTACGGCCACAAATCATAGTATGCCTCGTACCAGAAGCTGGCGGCCGCAAGCTTGGGGCCAGGAAACTTGGCCAGAGGGTGAAGGGTAAGACGATATACATAGAGCAGGATCGTATAGACCGTATATGAGACCAGGAAAAGGCCAATGGCATTGACCGTGGTGAGCGATCCAATTTGGGCAAGCAGGCTTGATTGGGGGGTGTAGCTTCCCATCCTGCTTAATCTTATGGAGATAGAAAGCTATCGTCCAGCTTCAATTGTATTAGAATTATGTTGTCATTATAACCATTGAGTCGGCGATAGATGGTTCTTATTTGAGCATATCACTTAGCATTCTCCCATATGCACTCATAATACAATTTGTCAGATTGTGGGTTGATCAGCATGCCGGAAGCTACTTATTTCAGCAGCTTCCGGGCTACGGCAGGGTTTAGCGTGCGAAACTTCGAGATAGCAGATCTGCTATATGCATCAAGTGTGTTTGATTAATAATGTTGGTGGAGATATTGGAAAGCAATTCTCATTAGTTGTCAATATGGTGAGGATATAACCACCGTGGCTCAAAACGTCCATACATTCATGTCCCAAGCCCCAACATCCAATTAACATAATACAACCTCTAAACTTGTTCATTGTATATCTCACATTTACTTCTAAAATATCAGATCAGTTTTCATGCTCCTGGTTAAATAGTTGACGAAACTGTAACGATTGATATACTTTATATCGGGTTCCTCCCTTATTACATGGCAATAGGAATTTTCATGAAACCAAATTTTTTTTTTTTTAGATTTTTAACCCAGCAAAAGCCTGTGTAAGTGAGTATTAAACAATTTAAGATATAAATAAACAAAAGAAACCCTCTAGGGAGCGTGCGCGGGATACAGACGAGCCATACAAACTCCGCTAACAACCATTAATGACTATCCCAAAACCAATCTCAAGTCCAACAGTATGATACAGTATACTATGCCGAGCCTCAAGTCTCCACCGATGGCGATGGTGACGCCGACTCCTCCTTAGTCTCCTTCTCCTGCCCCCGAATTTTGCGTCGCTCAACGAGCAGAGCACCAATGATACTAATGCAGCACAAAGCCAGAGGCAATAACCACATATCCACCATTGCCTTATTGAAGGCTTCGAGGATGGTGATCTTGTCTGCCCCTTGTAGCCCCTTGGTCAGAGTCGTGACACCTCCGCTCATGATTTTACTAGTGTCGACACCGGGGACATGTGTCTTTTGGATGTTTCGGTCTAGGTGATTGATGAAGAGAGTTTGAGCAACAGCAGTGAGGATTGCACTGTCGAGAGTATGTCAGTAATTCATCCCTTTCACCTTTCGGTTCACTTCTGGGACAGATTCAAGCAACAATTACCCTGCCATAGTCTGAACAAACATCACAATGCCCGATCCAATCGGAATATCCGGCAAATCAAGCACATTTTGAGCGACCATAACGGGCGTTTGGGCGGCAAGACCCATACCCAAGCCATAGAGGATTTGGTACCCAATCCATTTTCCAGTGCCGGTGTTAATAGTAAATGTGGTGAATAAGCCTGATCCGAGGGAGATGAACGTGGAGGAGAAAACAAGGAACGGCCAGATGTACCCCACCATTCCGATTAGAATACCGCCAAGCAATGAGGATATGGCATTGGCAATGACCAGAGGAAGGGTGTCCACACCAGAGCCGAAGGGACTCGTTCCTAGAGCTCCTTGGAACCAACTAAAATTCATTAGCCAGTCTGTCCTCTACCGAGGTGGAGGGCATGGAGTGGGTTGAAACATACATTGGAATATAATAAAGCAGCAAGAATGAGGCACCACTTGAACAGAAGCAGAAGAGGCAAGCGGCGGCTACACTGCGTTGTTTGAAGACACGTGCAGGCAGCATACTCTTTTCACCCTGCCAGAGCTCCAGAGCGATGAATACAATTCCCAGCAGACCAAAAAATGACGAGCAGAGCGATAATCCTACCACTATTCCAGGGGTAGGTAGCCCCACCCCATTGTAGCGCTAGGAGGAGACAAATGACGCTTCCAGTAAGGGTAATGAGGCCGATGAAGTCGAATCCCTTGAAGAATTCAACCAGAGAAGGCGGCTTAGTCTGGGGTGTGGGTGGGCGCACAAATAGCAGAAAAATGCCATAACTGAACGCCCCAATTGGAAGATTAATGTAGAACTGATCATTCCAGCTGGGTTAGCCTAGATTACAAAGCAAGTTGAATTCTGGGGAAAAGTGGGGGATGTAACTCACATTCCATCGCCAAGTGACATGCTCGGTGAGGGCGCCACCAATCAATGGCCCAGTAGCATATCCAATGCCCATTGAGCCGCCAACCAATCCCATGAACAAAGGGGCCTTTGACGGATGGGCAATGAAAGGCACAAGAGAAAAGGTGCCAACAAGCAAGCCCGAGCATCCAATTCCTGCCACAGCACGGCCCACAATCAGGGCTACAGAGTTTGGAGCCGCGCCACAAATGGCCGACCCAGCCAGGAAGAATAACATGGCCACTGTGTAGATATATTGAATGGGGTACCAAGTATAGAGCTTTCCATACAGTAACTGCGTGATTGATGTGGTCATGAAATATACACTACTGTACCAACCAATGTCTTTGATGGAATTGAACTGGTCAGAAATCACGGGGACTGCTGTTGCCAGGACGGTGCTGTCCTAAATATGAGCAATATAAAATCAGTTTATGACTCGTGTAATAAAATACATATATGTAAGACGAGGATGTGTGAGTATACTCACCAGAGTGATAACAAAGATGATTAGGCATAACGAAAATGTCACCAATGCAAATTTGAAAGGGCCTGGAAATTGCTGCTCCGGTGCTGCCTCAGCTTCATTGCTTGTGTCTGCTGGGCTTTCAGACGCCTTGAAGTCTGGAGTTGATGAGCTATCTGCGCTACCAGCAGTGTTCAAGGGAGTCTTTTCAAGGACGTGGTCGTCAGGAGAAGCCATGACAGGAGAGGTAACACTTGTTACAATCTTCAAATGACTAGGTAAAACTAAAACTTCTCATGGTGAAAACAGAAAAGGTCGACCAAGAATCTTTCCTATGTACTCTGTACATGGCACATTGGATTTATAATCGGAGCGCTTAGAAATCCACCACAAAGGAAAAAAGAAACAACGTGCAGGGGTCTTGCAAGGGTACACAGGGTAACAGCATGGTAGAATGTGAACAGAGGCTTTTGATTGGTTCTAGTCTAAAGTTGCCCATGAATCGATTCGCTTAGTAAACTCCGGCTAAATCTATAGATCTTCACGAGAAAAAAGCTTCGAAGTTCTACCGATCGGCGGAAGAAGGTCAATATACCTACAACACATACACATGGAGTATGGAGTATAGAGTTGAATAAAAGTGAAAACCAATTGTCAACCACTGCTCAAAAAAGATGACTGGAGAAGAGCAATTGGATTTGGCTGAACAAACGATACCAAATCTGACCATAAACACCCTTGTCCCCCCGCCCCTTTTAGCTGAACCGCTATAGGCTGACCTGCAGTTATTTAGTGGATACCCGGAGCTGTAATTTCCACCCGAGACTACTTACGCATTAGTTAAAGAGACTATAGCTGAAATGAGTTTAGTCTTGACCTGCGGCTTACCCAAACTGGAAGCTTCCGAGTTGATATACCTAGGTATATATACTAGGAAGGTTCCGAGCCTTAATAAGGTGAAACCACTGGATAATGACAGCCTGAAAGATATTGGAGAGGCCACCCATATTTCGTATATAGAGACAACGAGTATGAGAGATAGGATTATTAATGTCTATCATAGAAGTCTATGCCCAATCAACGAGAAGCAGGGAATAGAGTGGTGTGATTTAAGCAATTAACACAGAAAGAACGCACGATGGCCATAGATTCTGGACCCAATGCGGCCCGACGCGACGCGTATACCAATGGAAGGCCCCAGCCCCAGCCTGAGACAAGCACTATGCCGATCGCCATCATTGGCATGGCCTGTCGGTTGGGTGGAGACGCCAGCAGCCCATCTAAGCTATGGGAGATGTGCACTTCGGCGCGAGATGCCTGGAGTCCTATCCCACAGGAGCGCTTCAATGCTAAAGCACTATACCATCCCAACAGGGAGAGAGTCGGTCGAGTAAGTCACTTTTCAGCTCCTTCTACTGTTTTTTCTTTAACAAATATTTTCTTGCTAGAACCACGCGGTCGGTGGGTATTTCCTCAACGAAGATGTTGCACTTTTCGATGCGGGATTCTTCAATTTCTCCGGGGATGTGGCTAGTGTAAGTCGAGTTCATATAGACGGGAATCTATTATACCAGCGTAGCCAAGATCCCCGAAAGCGTGGGATGGGTAGAAGCTGCTGCACTGCCGTCGCCTTTCATAGCGGCCTACTATGCACTGATCACTCTTGCTGCTCTCCAGTCCGGAGAATCTGTACTCATCCACGATGCTGCCAGTGACGTCGGCCAGGCTGCGATAGTCCTTAGTCAAAAATTGGGCGCAACCATCTTTACGCTCAGCAAGTCTTCAGCCGAGGCGGAACTTCTCACCAAAACACACAATCTTGCAGCTGGCTACAACTTCTCCAACGATGAAACCGGCCTATCATCCATTATCGGGGCTCAAACTGATGGTCTGGGGGTACATGTTGTCTTCAATACACGATCGAGTCCTCTGGTGGATTCAACATGGGATTGCCTTCGTCGTTTTGGTCGATATGTCGACCTGAATGGCGCCTCCCCCCTTGCTCCAAGGCCGCTCAAAGAGGTGCTACGTACAGTGCGTTCGATGTGCTTCAAGTACTTGAGTATCGAGGATCTGCAGCACAAGCAGCCCTTGTCGAAGGCATCCGCATCTCTCACGAGAGGACCGAAGTTCCCATCTTACCCCTTGTTACTTGGCCAATCAGCGAACTTGATCGCGCATTGACCCGTATCGAAAGCCAGGATAATTTGGGCAAGATAGTAGTTGTCCCTGGCGAGAACGATCATGTCAAAGTTAGTCTATCAGGCCCTTCTAGTTATGCTTACTGCCACAGGATACTGACGCAGCTTCTCAGATTCTCCCGCAACCGAAAATATTCTCCCTTGACGATCCGGATACCACATACCTCATCGTGGGTGGCTTGGGTGGAATTGCCTACACGGTCGCTTCTTGGATGCTGGAGAAGGGGGCTAAAAATTTGGTCATCCTGTCTCGTCATGCCGCCCAGCATCCCAAAGCGGCTGAGCTTCAGGCTGTTGCACAGTCTCAAGGCAGTGCCTTGCAAATCCGCAGTTGCGATGCGTCGAATGAGGGAGACCTATTGGCCCATCTGGCCGAAGTTTCTCATAGCTTCCCCCCTATTAAAGGTGTAATCAACGGAGCCATGGTGCTTGAGGTAAATATACCCCCAAGGAATACTCTTGAACGAACTGCGTGCTAACTGAGCAAACAGGATTCCGTCTGGGAACGTATGACACATACCCAATGGCAGCGCGCTGTTGCGGCCAAGGTAGCCGTGACCACTAATCTTGACCGATACCTATCGGATCTGTCATTCTTCATCCTACTTTCATCTCTGACTGGTGTGGTCGGGTCCGCTTCGCAAGCCAACTACGCAGCCGGGGGCGCCTTCCAAGACGCCCTAGCCCGCCACCGAACGGCCAACGGCCTCCCTGCCGTAGCCTTGGGCCTCAGTGCTGTCGAATCAGTCGGGTTTGTGGCGGAAACAGGAGATGATGCGCGACGTCATATTGAGCGACTGGGCTCCGACTCAGTCAGCATAGAAACAGTGTTGCAATTAATCCAGGCGGCTATCCGGGATCCACTTCGCCGATCTCCCGCGGAGAGCCAAGTCATTATCGGACTCACATCTTGGGACCGTCTGGCTGAGAATGCTGCCACGAGACGTGACCGACGATTCAGTACCCTGCGAGTGGGTAGTAAGAAGACGATAGCAGATGCCGGAATTTCATCCGGTGATGAAGCTGGAAGGAGCAATTCCTCGGCAGCCTTGCTTCGGAAATTGGCCGAAGGCCACCTAGAAGCCACGGAGGCACAGGGACTCTTCCTTGATGTCATTGCCAGTAAGCTGGCTAGTATCTTCAACATCGATGCAGCGGGACTGGACCGGGAGGCTCCGTTGGCGCAGTTTGGTGTAGATTCTCTGGTAGCAGTAGACCTGCGCAATTGGCTCGGGACGTCGGTCAAGGCGAAGATGTCGATCTTTGAAATTTTGCAGAGTCCCTCGTTGCAAGAGTTTGCGAGTTTCGTGGCGCAGCGCAGCGAATGGATGTCGCGTGGATAATTTATGTGTACATACCGGTACCTACCTAGGTAAACCGCAGATTTCGTTCCCGTTCCAAGGTTACACAGGTGCCCAGAAGCTTGACTAAGATAAAGTTCAGATGGAAACTCTGTTAAGTGGAGTTGGTCAACCTAAATTCAATGGTTACTGCCAACCTTGGAAGGTGTAACCTTCCAAGATTCTTTCTCTTGGCAATCAAATATGTCGAGGGAAGTTCTAGGCGGATAACGAGGAGTTGGCTTGACGGGCTTTTTGTGGCTTATGAATTCCGACCGTCCCGCCATGTGATTCTTGACGAAACTCTACCAGCTAATCATTTTGTATAAATGCATATCGTTTTCCCTAAGCGAAGATTCTGCGTAATGAGTTAGGTATATATCAATGTATATCTATGTGTGTCTTCAAAAAAATATGTACGACAGTTTACATAATATCATCTACCCTCTGACATCCCACGAATAGCCAAACAAATCCTCGCCGCTGTCTCCTCCGCCGCTGCCACCTGTTGCAAGGCCAGCCGGTTCGACGCCAATGTATTTTTCATTAGATTCAACAACTGTCGTAATTCAGTCAAATGCATAGCACCCAGCTCCTGTACCAATTTCAATCGCTTTTCAGAGGATTCAACGCGATATCGCCCGACCCAGATGGCCCCATCCAGTACCTCCCCCGTAGGTCCACTCTCCCAGCCCAGCGGGTCGGCCCGTGATGCACCCACTTCACGCGGTTGGCCCAGACATAACCGGCCAATTTCTTCCGCGATGGTCGCCAGTGACTGAGCGATAGTAGCTAAAAGAATGGAGTTTTGGGAGTCGGTGCTGCACTTCCCACATGAGATTGTCTCTTGGCATGTGCGGACTGCTGATCCTAGACATAGCAGCTGGATGTCGACACCGCCCGAATCAACTTGTTGTACCCCAAGTTTCTCTAACAGCTCGACGAGGTTGGACAGGCAGTTGCATTCCTGAATTAAGCCGTTCCCCTATTCCTGACTTGTCTGGGAACGCAGCTCCATCGGACAGGCTACGGGTGGGAGCAGGCCTGGGCGGCATAGTTGTTCCATCGGAGGGGTGAGCCGGGTCGGTCAGAAAATTTGCATCACTTGTGGAAAGATGCGACGATGACAGAAATTGACTGCCTGCGGTGGTGTCCACGAGATAGGATGTTTTGTCTGGGGTGAGGTTGTCGCCGAGGTTAAAGAATTCCGGTCCCTCGAGATTCATGAACATGCATGTATCTAGATCAAAGGGTGTGTCATAAGTTAAAGAATCTTGTTGGTGTGCAGAGGCTGGTCGAGTTTGGAGGCCCGGCATCTGTTGGTCCTCTGGGCCGGTTTCGTTGACGGAACGCGACCGCAGACGAGAAGGAGATTCAGACGCAGAGGTAGAATCAGGTGGAGTCCACTGCTTGTTATTGCATGCCCTCTTGGATTGGTTGCCATTGTTGCCAAAATTCATCGTGTAGGTGCATGGGGTTGAAGACGCTTGACATCGATCACAAGCGCCACCTTCACCTTCCCCGCTGCATTTGAGCTGTTCAACCCGATATCAGTCTGATATCTTCTACGGTGAGAACATGTATTCCGACACACCTTGCGAGAACGACATACATCACAGGCTACGAGCGTATACCCGCGAGCATCCTGCCCGCGTCCGGTGGTGGAGAGACTGACGTGGTCGTAGTGGCTGGTCTGCTTATTCAACCGCATAGTGCCAAACATTCTCTTTTGCACTTCTCGTATAATGATATTTCTGGTATTAAGACCAGTAAGCCGGGCCGATCAGAAATATGGAATATGAAACATAGATGAATAGAGTCTAGAGGCACCGGTAACCAAGATCTAGATTAGGCTCTTGAGTAGCTTTCTAGACCAGGTTGTGAGGTCTATATCCTCTTATTAGATATAGGTCGCGGCGTCTGGTAGACTTACTTGTACTTAAGCCGGCTGGCGGAGATCTCCCGCTGAAAAAAAAAAAAAAAAAAAAAAAACAGAAAGCTCGGGGGGCATAAATGCCGCTTCCCCATAGGTCACCGCCAGTACATTGTAACTAGTCGCAAATTGATAAAGTCCACGTCCACGGACCCAGAGGTAATCACAGAGTAAGCACTAAATAACCAGCCCCTGAAAGGCTACCCGACTGTGGATTTCTGTTTTCCCCCCAATGACATACATTGATTAATCCTTTTGGAGGGGATTGGTGAAGGCTACCAGCACGGAAATGAAATGCAACAAAGGCCTTCTTTGAATGAGGAAAGTATGAGTATGGGGGAGCATTTGTTTACGGGGGTGACTGTAGACACTAGCTTGAATATATGTCTTGAGGATTGCATTTCTAAGCCCTGGGCGGAAGTGAGAATCAGCTGCCCAGCTGTGCAGGATAATGGGATTATTAGTACGACATCTGCACATGAAAAGCACAGGCCCTAGTTGTAGAAACGAACTAATATAAAGTGGAAAAGAGACTATCAAAACAATCGCACAATAATAGTAGTTGACGGTCAGGGTACCGGCAATTGGCTTGACAGAGTACGGAGTATGGAGTACAAGAGCAGCCATCCGCGCGTCTTCATCCATATTGGGTAATAAATTTGGAATGTCATGACTACGTTGCCTGTAAATGAATTGCACCATCAACCCCGGACTTTCTACAAGGGCTCACTTCGACTACAACCCTACAACAGGTGTACTTTTGAGAGTCCTATAGATTGATTATAGGATCCCTGCCTGTTCGGAATGCCCCAATCAAGCAACATCCGAAAGGATTTGGTATGAATGAACTGGGTGCCATCGTTTCCTTCATGAGATGAGTGAAGAGTGAATTAATATCCCAGAAGCTAATTGGTCACCATCATCAACTATGGCGTCTTTGGCAAACCTCATCCACGTACCCCTCAACCCCCTTGACCATATCCCGCCTCAGAATTATGTGAAAATTGGCCTGTATCTGCCCCTCCGCCCAGGTGTCCGTGCCGAGGATGCGTTTCTGGATCTGCAAGATGGGTTGCACCGCAGCTTTGTGCAGATTCCCTGGCTGGCCGGTAAAGTCTACTGGCAGCATCAGGATACTCCCGGTTGGCGACCTAGCCAGCTAGAAATCCGATACAACCCTATAGCCCCAGATAGCACACGACCCTACCAACTCAAGTTTCACGTACTCGATGCTTCGTATGAAGATCTTCAAGATCGAGGGTTCCCGACCGATGAGTTCTCTGATGAAGATCTACTCTGGGCACCCTTCTTTGCCGACATCAATGCCGGCGCGGAGGTCTTCGTTGCGCAAGCCAACTTCATGGAAGATGGATGTCTACTCACCATGTCAACATGTCACCCATCTGCCGATGGCACCGCCATGATAACCATCCTAAAACTATGGGCGCAAAACTGCCGCCGTCTTCATGGAGAGACAGACGAAGAGCCGGCATTCGACATCGCCCCCGAGAGCTCCGATCGCAACCTTGTGGATCGACTGTGGAGTGAGGAACGAAACACCCATTTGAAGGAAGAAATGAACCCCGCAGCATGGCATATGGTTGGTCTGGACCATCCCAATGATGTTGAATCTATTTCGGCTTCATCCCCACCGCCCCCGGTGCCACCACCCGAGACCCCATCACGCGTCATGCGCTCAGCTGTCTTTTACATACCCGCGGAGCGCTTCACAGCCCTGCGCACCCAATGCTCTAAGGACAATGGTGGAACAACTGATCTCTCGAGCAATGATATTCTGACGGCTCTAATATGGCGCAGCCTGATGACGGCGCGACAGGCCGTGTGATCCAACGAAGATATTACGGGCACACTCGCAGAGCTCGAAATGACCGTCGATGGCCGTCCTGATCTCTCTCATTCCCTGCCTGAAACGTACTTGGGAAATGTGGTACTGATCAACCGGCCAACCTTACCACTTCATAAATTAATCGACCCATCCACGCCGCTAGGGACTGTAGCGCAGAATATCCGAGACACTGCGCGCGTAATCCACCACGAGAATATGATGGACGCGTACTCCCTCCTTCGAGGGGTATCGGACTTCAGCGAGCGCAAACTGCGGTTCACGACATTCGAGGGCTCGTCGATGCTGATCACGTCGTTACTGGCGTTTCCCATCGAGGAGATCTGTTTCGGTGACCGATATTTCCGTCGTGGGGGGCGCCCTGAGGCGTTCAGACCATTGATGAGTGCTTTTAATCATCTGTTTAGGATTAGTTTTATTTTGCCGAGGGCGAGGAATGGTGGGGTGGAGTTTGTAGTTAGTCTGTTTGAGGAGGAAATGGGGGCTTTGGAGGGGAATGAGGAGTTCTCAGCGTATGCGGTGCTATTGTCAGATTGATTGTTTTTTGAGTAGCGGTTTTAGCCGAATGGAATGTTATATCAAAGTATATATTTGCCTAGTAAGGCATCGGGAATATAGCCCTGACAGAACGTTGTTTGACACATGAACCGGTCTTCTCGATCTAGTATTCCATGGAGTAATGTAGTATATGCTAGCAGAAAAGAATAGTATACCAACAATAGCTTAGTTTATTGGTAAACTCGAATACAGATTTAAAATCAATTCCACTGTCCATTCTACGCCCCCTTGTCGGGCCAACTAGTCCGCCGGGAAGCCCTCACATAAGAATTAATCGGCCTGACAACCAAAAATTCGGGATCATACATCATAGGCTCTTTCGAAACATCGCAAATCTCATACCTCAGCACCAACAAGGCTAACACCAGCCTTGCCTCCACATGAACAATATTAAAGCCCACACATCCACGAGGCCCGGCTGCAAAAGGTGTATACGCTAAGCGGTGCTTCTTCACATCCTTCGCCAACCAGCGGTCCGGATCGAAACGATCTGGATTATCCCAGTAGTCCTGGTGTCGGTGGATTGAAGGAAAAGTGGGGATAACGACTGAGTCAGCCGGGATCAGCCATCCACCGGGGACTATGACGTTCTTTTTAGCATTGCGAGCTGTTTGGAAGGCGGGCCCGTGGAGGCGGAGAGTTTCTTTGACGAAGCGGTTGAGGAAGGGGAGGTTCATTAAGTTGTCGTGGGTCCATTGTGTGTCTTGGGTCACGTCATGGTCAATAAGTTCCTGTAGTATTCTTTCTTGCATGCCCGGGTATTTGGTGATGGCGTATAGAAGGAGGGAGAGCATGGAAGAGGAAGTGGTGAGTCCAGCGCCGAGGATGCTGACTATATTGGAGAGGAGGTAGTTGTGGGGTAGCTTTTGGCCAGAATCGTCGGTGGCGCGCTTGAGATAATCAGCTATACAGGTGGACTCCAGCGCTGCTTGTGCAATGGGTAGATCCGGGGCGTCAGGTAAGGGCCATGCGGCAGCGACTTGGTCGATGAGTGCCCACAGTCGCTCTTCAACAATGTATAGCCTGCGCAAGGAACTGAAAGGCAGGTACTTGAACCATGGAGGACTGAGAGAGGTCTGCTTCATCAGAGCCAGATACTCGCCCATTAGTCGGATGATCTCGTGTGGGTGTGTGTCGACGGTGTCAAAGTGGCCGACGTCCTGACCTAGGACAACCTTGCAGACAATTTGGCCCCCTAGTTTGAACATGTACTGGTAGGTATGCCAGGCTTGTTGACGCTCATCAAGCTCATCGAAAACGGCAAAGGAGGCCTCCACGGCACGTTGTAGCGTCGGAACGTAGTGCTTAGTCGCTTTAGTGGACATACTGGGAGGCACGAATCGGTGGGCCAATTTGAAGGCAGGAGCAGCAGTGTCGCAGGTGAAGAGCGCCATGTTGTTGTTCATCCAAAAAAGCGGATGGTTGGAGTTAGACGTCGTCTTGGTGAAGAATTCATTTTCGCCTAGGACTATTTCCGAGACTCTTGGGTCATTGGTGAAGTAGACAGTGGTACCCATATTGACCGTCTTGATGACGCTCCCATACCGCCGAAAGAGTCGATCATGGTTGCCAATGTGGTCAGAATAAATCTCGAAATAGTTTCCAACAATAGGAATCTCAGGCGGGCTAAGAGGCTCCCGAATGATTTGGCTATCCACGCGAACCCCTATCTTGGTCGTCGTCTGGCGGATCTCGTCCATGGTGGAGAGAACGCCGGACTCGCCATGGAATGAAAGAGCTGTAGTCCATTATATCAGCCTACTGTCTGTTGCTCCTTTCAATACCAGTATACTCTTACATTTGGAGTCTGCGATCGAGAAAAATTTGGCAACGCCATATCGCAATTCATCTAGAGTCTTCACCCTTGATACATCTATCGAGGACGATGTTTCGTTTGGCGGACTGCCCGCCAGGTAAATCGATTTGGCGGACATCGTGCATTACATTGATAGGAATCAACTACAATCTAAAATAAGCACAAGTTAATAATATTCTGACGTGATAGTGGGTATAAATTGCCCGGTTCTTTGATACGAAGTCTTCGGAGCTTTCCACATTAGGGTTCCGAGTGTGGATCGGAAGATGCCTGAATAATCCATCTCACACACCCATTGTATATCGACTTCTCTGGCCATCATTCTATGACAAAGCCCTAGTTTGACAAAGCAGAATGACAGTGAATAATTTTAGCCTCGAGCAGATAGCCCAGCACAATACCTTAGACGGTGCGTGGGTCATCATTAATGGGAAGGGTCAGTCCATCATTGACTATGAGTTGTATGAGAGCTAACTAGCTAGGAAGTCTACGATGTCACGACCTATCTTGATGACCATCCTGGAGGTCGAAATGTTCTGATGGAGGTCGCTGGGACGGATGCAACGGATGACTTTGATTATGTCGATTATTCCGATGACGCCCTACGAAAAATGGAAACCTTTCAAGTCGGAATCATCTCAGGCTGGAAGAAGGTGAGCTTTTCTATTTTGTTTTTCAGCATTAGTATTTTGAATTTCATGCTGATGGTCCCGGTGGTAGACACCGAAACCCACCTTTGTTGAATCGCTGCCGGTCAGCGCGAAACCAACAGCGTCGCAGCCAACCCGACGCAGTCCCATGCTTACCTGGGCACTGGTATCCGTGTGCGGCTTTATAGTACTAGGATATGGATGGCAATCTACTGAAGTGGGAGTTTTGAGTAACAGTTATGGGTTTTGGTCCGGTGTTGCCGTGGCGCTGGTGGTCGCGATGACCATTGGGGGAGCTGTGGTCTTTTCGACAACAAAAAGGGTTTTGGACCATGGAAAAGGGGTATTTGAGTATAAACCGTACTATGAAGAGCCTTCTCTGTCATAGATATAATACATATAGCAAATGTTGAAGATAATGACCAAATTTTAATCTGATTAATGAAACCATTCAATAAAATACGGACTTTACAAGGATTACATTACATACACCATGCCAGAAATAGTCACCTCCGACACACCCAAGGGTTCATGAGAAGTACATACTAAGACTCAGATCCCCGTTTCTTCGAATCGAGACCTTTTACCAAAGGCAAACCTCACTATGGCAAGCACCGGGCACCATACATACTTCCTCGGCCTCGCCGCATATGGCTTCAACGCCTTGTGGGGCTCCATGATGCGCAATGGCGCCGTACAAGCTATTGGAGCCATCAAATCCACGGGGATTCTTCCCAGCGGCGACAGTCTGACTACTAATATGACGGGAGTTCCGTTGTTCGATGGGTTCCTTTTGTCTCCCGTAATCTTCTACGATGCCCTGATGTATGAGAGACATCCAGTGCATCGATCCCTACTGGTGTCTGTATTCACCAGCATGCAAGCGACTGCCATAGGGATGTTGGTTAATGGAATTAACATCGATGAAAATCTATCTATTTGGTCTTTGGTGTACGTACAGCTCAACTTGAAGCTTGAATTGCCATTCCATTGAGTATCGAACTAACTATACGGACTCTAGAGAGCACGCAGCGTGGGGAATCTTCAATCAAGCCTATGGTGCTGCATTTGTTTACCCCTTGTATTGCCTTGTCACTGTTTACAAAGCCGTCCAGTCACCTACTGAAGGGGCAAAGGAGAAAAAAGAGTCCGGAGAAAGACAGTTGCCAGATATCGCCGACCGCGAGGCAATAGTGTACACCAGCATTGCCATCGCCGCCGCACCCCTATGGCTTCTCTATCCAGCGTTTTTTCAGTGCAGCAGCATAAGTCGCCAGCTCTTGATAGCTAGCTACCGTGTCTCTCCCGCTTTACTGGCTTCGCTACATCCTTTTTTGGCCTTCATCTTACGTCGGCTATGGCCTGAGAAAATACTTCCAGCGGATAAGGCTCATTCGCAGAAATCAGTACAAGCTTCGTTGCTAGTCGGGGCTACTACAGCAGCTCTGGGCCATATATATGCTATACTGACAGGAATACTGTCCCATCGCGCATCCTTCGCTCAAATATTCTTCCCATCGGAAGCTGCGACTGGGCTAAAATGGAGCGCCCAGAAATTCCTGCAAAAGGATATTCTTGTCATAATTGCCGCTCTGGTCCCATTCTCAGCTCTCCTGCTACGTGCTAAGAATGGGAATGTTCTCACGGAGAAAGAAACAATCCACAAGAGATGGGCGGAGCGGATCTCCAACATGAACTTTGTGCCGCGCGTGATTGTTTTGACCGGACTTGCATTTATCTTTTCTCCTGGATTTGTGTATAATTTGTCCATGGCGTGGTGAATAGTGTGTAGTTGGTCTGATATATACAGTCAATGAGGGGCAGTGAGAGGATATAAATGCACAGAAATATTTGATGGAAAATTTCGTTCCATAGACGTAAAGGCAAATTTCAATATATACTCCAGAGCAAAGATCCTTTAACTCATCTAAATCTTAAATCCAGCTCGATGCAACGCCGTCCGATCCCTTCCTCGCTCGGCAGCCCACTCGATTGACACCGCTAGATCTTTGATCTCATTCGCCTTCAAAGGCAGACTGTGTCCACCCTGATGACGGTGGGCGCGTAGCAGAGACTCATCACATAGTCCCTGGACGATGCGAGATTGATGCACCATCGATAGTTCATCCTTCCTTCCCGTGACATGTACTGTGGGAATGCTAATGCGGTCTTTAACCAGCTTAGGATGAAAAAGCCGCGGGACAGAATCTACGTCAAGAGTCTTGAGAAAGTCTAATTCAATGGTCGGCTTTTTGATGCCGATCGCCTTGATCGCCAGATGAACGAGGGCGAGGTATTCGGCGAAGACGCGCTCCGTTGGTCCAACCAACTCGAAGTCGCAGCGCGGAAAGTCAGTTTTGAATGCAAACGGCGAGTGTTCCACTAGACTGCGAATCACGCTCTCAAGGCAGGTAGGGTCGGCAGAGCATGCTGCGACAGAGGAAATTAGGACTGCGAAGCTGAATGCTGCGGGAAGATTGGGCTCTCGCGTCTGGCGGTCGATGATGTACGCGGTGGCGATCGATGTCCCTTGACTAAACCCCAGAACTCCATCAAAGGGTCCATTTTCCTCGATAAAACTATCCAAGTCTTCAAGAACCTCTTGCATCTCGACGGGTGAATAGCCCGTCACATATGAGTAAAATGGACCAGGGAACCATTCGGGCATGCCTTGATTTACGTTAGCTTGTTGTCGAGGGGTGTGAAACTGGGGCCACAATAGTACATACCTGGTTCACGATTGCAAGATACTACACCGTCAAAGAATGTGAATTGGTATGTTTGTCCCAGTTGGACAGCCAGCGGATTCAACTGTTTCTTGAGCATAGCTCCCGAGGAGCCCACTCCGTGTAGTGCAAGAACTCTCATTATGGATGATTGTATACAAGCTAGTATGGTAGAGAGACTATAAAAAGCATAGAGTATGACGATAAAAGAGTGTAAATAATAGAAGTGTGGGAAAACCTCAACCACAAAAGCGTACAATCAACTAGCGCAGCCCTAGCTGATAGCCCAAGATAAGCGCAACATCAACTGGCTTGTGTCGAACATGGCGATATCTGTGACTTTCCAGAGCTGAATTTAGAGATAGGATGAGACTAACAGTACCAATCGGAACATGTTGCAGGGGCATTGCTCAGCCTGTCCGATCGGATATTTCTAAATTGGGTAACATCCGAACTAGCCCTAAGTCAGCCATCCACCTCGGTATAGACTTATGTCTGTACAGTCATAATGACTACATACTATTATGAGTGTTAGAAGAGCTCCATATGACAATCTAATATAGATTCCTGGTCAACCAAAGTTATCCCGGAGCACAATTTCTTTTGCCGGGCAGCAATACTACATCGCATACATTTACATCGTGCAGCCTCACAACAGCCGCCCTGTCGCCCATAAAGCATACACAACGGCAAGTTGTATGCAAAGAATAGACATTCAGAATCATGATCTTGACGCCCATTTCATCGGAGAATGGTGCGGGTGATGATCCCATCGTCGTGGTGGGAACGGCGTGTCGTCTCCCCGGGGAGGCGACCTCCCTCCAAGCACTATGGGATATGATGAGCAATGAACGGACGGGTCATATACCTGTTCCAGCTGAGCGATGGGATGCAGATGCCTGGTACCATCCAGATCCAGATCGAAAGGGCGCGGTATGTCTGCTACGCGCGGTTTTATTCCACAATCTTATTACGCAGAAACTTATTGAGCTACCCGTATAGATTACATCAAAAGCCGGATTCTTCTTAAAAGAGGATATTGCAGCATTCGATGCACCATTCTTTTCGGTCACATCCAAAGAGGCAATGGGAATGGACCCGGCTAAGCGGCTTCTATTAGAGGTATCATATGAGGCTTTAGAAAATGGTATGTGGGCTTTTGGACAAGTATACCAAGACTCAAACTCCTTTCCCCTGATACTAACTACCTCCCATAGCTGGAATGCCGATGGAGAGAGTGGCTGGTTCGAGAACTGGCGTCTATGTTGGATGTATGACGAGTGACTACGAAGATATGTCCACTCATGACATTTACGACCTGGCACATAATGCCGCAGCTGGTGTTAGCGAGGCCATGACTGCCAACCGCGTGTCGTGGTTCTTCGACTTTCGCGGACTCAGTCTCACCGTTGACACGGCGTGCTCATCAAGTCTGTACGCACTGCACCTAGCATGCCAGTCGTTGCAACTAGGTGAAACAGATATGGTATACCATAATTCCCAGAAACCTTCGTGCCGATCTAATGGGTTTTACAGAATCTGGTCGCAGGTGTAAACGTCATTTTATATCCCAATGCGATGAGCCAGCTAACGGCTATGCACATGCTTAGCCCCGAAGGAATCTCTCATTCGTTTGACCACCGAGCTAATGGGTACGGTCGCGGCGAGGGAACAGGAGTCGTCGTTCTCAAACGTCTCTCTGATGCGCTTCGAGATGGGGATGTAATTCGTGCCGTTATCCGGGCTTCGGCTACCAACGTTGACGGGCGAACGCCGAGTGTCACGATGCCTAGCTCAGAAGCCCAAGAAGACTTGATTCGCACGACGTATAAGCAAGCCGGGCTTCCGATGAGCGAGACATCCTATGTTGAGCTTCATGGTACCGGTACGCCGGTAGGAGTATGTATCTCGGTCCAATCGGAAGGAACTAATTCCAACATGAGATGCTAATGAATGCAGGACCCCATTGAACTGTCTGCTATTGCAGCGACATTCGGCGCTTCTAGGAGTCAGCCCGTGTATGTGGGAAGTATCAAGCCAAATGTCGGTCACACAGAAGGCTGTGCAGGCATTGCCGGTGTGCTGCGTGCCATCACCTCCTTGGAAAATGGGGAAATCCTTCCCACTGCTGAGATTGAAAAGGTCAATCCACGGCTGACATTTGAGGACTGGAATCTGGCCTTGCCCTCAAAAGTCTTGCCATGGCCTGCCACAGGAACTCGTCGCATTAGCGTCAATAGCTTTGGCTTCGGCGGAGCCAATGCACATGTTATCATGGATGATGCATACCATTACCTGAAGGAACACGGCCTCACCGGATTTCATGCCACCACACTTCCAAAAACAGATGGGCTGGAAGAGGCAAATGGCCATGCCAGTGAGACAGCGGCAAAGAAGCTCCTGGTCATCAGCTCTCGAGACCAACAGGGACTGCAGCGAATCGCAAAACAGTTTGGAAGCTTGATTAAATCTCAACCATCTGTTGCAGTTTCCGGCCTAGCCCATACCCTCTTCAATAAACGCTCGTTCTTCGATTACAGATCTTTCGTCGCAGCGGACACATTACAGGAACTTTCCCTGAGACTGGAGCGGGCCCTGCCGATATTTCGACGCCCTACCAAATTAAATGGTATTGTGTTCGTCTTCACGGGTCAGGGTGCCCAATGGGCGGGTATGGGTAAAGAACTCATTGACTTCCCTATCTTCGCTGAAAGTATCATCAAGAGCGGAGCTTATTTGACCTCCCTGGGCTGTTTGTTTGATCTGCGGCAGGAACTACAAAACACATATGATAGCAAGATCGACTCCCCGGAGTACAGCCAGCCTATTTGTTCAGCTGTTCAAATTGCCTTAGTAGACCTACTGCGAGACTGGTCTATCACACCTCGCGCGGTGATTGGACATTCTAGTGGAGAGATTGGTAAGTCCAGACATGTTTTTCTCGTCGACTATCTGCTAACAGAGACCGGCAGCGGCTTCATATGCGGCTGGAATCACTACTCATGAAGATGCAATTAAGGTCGCATATTTCCGTGGGATTTACTCCCTTCGCGTTGCGGAGAGCTCCCGACGAGGTGGCATGCTGGCTGTAGGAATCTCCGCTGAAGAGGCCCAAGAGTACCTGAAGACAGTGCCAAAGGGGAGCGTGGTGACAGCATGTGTTAACAGTCCAAACAGTGTTACCCTCTCAGGGAACGTCGACCGAGTCACTGAGCTGGAGAAGCTGATCTCAAGTGAAGGGAAATTCGCTCGCAAGCTTCGCGTATCGACTGCCTATCACTCGCCCCATATGCAGAGTGTTGCGAGCGAATGTTTGGCTGCCATGGATAGATCAGGCTTTTCCAAGCCCCAGAAATCTTCTATATTGATGTTTTCATCGGTGACGGGAGCTCTCGTGGACCCTGAAACAGTGGATACCTCCTACTGGATTCGTAACATGTGCCAATCGGTCCTATTCTCCCCGGCTCTAGATGCACTTCTCACATACTCGACCAATCGACGAAGGAATCGTCGCTTACCGTACAAGTGGAATTCTATCCTGGAAATAGGCCCACACTCTGCGCTCAAAGCGCCCATCGTTCAGACTATGGAAGGAGTCGAGAAGAACCTTTCTGTAGACCTTCCCTATATTTCCATGCTTACACGAAAGGAGGATGCAATTGACACGGCACTCAAGGCAGCTGGAGAACTGTAGGCACTTGGAAATCCCATCTTGCTAAACCGAGTGAACCGGGAGGAGGGCGATACCAACCCTCAGACCTTAGTAAATCTTCCTCCATACCCCTGGAACCATGAGAACCGCTATTGGCATGAAGCAAGCAACACAAGATCCGAAAGACTCAAGAAACAACCTCGATCGGACCTTTTAGGCGTTCCTGTCCCTAGTCAGAACCCCTTTGAGCCGCAATGGAAAAATTATCTGCGTCTGCGGGAGAATCCTTGGATTTCTGACCACGTCATCACCGGAACTACATTGTATCCCGGGGCTGGAATGTTGATTATGGTCCTGGAAGCGGCGCAGCAGATGGTACCCAAGGGAACAAAAATTGAAGGAATTGAATTTATCGACGTTCATTTTGAGCGTGGGCTTGTCGTTCCGAGCGAGGGCGCTGTGGAGACACGCCTCAGCATCAATCTATCCGAGGGTAACGATGAGAGCCACAGCTTTGCGATCTTCTCAGTCACAGGAAATTCTAGCTGGACCAAGCATTGCTATGGCTACTTCAGTATCCAGAAGAGCAGTGATCGCGTTCAAAGCGAGTCAGCTACGCTGGACTGGGAGCGACGCCTCGGCCAGGTTCATGCTGTCAAGAAGGTTGCATCGCAGACGGTTAACATCGACAAACTCTATCAAGATCTCCATAAAGTGGGTATGGAATACGGTGATACCTTCCGCAACCTGACCTCTTTGGCGGCCACTCCAGATGCGAGCCAATGCTACGGCACTGTGGTGAGTCTCCCTTTCTGTCAATCTGATACAGAGCAAATACCTAACTGACCTGATAGAAAATCCCCGATACCAAGTCTGTGATGCCATTTGAATTCGAGTACCCTCATATCATCCACCCCGCTACATTGGACGCGATCTTCCACTTGATGGTCCATGTCGTGTCGGATGGGGGAACGTGGACGGACGCAGCCGTACCCTATAGACTGCAACGGTTGTTTATTGCGACTGATCAGTCCCACGATGCTGGCACGTTATTCTCGGGATACGCCAGTCGTCATAACAAGACTGACAACGGCCTCCTGGGTGCAGATCTAGTTGTGTCAGATGAATCTTGGCAGTCACCCAAGATCATCGTGGATGGATTATTGATGAAGAAAGTCACTGGTGCTGGGTCAAGCTCTAGTGATGTAGGAGAAAACGAAATTGCCAAGAGATGCACTATTTTAACGTGGGAGCTGGACCCCACCAGTTTCGTTCACTCTCCTGACTCCTCTTCTCTCTCCATTGAGAACGTCAACACATTGCAGGACTGGCTACGGATCGAATGCCACAAAACACCGGGACTGACAGTTTTGATTGATGGTAACGCGCTGGGGCTAATACTAACAGATGAGCTGCTTCCTTTCATATCCGAGGCCTCCCCATACCGCGCTCTATCACAGCTTACCATCACTGGATCGAACGAAGAGACCTTAGATCCCTGGCGTAAGACCATTACAGATGTTGAGGCTGATTCCCAAGTCACATTCCACGTTAGTGGGGAAGCATCTGGCTATCCCCTCGATGATACCAAATTCCATTTAATCATCACCGCATCCAGCGGACACTCGGCGGAAGCATCCGCTGCACCTTGGGTCCCTGCTCTCCGGCAAGAAGGTCGTTTGCTTATATTGTCTCAAGAGAAGCCTGATTTGGCTGCAGGGAAATCTCTGACAAATGGTTTTTCGTATCCAAAGGTCCAAGCTCGAAGCATATCATTGAAGACAGGGACCATAGTCATCATCGCCGTGCCTCGAGAGCCCTATCTTAACCGAGGAGGAGTTTGCCTACTTCTTCCGAGAACGTACATCGATTCTCATGCTGCTTCTCTGGAAATTGAGTTGGAAAGAAGTCTTCTTAATCGCGGGATTTCCGTCCGAAAGGCGTTCGCAGACATGGCCAACGATCTCGCTGACCAGCATATCATTTCCCTTCTAGACCTCGGCCAGCCTGCTGGGTTTTTGTCATGCTGGACAAAAGACGAATTTGAATCTTTCAAGACTCTGTTGAACACTGTCAAACATTTATGTTGGCTTTCCCGTGCGGGGCAGATGTTGTCGCCCGATGAGGCTGGACTTAGCAGTGCTCCCACGACTGGGTTCCTTCGTGTCCTGCGAAATGAGCTGCCACAGGTCACCATCACACATGTGGATCTGACAACGAGTTTTAACTCGTCCAAGGCTGAGGCAATCCTGAACCTCTGGATTCCTCTTTCGCTGAATGAAGCCGACTCCGCTGATCTGGAGTATGCTGAGTTCAAAGGAGAATTCTATATTCCCCGTACGGTAGCTGCGCCATCGTTTGATTCGGAGATTGCCTTGGCGACAGGAGCTGCCCCTGCCGAACCCACATCACTTGGGGACGCAGGCCATCTCCAGCTGGGAGATGAGGAAGGTGCTGCTCTTGTATGGAAACTTGTGCCCGAGCCACAGGCCAACATGTCACCAGAAGAGGTGGACATTAAGGTGACCAATGTTTCCACCACCGTCGGTCGTTCTTTCAATATCTCCTCGCCACAGGCGCTCTGGACTCAGACGACTGGCATTGTTTCTGCGTGCGGCGCGAGTGTTTCCGAGTTGTCTCCGGGTGATCATGTAGTCGTTCTGGGACCATCAAAATGCCAGAATAGGGTGCGGGTGCATTGGTCCAAGGTCCACAAGGTGCCCGTGGGAGTCGCCCTTGATGCGGCGGCAACGACCATTTGGCTCTATGCGTTGGCTTTATACATTCTCGAGCATATCGTCCGTCTTCAGGACGGTGAGAACATTCTCATTTGCGATGGCTTGACCCCTCTCACTCAAGCCTTGATTTCGCTATCTAGCACAACTGGTGCAAATATCTTCACTACGGTGTCGAGCCAAGCTGACAAGAGGATTGTTCAAAGTCTGGGTATTCCTGTCAATGTAATCGTGGATTTCAATTCGACCGGAGTATCATCTTATCTCCTCCATGAAACCGGCGGTCGAGGAATTGATGCACTCATTGCTCCGGCACACATTGTCACCAAGGACCCATCAGCCTTTATCGCAGACTTCGGGCGAATTGCGATTATCGGAACAGGAGATGATCATGGCCTGCCGCGCAGCCTAGGAAGAAGGAACCTAACCTACTCTTTGGTGCAGCCGGCGCAGATCCTGGAAGAGCACCCGCAAACGGTTACGCGATTGTTGAGGAAACGCGCCAGTCTGTTAAATGCTGTTTTACCCGCCTCCAAGTTCACACCCGACCTCCAGGTATTCTCTGTATCCCAGCTTTCTGACGCCGCAGAGCGATGTGGCAGCTCAAAGGAGGGTGGCATCGTGTCTGTTTCGTTTGGTGATGATGCGTTGGTTCCCGTCCTCCCCCCTAAGCCACAGACACTAGAACTCCCTGCGGATGGCACATATGTTCTAGCGGGAGGGTTAGGCTCGCTGGGCCTTCGAATCGCCAAGTTGATGGCCCAGCATGGAGCTCGCCATATCGTTCTCCTATCCCGCTCCGGAAATAATCCCAAGTGGGATGGGGAGATTGCGGTTGTAGAATCGATTGGGGCATCGGTGGAGGTCTTCAAGTGTGACGTTACCAAAGCGGATGAGGTGGAAGACGCAATCAAGTCGTTATACCTGGTCGGCAGAAGGATCCGTGGCGTTGTGCAGTGCGCCATGGTCTTGCAAGTAAGTATCCCTATTTTTCCCGAACCCGAATAATAGGGGCTGTCAGCTTACCGTGGTCCAAAATCCAGGACAGTATATTCAGCACAATGACCCACGACCAGTGGCAGAAGGCATTCACCCCGAAAGTAGCAGGAACATGGCATCTTCACAATTCTCTCCCCACCACCATTGACTTCTTCATTCTCCTGTCATCGGTCGTCTCAGTCATTGGGAACGTCTCACAAGCCAACTATGCTGCCGGGAACGCCTGGATGGACGCATTTGCCCACTACCGTCGCAGTCTAGGCAAAGCCGCCGTGTCTTTGAACGTGGGTTTAGTGCGGGACTCAGACCACACGATTGACGGAACAAACATGGACTCGTACCTAGATCGTTTTAGTCACATGGCCAGTGTCAGTACCACGCTCGATGAGCTTGATATTGCACTGTTAGCGTGTATGCGCGGTCATACGGCGGATGGTTCCCCCATCCCGCCTCAGGTGGTGTACGGCATGACGGATGTGCTGCGTCGCGAGGGGCCGGTGGTGGACCAGTGGACTCGCGACCGTAAATTCGACCATCGCGTTGCCAGGCTCAATAGTTCCACAGGGGCAGCCACGGGCGATGGCGCATCCGGGGCTGATGTGAAGGCAGCCCTGGGCAATGCAAAATCCGGACCAGAGGCAGGCCAAGTGGTGATAGATGTGTTCAAGAGGCTCCTGGCTCCTGGATTGGGAGTCCAGCCGGCTGCTATTGGTGATGATCAACCGATGTTTGAGCTAGGAGGTGAGTTCCATCCCAGCGTGTGATCCACTGGCGACGAGAAACTAACCCATTTCGCCCTCAGTTGATTCGTTTAAAGCGGTGGAAATCCGCAATCACGTCTTCCGGGAATTGAAGAGCGAGATATCGGTCTTTGAGATCCTCAGCTCCAAGCCATTGGAGGAGTTGTCCATCCTTATCGCCATGAGGAGTCAGCTGGTGACGGCCGAGGCGAAAGCAGCATAGGCCCTTTTTAGTGGCGTGTTTTGCGGTCGATTCCAGGTCCAATAACAAAGTAAATTATCTTAAAGATGCCGTCTGTGACCATCCATCGGGTGTTCGCTTGTCTGATTCGTATTAATCTCAATTTCGTGCAGGAATGTATCAACCTTAGAAATTCTTGCGTTGGCTAATGAGCCAATCATATTTGTAAATACTATGGTTGAATACATGGAGGCATACACGGTTGAACTGGGTATTTTACCCGGAAAATCCTCGGACCGCCAAATGGCGTTTCCCACACAAAAGTGCATATTGTCGATACCTGCCGGGGTTACCTGTCCAAGTGTGGGGGCGCAAGCTATGTAATAGCAATGTAACTGTTTTTTTACCTTGTGACAAGCCGGCTGTAATCACGTTGCGGTTCACCACTCCCCATCCTCACACAGTGTGGATCTGATCAATATGAAGTCTTAAAACAAACGACAGTTTCATTTTCGAGTAAATTATTTCCCAAAAAATCACCTCATAAGAGTAGTGCGAAGGTACCTAGGTATGTAGTAACTTCATATAACGTTTCGCTGCAGCGACGAGTGCCTGTTATAATAATTTAGACTTCCGCAGAGCCCACAAAGCCCAAAGCCCAACCCGCAAATGGGCTGGGTTTTGGGCCCGGCCTCGGGCCCACCGATAGGCTATGGGCCTAAGGTAGAAGCCTACTGCGGGTTAATAGGCCCCAAATGGGCCCGAAACAGTACAAATATACCGAGAATTCAGAAGTTGAACCCCTTGTAGGGTTTTTTACCCCCGTTTCTAAGCCTTATCCTGAGGGTAATATTTTAGAGTCAATCACTAGTTATCTCTCTATATCACGTTTAGAAATATAAAAAAGCGCGTTATTTAGATAATTTATAAATTACAGAGGTTCACTTAGAAAGTAGTAGTACTCCTACACAAACCCAAAATATATATCTTACCATTAAGATTAATAATATCTCGACTTCTACCAATTAAGTTGTATTCAAAATTAAAGTAGCTACTTATATAGCTACTATAATCCTAGATTCTAAATTCGAACTTAATATACCTAGTGGAAGGTCGTAATACAACGATTACAGAGGCCGCCTAGGATGGGCTTTAATGGGGGCCCTGTGGGCCCCCACTGATGGGCTGTGGGTTGGGTCGGGTTTCGAAGGTAGGGCCCATTTATGGGCTTTGCGGAAGTCTACCTGTTATTACAATCTCGACTGGTGACATTATGGTATTACAAGCAGTGGTTTTGCTTGGTAAAGAGCTTAGTCTCTATTATTGTCGAAATATAAATTAACTTATATACAAACAGATTATAGTGAACACAAAGCATAGTGCCCGGCCAAAGAAAAATGACTTGGCGAGCATAAACTCAACGAACCGTCCGACTAGCCCGTGATCTGGTGCAACGCTGGGGAAGCTCCAAATCCTGCTAGGCCTGTTGCAGAAGGGCCGCATCTATACCTGCGAAGTGAGACCCAATCTGCCTCAGTGTCATTTTTTGGCCCTTAGGCTGAAGCAGCTTTCGTTTTTCTTTTGCATTAAGCTTCTGACGGCCCTTGCAAGTACTCAAATCACCGGAATTATTGAGTGGTGGCTGTGATCTTGACTTGGCTCGGGTGAGTGGGCCACCGGCCTGATTACCACAAAGGGATTTGTTATCAGATTCTGCCTGCGTATAATGGTGCTCCTCGGCTAAGCTTTGGCCTTTGATTACTGGGGGAGATAAGAGAATCTGATCACAGAGACTTTCTTGGCCTCTTATTTGCTTTATTACCAATCTTCACTAGATCGTTTAGTAGGCTTAGGACAAGTGAAGGTTTCCTTCTTTGTCTTCAGCTCGTCTATAGAGAGGTTAGGTGGGTCCAGTTGAAGATGTGCGTAGTTGGAAGGCTAGCATCCATCCTCTATACTAAGTCCAATAGGCTCGAGGATCCGGGGCTCTATGGCATCAAGCCTGGGAGTTGTTGGCGTGGAGGCGAGTGAAGAAGATGTTGCGGAAGAGTAGGATATAACTGAGCTACCTCTACTGCTTCCACTTGAAGTATCTCTGACTTCCAAACTGTTATATCGTTCACGGTGTCTCTCTTCCAAGGTACCGTAGAGGAAGGAAACAGAACCAGATCGATATACTGTTTAGAAATTAGCTATACACAACCCCAACGTCGCAGTGTTATCACCTCGTATCTGAGACCCCTTTCATTTTTGTCTTCGTGGGCTGGAATAAATGCTCCAATTCTTGCTCCGGTGAAAAGGTATAGTTGAAGAGCTAGCATAATGATAGCCTTAAGCAATCCGGGTATAAATCGGCGATGATCCGCTTGCCACATAGAGGATATTATTCGGAGAAAATCCTTTTATAAAAGAAGGATTTTCTACCTATAGCTTGATGGATTCCCACACAATTCAAAGAAAGGCGAAAAGCCGAGAGAAATATGTTACAGTGTACTTAAGGATTGGACTGTGCAGGAACCCGGGTTCTCATCTTCATTGCCCGGAGATACCGGAGTTACCCTTGAGATACAGTCGGACGATGGCTGGGACGACGATGAACCCTTGGGAAATATGGACTGCCCTATATGCGGGGCATAGATCCCACATTTTGCCCAGTTGGCACATCAGATATATTGAAAAATAAACATGGATCCGTTATTCGGCAGCCTGAACTGCCAAGCATTGGAAGGCTTTGATAGGTTCACAAGTAGTGGCTTAGCCCTCAGCCACTTACGCGGCCGATGAATGAAGAAAGACATGGAGGTGCAATAAGTTCATCTCACTTTCAGGGTTATTGTAGGGTCTTGCACAATTCTTATGTGTTGGCTATATATGGCCAAAAACGGTATATTTTAGTACAGAGGATTATCCATCTGCCAAGCATGCCATATGTATTGTTCCTAGGTAGCATCATAAGTGGAACGAATAAAAATAGCCCAATAATAGCTGCCAATAATAGTCAAATTCCCCGATATTCAAAATGATCGGGGCAAATTGTTTCAGTCCATTTTTTTGCCAAGCCATGTCGTTTTGGGGGATTCCTAAGCACTTGGCATAACCCTGAGAGATACGGCTGAGTCCGGATTATCTGATCCCTCTTTCTTACCTTTCTCATCAATTTCTGGAGTCTCTTGTTCTTTTTCTTAGTCTTTCGTTGATTCTCTCTTATCCTTTCTACCCCAAAAACCCTAGGTGGACCCATTCAGATTTCCCTCGCCACTCAGGGGAAAACCCAACTTAAAAGAACCCGGGGAAGCACCCTGAGATTCTGATATTGCGATGAGGTTTTCTACTATCTTGCCCTTGATCGGTGCACTTTCGGCTCTATTTGAACAAACAGAAGGTAAATACTCCCCCCACTTACAGCCCAGCGGCGTTACCCCCTCCCGTTAGCTCCGTTGCCTAGCCCGTTGCCCAGCCGCTGACAATCAACAGCACGATCACAGGCCTCAGAAGCTATTCGACGGGTGACGCCCGTTGACAATGCCATCATTCGTACTCCTTCGCATAAAATAGATCACCTGTCGCATTTTGATATCACCTTCGCCTTACACCAAGACGGCAAGCGCATAAAGCTAGAACTCGAGCCCAATCATGATATCTTGGCCGACGACGCTTACGTGCAATACGTCGGTATTGATGGCTCAATAACACACGAGGAACCAATCAAGCGACACGAACACAAAGTCTACCAAGGCCGTGCCTTGGTAGGATCCGGCAAGGGAAGATGGACCCCCGTGGGGTGGGCAAGAATCACCGTTAAAAGAGATGGCCTGGAGCCTCTCTTTGAGGGTGCTTTCAGTGTCAACAATGACAAGCACCACATTGAGTTGCAGTCGAACTACCTTGACAAGAAGCGCCCGATCGATGCCGATGTTGAACCCAGAGATGGGGAATCTATGATCATCTACCGTGACTCCGACATGTTTCACTATAAGCACTCTGAGCTCAAGCGGTCGCTTCCCGTATCCGAGGGCTGCGGTGCGGATCAACTTGGGTACAATGCTGATCTGTCCAGTTCGATTTTCGGGTATGATCTGGACGAAGCAGATAGTCCGTGGGGTGTTGCCTCGTTGAACTCAATGTTTGGATTGGGAAAGCGACAGTCGTCAGATGTTGGCGGTGTCTCCGGCAACACTGGTGGTGTGAATCTGAAAACGACCATCGGCGATACCAGTGGATGTCCTAAAACGAAGAAGGTCGCCTTGATTGGAATTGCAACTGATTGTGAATTCACCGAATCGTTCATGGCTACCAACTCCACCCCCAGGGAAGCGGCCAAGGACTGGATCATCAACGTGGTGAACACGGCTTCAAATCTCTATGAGCAGTCTTTCAATGTGTCCATTGGTTTGCGTAATCTTACCATCTCCGAGACAGGCTGTACCAGCTCGGGATCTTCTGCTACACCATGGAACGTGGATTGCGAGGGCGGAAATGTCAGCTGGCGCTTGAATGAATTCTCCAAGTGGCGTTCAACTCATTCAGATGACAATGCCTACTGGACTCTGATGACTAACTGCCCAACAGGCAGCGAGGTTGGAGTTTCATGGATGGGCCGTCTATGCTCCTCCGAACTGGTTACCTCTGGGGAAAACTCTGTGGCCGGTGCCAACGTTGTAGTGCGCAATTCTGGTTCTTCCTGGCAGGTGTTTGCCCACGAGACTGGCCACACCTTTGGAGCAGTGCACGACTGCGACGAAGACGCCTGCAATAACAGCTTAGAAGCCTCGTCTCAATGCTGCCCTCTGAGTTCGTCGACCTGCAATGCCAATGCGCAATACATCATGAACCCATACGCTGTGAACTCCATGACTAAGTTTTCGCAATGTACCATCGGTAACATTTGCTCTGCTATTGGCAAAAACAGCATCAAGTCCTCCTGTCTATCCGACAACCGCGGCGTCGTCACCATCAGCGGCAGCCAGTGTGGCAACGGCATCGTCGAAGGCGACGAGGAGTGTGACTGCGGCGACGAAGAAAGTTGTAGCGGCAACTCCTGCTGCGATCCAAAGACCTGCAAGTTCAAAGACAGTGCCGTCTGCGACGACGCCAACGACAGCTGCTGCAACCAATGTCAGTTCGCCTCTTCCAGTACCGTCTGCCGCGCCAGCACCGGAGAATGCGACATCGCCGAGACATGCAGTGGAAACTCAAGCTCCTGTCCCATAAATAAATACAAAGATGACGGTGCCAGCTGCGGTGACAAGGACCAGGGACTCAGCTGCGCCAGCGGCCAATGCACCAGTCGCGACTACCAGTGCCGCACAGTGGTAGGCACCGTTCTGAACATTAACGACACCTGGGCCTGCGAAAACACAAATAGTCCCTCCTGCAGTCTCGTCTGCGGCGCACCCTCACTACCCCACCCGTTCGGTACCTCGGAGTGCATCGGCATGAACCAGAACTACCTCGACGGTACACCCTGTGATGCCGGCGGCCGCTGCAGTGCAGGCCAGTGCAAGGGCTCCTCGGCCCTGGGCTGGATTCACCAGCACGAGAAGCTGGTTATTGGTATCTGTGTTGGCGTCGGATCGCTGATTGTGCTTGCTATCTTCTTCTGCATCTATAGTCGCTGCAAGCGCAGTTCACAGATACGCAAAGCCCGCAAGGCCAACCCCCCTGGTACATATCGCCGTTATAATGGGCCCCAGCCTTCTGCTCACCTGCCAATGGATCAGTGGCATGGATACCGCAATGCCGGGTATCAGAATGTACCTCCCGGATATCAGAATGTGCCTACTGGGTACCAGAATGCGCCTGCTGGGTATCCGAATATGCCTGCTGGGTATCAGAATATCCCCCCCGGGTATCCGAATGTGCCCGCCGGTTATCAGAATGTGCCTCCACCTGGCGCCCCGCCACGATACTCATGATCACCCCACTCTGCTTTTGATTTTACTTTAGTTTGTAGGTTCTATTGAAACTTGTCTTGTTTGCATTAGTCCTTCTGGGATTTGCGGTCTGGGGAATTTGGGTACTGGCGTCGTCGCGGATGGTTGGTTCAAGTTATTATCGGTCCTTATAGTATTGTATCATTCGCGATCTGGGGTTTTGGGTATTTCCTTTCTTATTGCCTCTTCTTGAATTTGTATGCATTCTCCGTCAGTAGATACATCGAAGCCCTTTGGGCTATGAATGATACCGCATCATCACCGTACAATTATGATAGCCTCGGCATGTAGAGGTAGAAATCGTGTAGAAGAATGAATATCCATTTGAAGTGTGATTTTAACCCAAAAGAAACACAAAAGAAAAGATACACTGACTCCCAAAACAAGCACACGAGTAAAACAACAAGAGACAAGAAAAGCACTCAAATCCCAACACCAAGGAAAATCCCCATGCACAACAAACAATCCACAACCATCAGTTAAGTCTGTAGCAGATCGAACCCACCCAACCGGAGTATCTAAGTCCCCAGCAAGGCGACCAAGATTCCCTCATCCAACGACTCATTGCCAACAAATCCCAACAAAAGCCTCCCGAGTAACACCACCAACCCCCTCAAGATCAAACTCCTCAATCATAGCCCTAAGTTCCTCCTCCTCAAGCCCAGTCTCGCCCAATTCCCTAGCAACACGTCTCAAATCCTCAAGATCAATAAACCCCTTGGCACCTTCATCGAATAGCTCGAATGCGCGCAGGATCTCGTCGCGCGGGTCTCGCTCGAGGATCTTTAGCGCTGTGACGGCCTGGAAAGACGAGAGTGGCATGAGCAAGTTGGACGGGTGCTGCGGGTTCGAGACGGGGCCTTTGTTTGAGGCTTGTTGTTGGTTCTGGTTTCCGGCTTGTTGTTGCTGCTGCTGCACTTGTGGACGTGGCACACCGTAGGTCGTCAGCAGAGAGATTAGCTCTTGTTTGCTGAGGGTGAAGCCGAGAGCACGGAAGGCGACGCGGAGCTCGTGGTAGTCGAGGTGGCGATCGCGGTCGAGGTCGAAGAGGGTGAACTTTTGGGAGGGGGTTGGGTTAGCTGTGTTTTTTTGGGTGGTTTTCTGAGGGGTGGGTTTGGTGTTGTGTTTTCTTTTCGCCTCTTGGAGGGAGGGGAAGAGAGGGGATTACAGGAGGGTACAGCAATTGGGTGTAATTGCAGTAGTTCTATAGATGCATGAATTGGGCATCCCTTACAGCTTCGTTGATCTCTTCCCTTTGCTCTTCAGTAAGTCTGTTCAGCGGATTCGCATCCTGCGCCGGGCCATGGGACTGCGCGTTTGTTGCGGGCGCGGACGCAGACTGTTGCATCTGCTTTTGACTTTCGGGGCCGTTGAATTCGCCTTGGTTGGCATTTCCCAGACCGCGATGCCGTGAGAATGATGAGGCGCTGAAGGGCATGGCGTTCGTGTTGACGGAGCGTTCTGGGAGTTTCGTGCCGGCGTAGGAGCGCGACGCGAAGGGTTGGCCAGAGGCCATGGTGAATGGCGTGTTCAGGTTTAATTAGAAGGATCAAGAGTTCTTTAGCATTAATTCAAAGTAGAGGGGCTCGCAGCCCATGAGAATGTGTGGAGAGATGAGGTCCACGGGTGTTTGGCGGTGGGAGGATTCTGGAGACGCGCCAGACGCGGGCGGAATGACAACGCCTGTTTTGCTTTGGTTACAGATATAGTACTAGTAATGATCAATGACAATATTATTACTTTTTGGTATGGAATCAATTCTATTTCTAGAAGTATGAGTGAGCGAACTTCTAGACACAGCACAGCCTGGTGCTAACCACAAGCAATTGGACATCGTATCCCAAACCACCAAAAACTTTACTTCCTATCCAACAGATGATGTTGTTCCTCAAACGAGTGTCTTATGTCCCTCCCATGGATGTAAAAAAAAAAAATAGCAATAGCGAGCGAACGTTGATGTTGCGGAAGGCTTCAACAGTTGTAAAGAGATTGCCGGATATTGCCATTGAATGGCATTGTATCGAGGGGCATTGTATCAAAGGTCGGAGCCATTGGATCGAATGCATCGTCATAATCTTTGCCGAGGAATTCGAACAGACTATTCGAGTCAACGATTGGGACTTGATCAGGATAGGCCACGTTATGAAAGGCATTATGTTCTTGGAAGATCGCCGTATCGTTAAAAGTCACTGATGATTGTAAGTGCCCATCGTGCTGCTCAACAGTATTCACCACACGGCAAGGCCGAGGGAAATGATCAGCCAGGAATACTTGCATCTGGCAAGCTGGCGGCGAAAAGGGACTGTCTTGCCGGCCCAAAACAGACGACGACACCTGCTCGGGGTCATCCAACACTCCAAGCCAGAAAGCCATGTCGATGTCTGGGGATGTCGCGAGTTTTGGAACTTTATCCTCTAGAATCGCTCTACTGGAGGATTTTCCTGTAGCCCGGACTCGGGGGGACACATTGCGCAGGATATCTTCGAGTTTTTCGCGAACACCACTCAGGTAACAGCTAGAAGGGCCAAATATTCTCGCAACGACTGGGTTGCTTTGAAGATCTTGCAAGCTGCATACCACTCGGTAATATAATGCTGCGGCGAGCCAAGCGGGATCGATCTCATTTTCTTTCCGTGCCCGGTTTTTCTTATTGCTGTTCAGCTTGTCCTTTCCACAAAGAGCCAGGTACAAATCAGGGCAAAATTCCCTAGACATCTCTGCGAGCTTCCGAAAAGAAAGAATCAAAATATAAAATGAGACAAGTCGCCCGGTGGTAATTTCAAACCAGGACGTACGGATTCGAGCTTGCGCCAAGCCTTGAATGGCCATAAACAGATTTGCCATTCTGAGTGCGCCCCAGACTAGTGGGCTAGATTTGTGTTGATCTTCAAATTTGAGCAAATCCACGAGCGGGGTGATGCTGGTAACACCAGCAAGAAAATCATCGACAGGGCACTCCGTTTTACTCGATAGTGTGATACTGGACCTCGATACTGTCCAATGCCATGCAGTACAGTTTCCGCCATATGTTCCGCGAATATTGACAATTGCCTGGAATGCATTTACGTGCTTGAAGACCTCGTCACTCATACGTTGCAAATTATCTTTCGCCTCTTGGGACGGGAAGCCAAGAATCGTAGGAGAGCCCCCGGTCGGTGGCCCAAGCAGGCACAGGTCTCCCCAACTTCGAAAGCAGATTCGATTACCCTTAGAAAAGCATGGAGGACATGGTGTAGTTGTTCCACACTTCTTCTTGGCCCGATAGCACGCCATACATGAGCCGCCAGCTTTCTTGAGTGCAGCAGTATCTTCTCTCTGTTGCAGAAGTTCAGACTCGTTGCGAGGGATTTTCTCGCGAATGTTGTCAGACTTCCCAGGGTTCGCCGGATCCCATAAGACGAATCCATCGGGGTACATCTCTTCGATAGGAGGAGATAACGGACGTACTGGCGCAGCAAATGGCTGGGTCTCATTGCTGCTGCGTGCACTTCGAGCACGTTTACGTTCAGTGGAGGTGCATGACCAGGAATCATTAGCGCTAGAAGGCCATGTCGAGAGTCGAGACTTCGAGCTCGTTGGAGATGTGGGGTTTTGTGGTTGGTCTTCAATTGTCGGAAATGCCATCAGTGAATCAAAAGAAACCGGGCCCCCAAGAAGACTAGTCTCCCAAGGTTGACTACCGAGTTCCTGGGGCGAGGGTCGACACTTCGAACTTGTTGGAGATGCGCAGCTTTGTGGTTGATCTTCAATTGTTGGAAATACCATCAGTGAATCAAAACAAACTGGACCGCCAAGAACACCAAGCTCTTGAGGTTGATTGTTTATCGGACCATTGTCGAGCTCGTTGATAGTCTTAAGTATGTCTGGATCTATGGGCCGGGCCTCATGTGCCATGGCTGTCATCGATGATAGTTGCCATGTCTGTGGCATTGGTTGCTCAAGATCAAAGCCAGAAAGGTATGGCATAGTTGATGCGAGTAGAGACGGGGAAGACTAGAAGATAATATTTAGTCTCAACACTTCGGAGGACGTTCAAGGCTAGAAAGAATGTGCGTGGGAAGACGAGACAAGAGATGGATCGAACTCACAGGATAGATGGTGTCTGGTGCATGTTTACGTTTACGGCCGCTGTTCGGATGAGGAGAGAACGGAGACGGCTGATGCCGCGTAGCAGTTTGCGCTATCATAGTTTGAGGATAAACGAGAGGGGTGCCAATGATCGAAATCCCGAAAGATCGTCGGGCAAAGAGCGAGAGCGAAAGGATAAGCTCAAGGCAGAGCAGTAGCAAACTGACGTTTGTACTTGAACAAGTTGTCAATCCTTTGCCAAAGTAGAGAATGAGAGGTGTGAAGGAAAGTGAAGTAAAGGTCGAACTAGAAGATACTCCTGGGCACCTCTAAAGATGCCAAAAACGGACTAGTAGCATCGACGACCAGGTCAAGCCTTAGCCTTAACCTTTAGCTTGAACTTTCAACATCATGACGAGCCATAACATTGTCTCTCGAGGTAAAGCAGGCACGACCAGGCCCATGAGGCCGATTCCGAATCCGGTATAGCGTACCGCTAGGTTGGAAGGTTTACCTAGCGCATAGAATTTCCGGGGTTCAACGGCGGCGGAAGTATGACTATTGCCATGTCATTCATATGTAGTTCCATCACATAGGCCTCCAGGGTCAAACTTGGTGTATAGGAAGAGAAATATGATCAAGCAGTCAAGACAATCAATTTCTTTGATATGGAGTCCCGTTCAAATCATGGTCTCTCTGTGTGCCAAGATCAAAGTCCTCCAGGAAGGTACGACCGAGGAGTTGCTCTGGCAGGTAATCCTGTTGGACCTTGCCGTCGACATAGTTTGGATTGTACTTGTACTCCGCACCATATCCCAGCTCCTTCATGAGTTTCGTTGGCGCATTCCTCAAATGAACTGGAATAGGCAAGCCTGCGATTCCTGGCTCGTTCAGGGCGTCAAAGACGTTATTCAAGCCACGGTACGCGCGAGTACTCTTTTTCGATAGCGCCATCGCTACGGTAGCGTGTGCCAGATTGATTCGTGCTTCTGGGAGTCCAATCTTCTCAACGGCTGAATGTGTGGATATAGCAAGTGAGAGCATCGTGTTGTCCGCGAGGCCAATATCTTCGGAAGCGACAACGATCAGCCGTCGAGAGATATACAGGGGATCTTCACCCGACTTAATCATGCGAGCGAGGTAGTAGAGAGCTGCATCTGGATCGCTCCCTCGAATGGACTTGTGAAAGGCGGAGATCGTATCATAATGCTGATCTCCAGCACGGTCATACACCAGCGTCTTGGTGAGGGATCGTTTCAGGTCCTCCTTGTCCATTCCAGACCTTTTTGACAGATCCATGGCTAGCTCCAACAAGTTAAGCGAAGTGCGAGCATCTCCATCGGCGAATCTGGCGAGATACTGAATCAGCTCCTCGTCCACCAGTTCCGAGGGTGAATAACTCGGGCCTTCAACCCGGAGAGCACGATGAAGGATCGAAGTAATGTCCTCATCGGTGAGCTTTGCAAGAGTAAATGTCCGGCAACGTGAGAGCAGTGCATTCTGGACTTTGAACGATGGGTTTTCTGTTGTGGCACCAATGAGCGTGACCTGGCCGCTCTCTACCGGGCCCAAGAAAACATCCTGTTGTGACTTAGAGAATCGGTGAATCTCGTCACAGAAGATAATTGTTTTTCTCCCAGTGAGTCCCAGTTCACTACGAGCTTCGGCGAATATCTTCTTGCACTCTGCCACGCCGCTGCTGGTACTGTTGATTTCCACGAATCTGCTGCCCACCAGCGACGAAATGACTCGAGCGATTGTTGTTTTCCCTGTTCCTGCACTACCCCACAATATCATGCTCGGGACTCTATCCTGTTCAATGAGTCCACGCAGAATCCCGTCTGGTCCGACAAGTTCTTGGCCGCAAACCTCCTCCAGGGTTTTAGGTCGCATGCGTTCCGCTAGAGGCGCTGCTTTGTGGAAGGCGTTGATCTTTAAACGCTTTGCTTGTGGCTCTTTGGAGTCACCTTTAGGTTGCTTTGGCCCATCTCGCTCCCGCATAGGCTCCGCTTCCTCAGTAAATGATCGCTTTCCGTTGAGAGCGCGTGGGGTCGCTATGGGACGCGACGGGGACTCCTTCGGAGCATTCAAATGGGCAGAAGCTTTGCGCGCGGACGGAGTTTGGAACATGCTTGGTACTGGCCCCTTCTGGAAGGAGGAAAGTTCCCCTGGGGAGGACGACGGTTCTTCGATGAAGTTCTGGCAGGCCGAGTCGATGTGGTCGTTGATCTTCAACTGTGAGACAGATTGCTCGCATATTGGGCAGGAAACCATGATGACCAGGGAATGATATGGTCATTCACTAGGCTACTCAAAAAAATCTTAAAGGCGAGGGAGCTAAACGTAAAAATGATAACGTTCACCCGTGGACCAGTGCGACGCGTTCAACGCGTTAATTAGTAAGTAATAGGCCTTGGTGCCTTAAAATGGTCAAACAACAAATATACAGTACCTATATGTACATACGACATATAGATACATATATGTAAGTACATGCATGTACTGTATAATCTCCGAATGACCCGAAGAAGAATCAAAAAAACAAGAGATCCAAGTCCTGTGGGACGTGGGAACCGAATGCGGAGCACGCCATCCGTGGGGAAATTCAACTTCTCCATATATTGTCCTCTCATTTCTTATTCTTTTCATCACTCATGATTTCCCGCTCTTATCAACACATCCTTGCTCAATCACAGAATTGCAGGTCTAGAAACCTCTTCTCCGCCCTTTCAACATTACCCCGCCCTAGTTACGGTGCAAGAGCGATGTCGGCCACAGCTTCACGACCTGATCCATTTCGCCCCGCCAAGCGAGTGGCAGGACAGCGCCAGGATGTTTGGTATGCAGTCTCAGGAAAAAATTCGGAAAAGACATACTAAATGGGCATTCAAGGTCAATTGTCAACGAAGCCGCCGCAGCTTCGCCGGTTCAGCCGATTGTGAACATGGGCCAAGGATTTTTGTGAGTCAATCCATTTCGATAATTACTTCAAGGGATAGGAATTAATGAGCAATCTCTGTGCGCAGTGGTTATAACCCTCCGAAGTTTGCTCTTGACGCGGCGAAGGATGCGCTAGACCGAGTGGAATGCAACCAATACTCCCCCACGAAGGTAGAGAATGCCAACAAATCCGTGCATTTTCGCGCATACCTGCGCATGGTTACACAAGTTCTCATATGAAATAGGGCCGCCCCCGCCTTAGACAGGCTATCGCGGATGCTTATTCGCCCTTCTTTGGCAAGAAGCTGAACCCCGAGACTGAGGTCTCGATCACAACCGGCGCAAACGAAGGTGAGAAATGGTATAATTTGCCTTGGAAATGGACATTTTGCGCTGATAACTGACGGAAAAAAAGGCATGCTCAGTGCCTTCATGGGTTTCATCGAGGATGGTGATGAGGTTATTATCTTCGAACCCTTCTTTGACCAGTAAGAAGCTTTGATATTTCGAAAGAATTGAGGGGATACTAATTCATTCGGAATAGATATATTAGCAATATTGAGATGCCCGGCGGTACTATCCGCTATGTTCCCCTTCACCCGCCCAAGGATGGTGCCACCAAGACCTCTCCTGCATCGGAGTGGACTATTAACTTTGAGGAGCTCGAGAGTGCCATGAACTCCAAGACAAAAATGATTGTAAGCATGCAACATCAAAGACTTTATGAATATAGAAACTAATTGTAGCAGGTCCTGAACTCTCCGTAAGCAGCCTTGATTTGCAGAGACGAACAAGGTCTCAACTAACTGTATGTTCACAGGCACAACCCTGTCGGCAAGGTCTTCTCGCGCGAGGAGCTCGAGCGCATCGGTGAACTGTGTGTGAAGTATAACCTTATCATCCTGTCTGATGAAGTCTACGACCGCCTCTTCTACGTTCCCTACACTAGAATCGCTACCTTGTCCCCAGAGCTGTACGAGCGCACTTTGACCGTGGGCTCGGCTGGCAAGGCCTTCTACGCCACTGGTTGGCGTGTTGGGTACCTCATCGGCCCTGAACATCTGATCAAGTACGTGGCCGGTGCGCACACCCGTATCTGTTACAGCAGTGTGTCGCCTCTCCAGGAAGCTGCTGCTGTTGCTTTCGAGCAGGCAGAACAGGAAGGCTTCTGGGACGAGAGCCGAACAGATATGAAGGGTAAAATCGAGCGGTTCTGCGAGGTCTTTGATGAGCTTGGTATCCCGGTATGTGGTTCCTCTAACCCTCATTATCTAGTCTACTCTGCCATAGATTGATTTTGCTGACATCAGTCTCCGCAGTACTCTGATCCTGAAGGTGGATACTTCGTGCTTGTCAACATGGCCTCTGTAAAGCTCCCGGCCGACTATCCATTCCCGCCCCATGTTGCTAGCCGTCCTCGTGATTTCAAGCTCTGCTGGTTCCTCATCCAGGAGGTTGGCGTGGCTGCTATCCCTCCCACTGAATTCTACACCGATGCCAATGCCCACATTGCTGAGGATTATCTGCGATTTGCGGTGTGCAAGAATGATGACGTTCTCGAGACTGCCAAGGAGCGCTTGAGGGGACTGAAGAAGTATATCACCCAGTAAACAAATATCTGCACGTCTTTTATATGTGAGCAGTGACGAGATATGTATAGAAGTGTTATGATGCCAATAGAAAATTGGGTTTAAGATTGCAAATACCTGCCACAGAAACAAATTCTCCATATCTCCATCCATATCCCCTTGTGTGATTAATCTACCAGTACATATCTACATGCTCATGTACAGCTACCAGCAGTACTCCTATGTAACTCACAGCACTTAGTAATCATCAACCAGGCACTGTAGGACCAAGGCACGAGCACGCAACGGTCTTTGTTTCTATCTAGAAACAAAGGAGGGGGCGACCAACTCCCCCTCCAATCCCCCGCCGCACACCGAAAGCGTAATACAAAGATGGGCATCCTGGACCTGGGGAGCATCCACCGACTGAAAACTGATAATATCTCTCTCCAAACCAGCCACCCCAGGCCCAGGACCCCGGTACAAAGAAAGGGGCTAGGGAGGGGACGGCTCCCTACCCTGGCTAGCCGTTTTCATGGCATCTCAACCTCCATGGGGCCCGTTCCCGCCCCGTCCCAGCCTTCGCCACGGTGGAAACTCCGCCGGTCCATTGAAAGGACCTCCGAGAATCCTCCGCCGCACGTGCGAGCCACCACGTCGCTCACCGAAGGATGGGTGGTTCGGTGCGCCCTGAGAATCCAATAGTTGGATTCCAGGTACTCGCACACTCTCCGGAAGCCCAACCCCATACACTGGTTACCGAGCAACGTGGGGCGACGCTCGCTCGCGCAGGTTAGATTCTCGCAGTGGCGTCGGCTGGCCCCGACCCACTCCGTCTCACAGGCATGCCGCAAACCAAGACGGCTCTTATCGATGGTGTATCCCATCTCGAGTCCCATCTGGTACTGCAGCATGCCGTCCATGTCCTTGTCACTGGCCCACATGCCGTGGGCCCGCATCCAGTCCCGGACAAGCCGGTAAAGATAGTCCACGAGGGCTGGATGTTCAACCGCCGCTAAAAACAAAGAATAGTTAGCATATGATCTGAAAAGCAGGCAATGGTGAGGATTGTATGATATCAAAGTGCGAAGAAACCGAAAGTGACATGACAAGGAAAGTGCAAGAAAGCTGAAAGTGATATGAAACTTACCGAAGAGACAGACAGCAAGGCACCGGCGGAACCGGTCCTTCTCTTCGGCGTCCTCGAATCGCACGATGTGTGCGATTCGAGGTGAACATCGCAGCTCTACGTGACTGGCTGGAGCGTCCACAGCCTTCACCAGGTCGTCCCACTCCGCGAACACAAAGTAGTCACCTTGGTCGCGGGCGGAACTGAACCACACCGCCTGACGATGGCGCTCAGGGTTGTCCCACTGGTGAAGGCTGGGAAGCATTGGTGGACCCACGAGAACGTCGTACGGAATCAAACTTGCCAAGTGCTGCTCCTGAACTGGTTGAGTCCCGCAAACCAGCCAGTGCATCTTGACATCCTCCCACAGGTGTTCCTTGCCGCAGTAGCGGACCACGGAAAACGGTCCGCACTTGGGGCAAACAACGGAGACTCCATCCCTGAAGCCACAGAGAACTTGGCAGCCCAGCTTCTCGCAAAGAAAGGCGACTCTGCTCAAGTCCAACTGTGTTTCAGGGGATGGAGACCCGATCTTGTCGAACTGCTTGGCTGTGGGAGTTCGTTCTTCATCCTCAGACGCTTCGGGTGGAGACGGAGAATGACCTTCCACTCCATCGTCCTGGGAGGAAGAATCGGAAACGGGGCGCTCGATTTTCGCATCGCGGACTTGCTGACGCTTCTGCAGCATCCTGCGCTTCCGTTTTTCGATCCTCCTCTTCTTGTATGCACTCTTCTCGACACGTTTGCTAGACTCGACTGAATATTGGTCGCCTGGCTGGACAGTGCAATCTGAACCGGGGTCATCTGCCCCAAACCCAGTCGAGTCTGTGGTAGACGAGTCAGAAGAGGCACAGAAGGACAATAGAGGGTTGGCCTTTGGGGACAAGGAAGTGGTTCTCTGGCCTTTGAAGAGCCCTGTGATCTTTGGTCAGCATTTATTCAAGACAGAACATATGTAAAATGTGATTCCATACCTAGACTAGCCATATCGAAAGACTTTCTTCGGCGCAAGACTAGCTCCTGCGCCTTGTGGCCACCAATGTACTCTTCCTGGTCTAAGTAATTGTTAGTGGTTGTTGCATCAAAAATGATATAAAGAGTAGGGAACTTACCAGAAAACCACAGCTTGCCCCCGTTGTTTGAGACAGGGCACCGAAGCCCAGCCTCATCCCCCCGCGGAGTAAGGCCCAGCTGATCCGAAATCTCTGCCGGCTCATTTCCTTCCGCTTTCACTTCCTCTCCCCAATTATCCTCATATTTCCGTGGGGTGCTGGTAGGTGTGAAGAAAGACGAAAGTGAGGATGAGGGGAGGGGAGTGTGGGGGGAGAGGTGGGATCGGGCTGTCTCGAATGATGGAGACAATGGGGTAGTCAAGTCACCTGGGGTAATATTGAACCGGGAGGCATTGACTGCTTGTTGGCCAGCAACTGCCGCAAGCTGCTGCTCAGTCAGGACATCCTTTCGAGCGATGTCCTGCACTCCCAGAAGTAAGTCACCACCCTGGTCGTCACTGCGGTCTGTGAGCTGGTCTGCATCCTTCTTTCCTATGTCGGAGCCTGATATAAAAGACGCAACAGATGCACCAGATGCACCAAACGAACCAGGCGTGCGTTTACCCACCTTCAACTTTCTGTTGCTCTCCTGGGTATCAATTGTGAGAGTAAGAACCTTTTTGATTAGCTCTTTCTGGGTCAACACTTCATCGGTCGACTCCCCCTCGATCAACTCTTGACTTCCCACTGTTTCCATCTTGTCTTTTTGTTCTAACATTGGCGGCTCAGGACTTGGCACAACCGAGGCATTTAACTTTCCGTCCTCTGAGCTTCCTTCTTCGGCTGTGGAAGATTCCCGGCCTCTCTTTGGCAATTTCTTTGATATTTTCTTGCCTTTATTCTTTCGTCTGGTAAATAAAGGGTAATTCTCATTGACAGGCAACTTTCCAAACAGTTTGTTGTCTATGTCGCCAGTCTTGGACATCAGTCGTTGAATGTGCAGCCAAATCCGGACCGGAAGTGCCATCCATTTGCCGTAAATGTTCTGTGATATGTTAGTTAAACCCCGAGTGATTGGTAAAGTTTGTATACTGACAGGGTCTTTGTTAGAGATCTTCTGATAAAACTCGTCACGCTCATCAACTGTGACCATCATCTGCTCTGCAGGGGTCGCATTCCTGCTGTTCACAAATTTGAACTTCAGGATCGGTGACATTTCTTCCGCCTTCATCCAGCTTACTCGGCAGCCAGATGTCTCCCATGGGGCTGTCCATTTGATGTAATAATTGTCCCTCTTTGGGTTCTTCGACTCTCGATAAGCCGGTGCGGAACCAGGCTCGATGTCACTCATGGCAATATTCTTTGGAGTCACAAAGATTGCGTCAATCGATCTTATGATCCCCAGCATGCCATCTGGGTAATCTGTGGGCATCTTAAATTCAACGCATATGACGTCGGATTCTGTGGTGAACACTTCAAGGTCACACTTGGGATTACCCTTAGGGTTGTTTTCCACAAAGATTGTCGGGGAAGCGGACCGCCACTCGTGGATGTTCAGCCTCATTTGGCCATTGCCCATAGTGAGCCCAACCTGTTCATTGGTCCAATCCTGTGATCCGGGCGAACTCAGGTAGTGATGCACCTTTATGGATCTGCTTGCTTCGGGCTCCTCCATCTCGGTTTTAATTGCCTGAGGGTTAAGCAGCTCTGGCACTCGGCCTTCAGTTGTGGCATGTTTCTTTGTGGTTAGGTCTTGATCATGTGCAGTCGCAGATTGGGGTGTCTTGGGGGCGAACTCGTCGTCAGCAAACTTGCTGAAGATGGGAGCCATTTCTTATGGTGATGGTAATGGACTGTTGGGTTGATCTCGCCAGTTAATGACTGTCTGTTGAGTTTTTCTTTCCTCGGGGCTCAAAAGACATACCGAGTTGGAACCAGAATAAGGTATTTGTTTTTTTCTGTCGGGTATTAGGATCGAGCTGACAAGGTGTTAGCAGAAGTCCATTGATATCTGACACCATGGTTCGCAAGAAAGACTCACTTGACGATATCCAGGTCTTGACAAAGATGACTAGCAGTCTCTTACTGCTCAATGACCTTTTGATGCGTCAGTTGAGGCTCACGAAGATGCATTAAGATCTTACCAAATACTCCTCGGTCGGCACAGTGCTCTCTTCAGCCCTAGATTATCATCGGGGTTTCAACAAAGATGTCTTGCTGCAGGATACATCAGTCAACTTCAAGATGAGGATATACGATTTCAGCAGAAATGAATTACCAAGATCAGTCTTCAAGACACTGATGGCTGTGAGGTTTAGTCTCATGTGAAGGATTGCATGTGTGCGTGGTGTCTCAACCATGCCTCAGTCGATAGAACGATGAGAGATATACTTGGCTGATACATGACCAAGACATCATACACAAGCTTTCACATGGCAACAAGGCACAACCTTTCAGTGTCCTAAGGGCCAATATTGGTTAGGTGCAAGGGCATCGGTGATGACCCAACGCGTGAGGATATGCGACAACTTACCGTCTGGGGTTTCACAGCTTGACTCATGCGTCAATGGCATGCATTCCACCATCAGGTGAAAAAAGTGTTGTTGTTCTTTGATACAATGGCTCCGAACGCTCAAAGGGATGGAAGGTGTGAAGCACGAACAAAGGCCACTGGGTATGCGGGAGTGAAAAGGTTTGGAAAAAGGAGGATTGAGAAGAGAGAGCTTTGAAGAGAAAGGAAGAGAAGATAAGAAGAGGGGGCGAGCTTCGAGATTCGACAACAATGGAATAGACAAACAAAATGATGTGCACGTGCTACTGTCACAGAGTCCTCAATCGGAAGCTACGACTGACCAGGCAAATTTGACGGAAATGAGGATACATACATGTATCTATTCCTAGAAATCAAATTGCTGAGGCTGATCGAATAAATTGAACGAGGCACCGGGGTATGAAGTGCCTTTGATGATCTACCAAGCAGCCATCCTACTATGGGCTTACACTTATTACAAGCTGCGATTGCAGTCTGGAAGTTTACTTGGCAAAGAGTCAAGTTGAAGCTGCTCTGCGCCGGAAGGTTCCATTCCACTGAGTTCTATCCCTAAGGATCAATACGTGATACGAGGTGGCCGTATTGAGCAAACGGCCTGACAACGCAATTGAAACAATTTGAGAACGATGCAACTTGCTTGTCATTCCCATACAGATACCCAGAGATTGGCATGATTCTGACATCTTATCCCCTCTGCATCATCCAAACTATCAGAAATGGGTCTCCGCCTAGCCATATCCCACAGTACCAGCCTTCACTCGACAGTCAACTGCATCAAAGATGAAACGAAGGAACTGGCATAAATGCTGGGAGGCCACGCGAACAGGGGTAACAGTACCAAGCAAACCTCTTCTTGGGCTTATTTTCATATACATTAGATATAGTTTCATGAATTTAATTTCATGTTGCAGCCCATCATTGATTTGTATCAATCTCGTTTACTAGGGACCCCAGGAAACACACCCGAAGAAGAGATTAGAAAGTATACCACGCAGATCACGGCGGAGCAGTCGTATATCCTTAAATTATCACAAATGGAGAAAGTAATTGGGAATCCACGGGTCTTCTTGTCATGGAATTCAAGGCATGTTTTTCAAATGTTGCATGTTGTTAGGGTGCGATTCAGTCACGTGTGATCACGTTTTGCGGGTGTGCTCCCAAGCAGTTTGCAGGGTTTGCTTACTGCTTGGTGCCTGAGGCCGAGTCCTTGGCCTCGCCAAGGAAGTGCTCTCAGGAAGAGGGATTACTAAAGGCAGGGCTTAGTAATCCCACAAAGAGGTTAATATTGGCTTATATAAGTAGATGAGATATATTCGCTAGCTAGTACTATCCAATAGAAACCATGCGATCCTTACAGAATCTCACGGGGGCTCGGTGAATATCACGTGACACCTCCCCTTCAACGCCAGCGACCACGACTTGAATAAGCATCAAGTACTTTTTTCACACCCCCACCCCTTGATGGACTCGCTAAATAACCTAAAATTATGGTGGAATATATTGCAATATGGTGACTTATCTTTATAGTACTAAAAAATGTACGCGTGAAAATTTTTCTCTGCACTCGAAACTCGATTGTTGTGATTCGATTCACAGAGTGTCACCGAGTTAAGCGGCAAGAGCTAAAATAAAGACTAAGCCTCAAAGGAATCCATCCATGGATGTCAAACAAAATACGTATCGTCTACCCGCATCATGGGGACTAAAATATCTGTACAAGCATGATGTTAGATCACCCAGCCCTCGCTGTCTGTCTATTGGCTCTCAGTCCTGGGCGGCTAAGCGCCCATGGAGGCTATATTTGGCTGCTTGTCCACTCTGGCGCTTTTGACACTCGCATTAGCCAGTGAGACGTCTTGATGCTTCATGAAACAAATCATTGCACAGGCCCCTTGTCTTCAGGCTTTATTTTTATATTTTCTTTGTTTCGAAATGTTTATGGTTCACTCTGATTGGGGCTGTCTCGACTATACGGGGTTGCCAAGGTCCATCGAACTACTTCTTTGTGAGCAATATCGGGCTATTGTGATGCCTGCTGCCGCCCAGGATGTCTGATAATTTCTAGTTGACGTTTGCTGGCTACTATATTTGACGCTTCATTGTCCCTTGTTTTATTCTGACTCCATTGTTCTCAGTCTGCCGATCCATTCATCTATTGACCTCCCCATTCATTCAACATCTATAAGAAATCATATAGGCCATGTCCCTCCACTAGTACAGATCTTTTTCTTTTCTTTCTTTATCTTCTTTTAAGAACTCTCCATCTTGATGCAGGTTTGCATATTTTTCCTTGATCGAATTACATCGTCAAGTTTTCCTGATCTTCGCTGGACGAGATCACCCTGAAACATATAACAACTATTGCTTTCGAAAAAAGAATACACCACAATGGTATTCTCTCGATCCGGGCGATCAATCTTTCCACTGCTCCCACCTTATGGAGCTCACGATTCAAGCACAGGGCGGATAATTCCTCTACATCCAGATGGTCTCACTCCTTATCTGGGCCTGCGAGCTCGACTTTCACAAGTATGGATCAATCGATGGACAATACTGTTGCTGCTTGTTCTTTTTCGAGTATTGATCGCAGTTGGCGACTTGCAATCCAACATGGCATCCGCCAAGCGCGAGGCTCTATCTGCATGCACGTCGGTGGAATCCATGGGTAGCGCGATGGCTTCAATGCCCCACTACCTATCAAAGGGTACCAACGAGCTCGTGGCTTCCTCGGTTGATGAGGCTGTTTCTGCCTTGAAGTCCGTGTTACTTTTGAGTATCACGGGCGTCGGGGAAATCCTCTGGTTTGTCATAAATATGATGTACTCCACCTACGCCTGTCTCATTACAATGGCTGTCCGTGGTACAGTAGGAGCTGGGATCGAATTGGTCAAGGAGGCTACTGAGTGGATCAACAAAACTCTCAAGGCAATCAGCGGTGACATTGAAAGCACCGTCGACAAATATAAAGACGAGCTGAACTCATTCCTCGAAGCAATCAACAAAGTGGCCAGCGTGTTCACGGACGACCCTAGCCCAATCAACCTCAACAGCACAATCAATACACTAGAGAATCTATCTCTTCCCTCATCAATCAATCGTACTGTCGAAAAATTGGACAGTGCCGTCCTTCCCAACTTCAAAGAGATCCAGAATTACACCAAAACCCTCTTCCAAACGCCCTTTCAAGAAGTCAGGGATCTGGTCAACGAAACTTTGGGTATTTACAGCTTCGATCGGTCCGTTCTCCCAATCCCTGCCAAGCAACAGTTGACCTTCTGCAATGACAACAAAGGAATCAACGATTTCTTCAACGGGGTCACTGAGCTAGCACTAACAGCACGCAAAATATTTATTGCTGTCCTAATCGTTGCTGCCATACTGGTGTGTATTCCAATCGCATGGCAAGAAATCCGCCGATGGCGCTCAATGAAAGAGCGCTCCCAGTTGGTTCGCAAGGAGGCCCATGATCCAATGGACGTCGTCTACATTGTTTCACGGCCTTATACTGCCGCTGCAGGTATCAAGGCAGCAAGTCATTTCAGCAACAGCCGCCGACAGATCCTTGTGCGATGGGCCATTGCATATGCAACGTCCCCCGCTGCTCTTTTTGTACTAGCTCTAGCACTAGCGGCACTATTCTCTTGCCTGTGCCAATACCTGCTCCTGCACTCAGTGAAGCAAACTGTTCCCGCACTGAGTGCCCAGGTGGGAGAATTTGCAGACAAGGTTGTTGACTCACTGGAAAGTGCCTCGACAGATTGGGCCACTGATGCCAACAAGGCCATCGTCAAGCTCGATACTGAACTAAACCACGATATCTTCGGCTGGGTCAATACCAGCGCGCAGGCCATAAATGCGACTCTAAACTTCTTTATCTACAACACATCTAGCGTTTTAAACGAGACCTTCAAAGGTACCCTGCTGCAAGAGCCTGTCTACGAGTTATACGAATGCCTCATTGGCCTCAAAGCAGAGGCCCTCCAAACGGGTCTGAACTGGGTAGTTGAGCACGCACATATCTCCCTCCCCACTCTCCCAAACGACACATTCTCCGCTGGTGCCTCTGACAGTATCGGCAGCCCCAACGCTTCTGATAGTTTCCTCGCCGATTCAGGCGACCAAACAGCCAACAAAATCACTGAGGTCGTCACTAGCGTGATCAACAAACTCCAAGAAGCGGTGCGAATGGAAGCCATCATCGCCACTGTTATTCTCCTGCTCTGGGTTTTTATTGCTTTGATAGGTATCATTCGTGTCATGACACTTTTCTGGAGCCGCGAGAAGCACCGTGGCGAGGGGGGGCAGGGTCATATCCTGGACCCTGTACACAATGGTGGACCACCATCCCATGATCCGAATGGTTTTACTGAAGTTCCACTCACTGCTATTCCGAGAAATATGTCCGGAGATGAACACACTGTTCCTCGGTATACGGCGGCGGTAACATCCGCGCCTATGCGGAGTGAGTCGTCGTCATATGGTGACGAGAAGATTGGTTTCGCAGGACAAAGGAAATATGAACATGCGTTACAGGTGGACACGGGTCCTGACTTGAGGGGAAGTAGCTACGTTGAATATGATGTGAAGCGATGATGAGAAATAGCATATTCCTGTCTTCCCACATCTTTTTTTTAATTTTTGTCTTCGCTTTTCTGAAGAAAATGTCTCCCTCCCTCCCTGCGCCATCTCCGGCATTTCATTGTGCTTGGCTTGGCCATTTGTTTCTATATGGTGCTGGTGTTCTGTCATATTGATTCCCAATAAAATAGCATCTCTAGTTTAGAATCAAGAATGCCACTTAATTTCAAAGTCATAATTTCCCATCTCTGAGTCGTGTCGATCATTCTCAAGCTATACCTTATACAACACATCTTATGGGATCGATATAAATATAGATGGGAAAGACTGCAATTTCGTTGTCTGACTGTACTAAACTGAAGCGCCAAGACATGGCATAATCTCATACAAATCATCGGCCGTAAATTCATAGCCGCTATATGGCAACAAGAAAGCTTTTCTCTCCCTCCTTGGGCTTTACTCTCACCCTTTCAATAATCGGATCAGCACAGCTAATCCGAATACGCTCAGGGGTAGCAGGGGATTCCAGAGAGAGCACGTCATTCACGTTCCACTGCTTACGTGCAGCCTTCAAGGCGTCACGAATAGCAAAGAATACCGCACTACCCATAAACAAGGGCGGCTCGCCAACCCCACGAGAGCGTTGAATGGTACGCAAGTTCTCCCACTCCACATCCTTAAGCAAACTCACATTAAAAATCTGCGGGATATCACGGAAGCCAGGAATTTTGTAGTTGCCCGGCCCTCTAGTGAATATCTGACCAGATGCACGGTGCCAAAGACTTTCTTCGGTGGTGAAAAGACCTTGCCCTTGTACAAAGGCGCCCTCGATCTGGCCATAATCCACTGAGGGGTTGATACTGCGACCCACATCCATCTTCACATCAGCGCGTAGAGGCGTCCAATCACCAGTCAATGTGTCGATCTGGACTTCAGCTGCGGTAACACCTTGTGTGAAGTAGAAGAACATCTGGCCGCTGTTCTCGCCCCATACGTAGCCAATATCGGGGGTACGGTAGTACCCTTGTGCGGAAAGATTGACACGGGCGAAGTAAGCCGCGTGGGCAAGTTCCTTCATGGTCGCGTTGGGCATCTTCTCGCGGAAAGGACGTAGGCGTTCGTTGATTTGTTCGCATGCATTGAAGATGGCGTAGCCATTGAGATCGGAGCTTGCCGAAGCAGCAGTTGCGGAGGTATTGGCCACTGTATTAGTCGCTGTCTCAGAAATGAAGACACTTGCCTGCGGCACTTGCAACGCTTCGGCGGCGATCATGGTCATCTTGGTGTGAAGGCCTTGTCCCATTTCAACACCACCGTGTGCTACAAGGACACTGCCATCGTGGTAGATATGAACCAACGCTCCTGCTTGGTTCAAGAAGAGGGCTGTAAAGGAGATACCGAACTTGGTTGGCACAATTGCCATTCCACGTTTGGACCACTTGTGCTGCGCATTGTATTGCTCGACAGCCTTCCGGCGCTCGTTGTAAGAGCTCTCCTCTATAACTTGCTTGTACATCAACGGCACATACCAATCTTTGAGAGGCTGGTTGAAATGCGTCGTATCATCTGGCTTGTACATATTGATGGCCCGGACCTCTTCGGCCGGAATATTCAGATGATCTGCAATCTCTGATATGTAACACTCAGCGAAGAATAGGCCTTGTGGGCCGCCGAACCCTCGGAAGGCTGTGTTTGAAACAGTATTGGTTTTGCAGATTCGGCCGCGTACATTGACATTCGGTATTTTATACACGCCGTCAATGTGCGATAGGCTTCTCTCCACGATAGCACCAGATAGGTCTTGGGTGTGACCACCATTTGCGAATACATCAGCATCAAGCGCAAGGAGTTTTCCTTCTTTGGTCACGCCAACCTTCCATCGGCAGAGGAATGGGTGACGCTGGCCAGAAGTCAATATATCTTCATCACGGTTGAGCATACATCGCACAGGTCGTTTTGTTTTTGCGGCGGCAATGGCACAAATACCAGCCAGCTGAACAGATCGTGACTCCTTGCCGCCAAAGCCACCACCAAGTCGCTTCACGCGCGATACAACTTTATTTGCAGATACTCCTGTCACCTGAGCGACATAGGCTTGCCTGTGAGTAATTAGCTTCATTTCTGTGTTTTGACAGTCAAAATATCGCTACTTACGTTTCGGTAGGATTCTGTGTACCACTCCAAATCTCCATTTCACCATCCTCCGGCTTTGGAATGGCCACACAGGCTTGGGTCTCCAGGTAGAAGTGCTCCTGGCCACCCATTCGCGAGACTCCAGTAAAGATGTGGTCAGCTCGTTTGAAAGCCTCCTCGGTATCACCATTCTTGATGTAGCGATAGTGCTCGAAATAAGACTCCGCCTCAATGGCCTCCTCAATTGTAAGGATGCTCGGGAGATCTTCATATTCAACCTTGACGGCCCTCATACCCTCCTCGGCGATTTTAGCGCTAGTCGCCAGAATCACACCAATCGGTTGACCAGCAGTTGTAACTTCATCGACGGCAAAGAAAAGCTCATCGGACTTGGGTTGTCCCCACCAATTTGCCTGAGGGTTAGGAAGATCCGTGTGGTCCACGTAGTCCGCAACACCTGGAATGTCCAATGCAGCAGACGGGTCAACGCTGAGGATCTTGGCATGAGGTTTGGTAGACAAAAGCATGCAGGCGAATAACTCATTTTGTTGCACAGGAATATCATCAGTGTATTGAGCCTCTCCTGTGGACTGCTTCAACGCTGCAACATGCGGGGTCGCTCGCCCAAGAATCTTCTGTTGATAGGCAACGGAGGTCTCAAGGTCTTTTGTTCCTGTTGAAATTGCTCTCTCGATCTCAGCAACAACATCTAGATCCAGATCCAAAGCCTTGACATCGAGTCCTGAAAGTACGTCATAATAAAATCTATAGAAGAAACCCAGAGCCAGAGACTTCCGGTAACTAGCCATACCACCAGGAACTCCAAATGGCAGGTTGAAATCCTGCTCCAGTGCACTCATGACGCCCTCTAGAGTTGCGGGGTTCGTGAACTTCTTGCCAACCAAAAATGCCTCGGCATTCTTCGCTGAGATGGTCATAGCTGCCATACCACCAAACACAAGATTGGCACTGACCACATTGTTGGTCTCAGAAAGAGTCACACGTAACGCGGAGTTAACAATGGCAATATCGTCGTCCTTCCGCTTGGACTGTTTGTAGGCGCGCATGTATTCTCCCTGCTCCTTCGCAGCTGGAATGCGCAAACTAGCGATGATTGCGTTGGGAGCGAGGGCAGTCTTTCTGTATCCTTGGAAGAATTCGGTCATTGGAATTTCAGTCTCACCTTCGAGGGACTTTGCCACGAGGATAGTGTTAGTGGCTACCAAAACCGGGTTAAGATCGGAGATAGGTGATGCAGTGGCCAGATTACCCGCCGGGGAAGCAACATTTCGGATCTGTCGCCCAGCGAAATAGAGCAACTGCTTCTTGATCGCTTTGAAAGGTTGGCCTCTAGCATCCCCATATTTCTCTACCGCTTGGTCACAGATGTGTTCGAGGTCTGTTAAGGACACATTTGCGCCGATTTCCAAACAATCATCGTGCAAGGTAAATTGTCGCAATTCGGGGATATCTCCCAGGTAGACGGAGGCCGCATATTGCATTGCCTTGAACTTGATCTCAATCTGTATCTCCGTACTCCCACCAATTAGTTTAGCATTTGGGTGGATATTCTTAATCTGCAACAGTTGCGCGACTGTCACTGGTCGGTACCACTTCTTCCTCTTATTTCCATATGCTAAGGGTCGGTATTCGTGTTTCCGTAGGGCGGCAGGGAATATTAACTCTGTGTCCGGGCTGTATGGTTTGAATTCCGGCGCAGGAAACTTGTAATCGACTGTCTCGTTCTCGTCATTGTTAGTGGATGCTTTACAGCAACCACCAGAGCCCTTTTTCTCCATACAGCAGCCCGACCCACCATTGGCGGATGCCTTTCCGCAGTTGTTGGTCGAGTTGAAGCTGTGAGCGGCGTCTAGGATAGGTCGATAACCTGTACAGCGGCAAAGGTTTCCATCGAATGCTTCTTCAACATCGTGCTCAGAGGGAGACGGGTTGTTTCGCAACAAGGCATAAAGAGACTTGAGGCTATCAGTAAACTTCAGATGCCCCCGAAAAAATGAATCAAGCGAAAGGACCATATAGGCATACCATGACTATTCCCGGAGTACAGAAACCACATTGACTTCCATTACCGACCGCAATCCGCTGCTGGATCGCGTGGGGGTCCTTCACATTCCCAATCCCTTCGACTGTGATAACGTGTTTACCGTCAATGCTAACAAGTGGAGCAATACAGGCATTCACGGAGGCATGGTAGATTTTCTTCGTTGTGGGATTGATATGGGAGACGACCTATTAACCGTACAACCCTCTGCTTAGCACCAGGTGCGTAACCCAATAACATAGTCGACTGAAACTTACCACAGTGCAAGCACCACAGCCTCCCTCGGCACATCCAAGTTTTGTACCTGTCAACCCAATACCCCGCAGGTATTCAAGTAGAGTCACTTCCGGGTTGATAGTATCTACTGCAACCTTGGTGCCGTTAAGATAGAACCGAATAGTGTCATCCCAGTCCTCAGTCAGTGCAGATAGGCTGATCGGCTTCTCAACTGCGACCGTGGAACCCGTCTCTCGGATTCCCGGCGCCATGATGGAAATATAGGGATAGCGATATTTGCAGACCTTCAAGGGTTCAGGTTTGCATTTTGCTTTTATAGCAAGTTAGGGGCTTCCGTAACGATCTTCCTATATCTATTACTAAAATATTAATTCTCGGAGAGTAATGCAAAGAGAAGTCCAGACGATGAGATCAGTTTCTCCAGAAGTTTGATATCGACACCCCACTTGGAGACTCTCCAGGGTTGTTATCTTTGCGGGGATCGCCACTGTCCGATGGCAAGTCGGATGACCGTCGGATTCCGCCTTGGCGCCTCCACGGTGACCCAAGGGCTTTACTGGAATTACTAAGTCTTGAATATCTG